TATATAGTAATACTACCTTTTATTTAATCTCTATAAAACTCTTTTATATAGGGGATATTAAGGTTATTATTAATAGCCCCGAACCTAAACCTGTTTCCGAATTCTATAATAAGGCTAAAGGTAATACAGATATAATTTCTCCTGCTATTTCTGCTATTTTATTAAAGTATAATAGAGAATACTCTTATAAGAACCCGGATATTATAATATTTCTATAAGATAATAATCTATATAAGAACTCTTATTAAATTAAAGTTACTAGCCTTTTAGAAAAGGATATATTTAAGGTTATTTCTAGATCTTAAATACTAAAGGAGATATATATTTTTAACTCCTGGTTTATTAATAAGATTAAGAATAAGAATACAGAAAGAGAGCTTAAGAAGTCGAGACTAATTATCTAGGCTTATAATAATAGTAAGAAATATATAGTATTAATATAATTACCTATTATTTAATATATTAGCTAGAGAATTATTCTTAGTATTACTATTATAATAATAAATACTATGAAGATATATTTATATAATATCTTATAAGCTTATATCTAATTAATAACCTTATTTAATTATAATTTTTATATTAACCTATTTTATAAGTTTACTAGAGAACTAAATCTGAATAATAATTTGGTTCTAAAGGTTATAAAACTACTATATAGTATACCAGAAGCTAGGAACTACTAGTTTAAGACTTATTATTCCTATTATATTAATGAGCTTTCTATAGAATAGTTAATTTATAACTCTTGTCTTTTCTATAGCAAGTAACTCTTTGGAATTATTAGCCTTTAAACTAATAATACTCTATTTATTAGAACTAACGATTTTATAAAAACAGAATAACTAAAGCTCTAAGAGGCTAAGTTCTTAACTAAGGAATATAAATGCCTTACTATTAACTATAATCTCAAGTTTAATAGAGGTATTATCTATATAGATATTACTGGAATTATTCTTATATAGGAATATTAGTATAAAAACCTCTAAACCGTTTCTATAAAAAATATTACTACTATAAGTAATAGAGGTACTATTTATTAAGATTTCTCTATTAAGGACTAATATATTATCTAATATACTAGAGAAGTATATATTATATTAGTCTATTAACCAGAAGTTTTATATAATTTATTAATTATGGCTCAGGCTATTAAACCTTCGGAAACCAATATAAAGGTACTTAATAAATACATTTAATAGCAAATTGAGAATATTATTAGAGAACTGAGATTTATAAAGCTAGTAAAGAAGTCCTTATATTTGGTTATTTTTATAAATACTTTATTTATAAATAATAGAGATTTCTTTTCCTAAATTAAATATATTCTAGTTCTAGTAAATGGAACTAGATATATTAATATTATTTACTAGTTCTCTATTAAATACAAGAGAGTTACTAGAAGTATTCTAGCTTCGGAACTTTATAGTATAACTTATGGTTTTAATATAGGTACTTTAGTTAAATCTATAATTAATAGAATACTAGAAATAGAACTACTACTAGTAATTTATACGGATTTGAAGTTATTATATAAATGCCTTATTAAATTGGGAATTATTCGAGAAAAGTATCTAATAATTAATATAATATATTTTTACTAGATATATAAATAATGAGAGATTATAGAAGTTAAATAGATTAAGGGAGAATCGAATCCTACCGATTCTATAACGAAATTAAAGCTAATAAATACTCTCAAGTACCTAATTAATATAAATATCATATAATTAAATATAGAGAAATAGGTCAAATATAAATAGGGCAGGAAATAGATATATGAGATAAGAGGATATTATAGGAGGGGAAGTTATATATAAAAGGCTATAGCCTTTAGTATATAACCAAAACCTTAGAAGTAATATGGATATATAAAGTATTTAGGAAATCTGGTACTAGACCGGATTAGGGAATTTGTATATAATTAAAGGAAGATACTATTTTTTGTATTTTTAGAGAGTTTCTAGTATTAGTATAGCTATTTCTTTAGGAGTTATATATATAGTTACGGGATACGGGATACGGGATACGGGATACGGGATATAGGTAATAGGATATGGGTAATAAGATATGGGTAATGGGATATGAGATACGGGATATAGTTATGTGACCTTGCGTTCTATTAGTGACTCGACTAGTAAACTAGACTCCTTTAGGCTTAGTAGATTTAGAGATCATATATTAATACTATAATACTATAATCCTTACTTCTAAATAATAACTTTACTAACTAATATAACTAGTATTTCCACGCCTATATAATAGTATTATATATTACTAGTAAACTAATACTAATAAATAATATTAATTTTATAAAATAATACTTTAGTATTTTAGATTAAACTAATTAAAATATTTAGTTTTTAACCGAAATTATAATTATTAGCTAGCTTTTATATTTGAAATATAATTATTATTTCTTTTTACTTATTTAGCTCTAATTTAATTAAATGATTTTTATATTTATTATTTAATTTATATTAGTAAAATTAGATTAGTAAAATTAGATTAGTAAAATTATTTCTTAAAATAATAAAAGTTTATTTTAATTAAATATTTTATTAGAATAAATTAATAAATCTTAGAAATAAATTTTTAGAAAAGAAATATAGTTATAATATATATAGAATTATATATAATCTAAGAATATATAATAAACCTCGAATATTATAAGTATTAATTAGAGAAATTAATAGCTTTTTAATATTATTATTATATTATTATTTATATTATAAGCTTTAGGCTTATAAATTACTAAATATATATATATAATATTAGAAGCTTTTATTTAAAAGAGGCTTTTCTAAATTTTATAAAAGAAATAAAAATTAGTTTTATATTAAATTTAATATTATAGTTTTATAATTTACTAATAAATATCTTATAGAAAAGTAATATTAATAATATTATTATAAGAATTAAAAAGGCTTATTACTCTAATATTATTAATTATATAATAAGAGTTTTTTATAATATTAAAATAAAGAAAATTCGAAAATAGTTTTTTATATAAATAAATAAGAAATATTTATAAATCTAATTTAATTTAACTAGTTTTAAAAGCTATATTAGCCCTTAATATATTTTTACTAAAGGCTAAAAAGAATAATAAAAAGATATTTATAAAAAAAGCTATAAAGAATAAAATTATTAAATCTATTAAGAAATAATAATTTAAAGTCTTATTAAAATAGGCTTGTTTTAGTAATAGCAGATTTAAAAGCAAGCTTAGTAATAAAATAAAAAAACTAGTTTATAAGCTATATTTTTAGAAATAATAATTTATTTAAAAAGAAATTAGTAAATAGAAATTAGAATAATAAAGAATAAAGAAAAATAAACTTTATAATATTTTTATTTATTTTATATTTATATATAATTATTATTCTTTTAAAAAGCAATTAAAAATAATAAGAGTTTTTCTTCTTTTTATAATAAATATCTATTATATTATTTAATATAACTAGTTAATATAATTACTTTATAATTAGTTCTTATCTAAAAGAGTTCTAAATTAATTAATTTCTATATATATTAATATTTTATTATAATAAATAATAAAATCTAGCTATATTAAATTATAAGAATAACTTATAACTTTATTAATTATAATAAATATAGCTTATAAATTTACTAATTATTAGTAATTAAATTATAAAATAATTAAATAAATGTCTTATTAAATTATAATTATAGCTTAAATACTTTAATTTTATAAATCGAATACTTAGTTCTAAATTCAAGTTATATTTCTAATTAGCTAAAAGCTTACTAAGAGATTTTAGCTACTTATAAGAAAGCTTTTTTAGATAAGAAATAAAATAGCCTAATAAGACTAGTTTAATTTTTATAAATTATAGTTATTAATTAATTATTTAATATAAAAATTTAAATCTTTATAAAATAATATTTCTTAAATCTCTTAATTACTACTTTTATTTTAAGAATTAATATATTTATTAATAAAAGTAGATTTTATTTTAAATATAAAATATTATATAAAAAAGTTCTAGTATTTTTTATTTAATATATAATAACTTATATTATTAAAGAAAGTAATATATAAATAATCTTTAATTATTTAAATATAATAAATTGCATTGAAGTTTCGACGATTATTTATTGCTTTAGGGCTTTGGTTTTAACGGGCATTACAAGGTGTAGGTTAGTAAGAGGTTAGGATGGGAAGGTTTCTCTTTTGGGTTAGAGCAATCTCCTAGCCGAACTGTGAGATTATACAACTCGGCACTGGAAGGGTGGATATCTGAATGTCTTCTTCGTATAGTGCTTAAAGCGTTTTGAGAATAGTATTTTTCGTTTCTCATTCTAGCTAGCCGCGCCTGGTGGCCGTGAAGAAGCCTCCAGCTATGGTCGGAATATCAATGGCCAGCGCCCGGCGAACTAAGAGGAAGCTTTTGCGGGGAAGTCCAGTGTTCAGTCTGCCTCGCCTCACAGTGTTATCAATTGAACCCAATGAATTGACCTGTGAGTTGCGAGTGGACCACGTCACTTCTCGTGTAGCACAAAAGAAAAATTCTTCTTGCTCTGCATTGATGAGGCTAATAACGGTAGAGAACATCCGTATACCGCCGCCAATGATGACGGATCCTTCCTTGAAAGTACGCCTGCCGGCCGTTGGGCAGCTTTGGATGCACTTCACTGTGCATTTCGTGCGACCTCAAACACACTTGCCGATGAATGACTGGACACTGCTCAAATGCCATTGTGCCAACCAATGGAGCAGTGGGCAACTCTGCAAGGCAGAATCACTAACGGCTGTCGCTTTTGTCTCCTCCTTCGGCTTTCCCACCTTTCTTTCCTTTTCCCCCCCACTTCCACTTCTACCTTCGCATCGCGTTCTTTTGGCAACATCAGCGTGAAGCGTGTCTATCTACTTTCACATTGGAGAAAATGAGCATACTGTTTCGCGTCTTAAAGTCGTCAACTTTCTCTCGAATGTATTGTTATTTCTATATACCTAGCGCGGTGGGTGAAAAGAAATGTTGAGAGTAAGTAACGAAGAGTCCCCTCGCGAGTCCTTGTACCGCTCGTGGCCCCTGGAGTTGTTTGGGACACCACGATACTTTGATCGCAAGGCCGAGAACCAACCCTACATTGAGTGGTTAAGAGACTGGTATAGGAGGGATACTGTTGAAGACACACTTAGTGATGATGACGAGGGGGGTGAAGAGGAGGGAGCGATTGGAGAGGTTGAAGAGGAAGAAGCGGAAGAGGGATTTGAGTTCCCAAGAAACGGTTTCGATCTCTCAAGGGAGACTGAAGATGAGACACCAGAGAAGATTTGCCAGGGTACGAAAGATGACGATAACAATGTTTTCGGTCAGAGAAATATTGTCAGGCTTTTCATGGAAGGTATGGTGGGTGACGAAGAGGACCTACCGTATCAAGATCAAGTCGATGTCGTGGCGGGATGGTATGAGCAAGCAGTCGGCTATGATGTCGACAAAAACGCGGCAATTCTACTCGACGATAGGACTCGTGATGATGAGATTTCAAGGAACCCAAGACAATCACGGCCGTGGCATGGTCCGTTGTCCTCAAAGCAACTCAGAGAAGAATTGAGCAAGCCGGTAAGTTTGTTCCAAACCGCTTTCCCTTTCCAAGCTCGCGGAGACTCACATCTCACAGCGTTACGTGGTGGACCCCCGGAAGACTTCTGTGGACAATAGCGGGTCCACCGCCGAGAGGAGACTCATGTAAGTCAAGGAATGTGTCTTCACCATTGTCATGAGAACTCAAACGTGCCCAGCTTCATTACCGATCTTGATCCACCCAACATGGAGGCCGTTCTTGCAACTGCACCTCGAACCCATGCTTTAGCACTCAAGAACTGCTTGTATAGGTATTTGACTGGCAAAGCAGCCATAGAAGTCACCATTCCTGTAAGTTGAATTCTGCTGGTAGATCGAACTGTCATCACTAATACAATGCTTCTACGGCAGTCTCGAGGATTTCGTTATTTTACAATGGAGTTCCACCTTCCGTTTTACGTCTTGAAACAAAGTAGATATCTAATTGAAGACACTCGGGGGGGGTATGGTCGCAAGCATCTACGGCGTTCCTGGCGTCTCCCTTTCTTGTCCTCGTGTAAGAGCCCACTAAGATCATATGTTGGGGACCAGTGCCTGTATGAAGCTCAGATTTCGGTCACTGTAACTGGGATTGATCACCGAACTTGGACTGCCTATGGTTTCTTGGATACTTACTATGGATCAAACAAGACTACAGATTCCAACCCTATTGGGAGGTTACGAACAAATCAGATCAACGATCCCCAGTGTGGGCTCTGATAAGCTTGATAAGCGATGATTAGATAATCGCGCTAATTTGTCGATAATCGATAATTATCGATAATTGGCGATAATTATCGTTCTAGGCGGTGAGGGGCCCGGCAGAATCTGCCCCTCCTGCTCTCTGTTCTAATTAATTAATTAATTAATTAATCTTTATACTAGTTCTTTAAAGAATATAACTAATTTGAGATATATTGAAAAAGTAATGATTTGAGTTATTACTTTATTAATCTAATGGCTAGCTAACTGCTTTGCCTTAGATATAAAGGTTAATTCCCTGATGCCTGACCTGGTTACTTTGCCAGTAACCCAAGTAAACTAACTACCCTATAGTACTGTTATAAGGCGTTCGCTAACCTTACTAATGCCCATTATTCCTAATCTCATTTATTGGACTAGCTTTATATCCTTTTTCTGGATAGTAACCCGCTTTATATAAATGGCTATAAGGTTTATTACTGGAATTAGATTAGTATAAAAATTAGTATAATTAAGAAAAATGACTTATACTCAAACTCCGTAATAAGAAGCGCCTCCGTAGACTCTTGTAAAGTATATAAAGCCGAAGCTTGGATGTATATATCTTGTCTATTCTCCTGAGCTAAAATCTCCTTTACTAATCAATGAAATAGTGCCTTTGGAATTAATAAATTAGTACTCCTCTAATATTTTCTGATTTCTTGAAGGGCCTTGGCTATAAATCCAGTTAGTAGATATACTAATATTTTTACTAATTAACTAATTGCCAGGTCTGAACCTATATTTTCTCTTTTATATAATAGCAGGAATATGGCCTTTTCTGCCAAGTGTCTTTCTTGGAGCCTTGCCTGTAAGAGCCTTCCTAGAAGTAATACGCTTGCCATTAGTTTGCTTGGTTCGTACCATAGTTAAATAATTGACTAGAGATTGCGATTACTATATCTTGATTAGTATAGTAATTAATATAAATTAAGAGATATACTATAGAAGGGGTTAATTGAGGGATTAATTAAGGGATTGAAGTAGTATAGTTAAAGGAAAGGTATTAGCTAAGGTAAAGCAATAGGGAAGAGTAAGGTAATAGCTTAAAAAAATTTTCATATGCCTTAAAAGTGAATTATTTTATATTATAAAGTCAATTTTATTTTACCTTATCTTGCTTACCTTTTGATTTCTTCTTAATAACTCAACTATACTATTATATAACTCTATACTATAACCTATAAGTTGGTATTCTAATATACTAATTAATCTACTAATCTCTATATAGATCGTCCTTATAGTATGTTCTATAGTAATGGACTATAATTAGTATACCAAATGTATTAGTAATTACAAAATATTACCGATTATTATTGAATTATTCCCAGAGCCTGAGGTAAGTCTATATTTATATTATATTAATCTTTATACTAATTATAATATTATAGGATAGTAGCCATATTAATATGGTATCTCAACTAGCCTCTTCTATTAGATCTGTCCGTACTACTGCTCGCAAGAGAAAAGTACTAACGGATCTGTCTCAAAACCCAAATACTATAAAAGCATACAAGTATAATAAAGCTCTTGCAAAAGACCCTATCCGTACTAAGATTAAGAAGGCGAAGGCAGTAGATCAAGGTATAATTATAGTAGCAAAACGCAAGGTAGTAAGCTCGGTAGTATATAAGAGTACTTTACTATTAAGATAGTAGGAAATGGTATAGGAGTCTATTATAAGTATTAAATTAAGGAGATATTTTCAGAATATTCCTATACTAATCTTTATACTAATCTGGCTTTAGAGAATAATAAGGAAAGAATTAGAAAGCAGTTGAATAATTACTTAGCTATAGTAAGTATAGTGGCTCATATATAGTTTGGGATAATAGTAATCCGGTATAAGAAGATATTAAATATAATTCCGAGAATAATATATAGTTTGAGGAGATATGGAAGACTAAGGAAAAGCTTAATCAAGAGAAAGAGATTAAGCGAGTTCCAGAGAATAAAATGAAAGAAAAGGCTAATGGTATATAAAGAGCTTTGGCCAAGGTATATAACCTCTTTTTGGATTAGTATAAAGATTAGTATAAAACTAACTAAAATAGAAATATAAGTATATTGAGTTTATAGTATAGCAGGAAACTTGGCAAAAGAAGAAGAGATCCTTGTTTTATAAGATTAGATTATTATATAGTAGGTATAGATTTTACTTATCTTTATATTAATTACTAATTATTATATAGTAATTATATTATACTTATTAGTCCTACTAAATTCTTTATACCAGGCGAAAAGGCTATTTGGAGAAACTTGGCTAGTTAGGTATGAGGAGATAATAAATGGGTTAACCTTCCTGGTCCTACTACTTAGTAGCCAGAATCCGAGGCTGAGTTAAATACTACTAGCTTTCACTTCTTTACTAAATCTCGAAAAGGCTACAAAATAGTAATATTACTAGTATATACTAGAAAGAAGCCAAAGAATGGCTTGTACTAATATGTCTTTCTATCTAACTCTAAGTTATGGGTTATGAAAGATACTATAGCTACTTAATAATATTTGAGAAACTTCTTTAGTAAAAGCGGTAGTTAGCTAGGTACTATGTCTTTGAGATACTAGTAGTTATAAATTATAAAGAAAACAATTGCAATTATACTAATTTTTATACTAATCTTACTACCTTTTACTAGTATTAATAAAAATACTCAAAATCCTATTTCTTTTCTAATACTTTAAATATTCTATTATCTCTAAAGTCTTAGCTATTATTTGGGTTCTATCCCATAATACTATATAGCGAGTACCTGAAAAGATTTGCTCTGCTTTAGTACTTATTACTAGAATTAAGAGAATATTAATTGCCATAAGTGAGAGCTTTGGCCAGTACCTTCTTTATATATCTTAATACTACTATTAAAGTATAGACAAGTCCCTAATATTATATAGCTCCTTCTAATAATAATCCTTATATTTATCTTAACTTACCGGCCGTATATATTTCCCTAATATCTGAGTAATCTCATTAAAATTATCTAGTTCTTTTTCTACTAGCTATTTAATTTCCTCGACTAGTACCGAACTATTAGGGGTAGATATCTAATCTCGATATTTCTCCTAAAGCTTTTTGACTTTAGTTAAGGTAGGCTAAACCCATCTTTTCTCCTAATTAGCCCTAATATACTTTGTATAGCGATTCGGATAAAGTATAAGAGCAGTAGTATAAAGAGGCGTATTATCGGACTTGCGGTAATATGTATTAAAGACCTCCTACTCTTTCCGGATTCGAGTATAAAAGTCTTTATTATTTATATATATATTCTATTATACTATAGTTAGTATTATTAATTCAAGTAATAAAGATTAGTATAAAGATTAGTATAAAGATTAGTATAAAAATTAGTATAAAAATTATTATTTACTAGTAATCTATTAAATACTCGAATTAAAATATCTATTATAAAAAGTACCCGATTAATAATTATAGTATTTCCTTGAGTCTCAAGAGTAGCTTTATAGAATGGTTTGAGAAAGGTAGAAATTATCCGAAGCCTTTCCTAGTCTTCCGGACTGAGGTAATCTGATTTCAGATTTGCAAGATACTTCTTGTAATAGGTATTAAGATAAGTATGTTACTAAAGAGTAATATTAAGTATTATATACTAGCTATTCTATTATATCCGATTATTAAGAGGAATTATTCTCCTAGTAAGAGCTTTAAATCTGGTAATCTAACTAGGAGAGTAACGAATATATATAATAATATTATAAAGCTGGCCTAATGGTCCCAAAAGTCGAAATTTTATTTGTTTTTCCTTATTACTTAATAGGGCTTCCAAATCTCCCAAGTTCTCTTACTTATTAAATGCCTCTAATTCTCTATTTATAAAAATATTATGAAATAAAAAGGCTTATATAGAAAGGTTAATAATATGTCCTAAATAATGAACCCGCTATTACAAAGTATTCTATTCTAATCCTTCTTCCCTTAGTAAATAAGCCTGAATAGCTTGATATAATATACTATTTATATTAGTATTATTACTAATAATAGCTCCAAGTTATTTGGTAATACTATAGTCTTAAAGTACAGGTTATAAAACCGTAAATTGGTTTTCTCCTAAATAACCTGGTACTATATAAAGAGCTAGAAGGGCCTTTATATAATTCTTATCTTGTTATTTAATAAAATATATAATAATATCTAAAAGAAGATATCCTTGCAGAGAAGTCCAGATATTAAGAGCGAGATGAATACTTGAAACTACAGACTAGAGTTTTCGTTATATAATATCCTTTAAGCTAATCTAGTACTCCCTAAGCTTTTTTCTTATATAAGAGTAAGTTATAGAAAGAAAGGGCTGAGATTCTGGATTAAGTACTTAATAAAAGGTATGAAATTCGGGCTATTTAATTATTTGAAAAGGTAGATTATAGATAATAATTAATGAAATTAAAGCTTTATAAATTACTACCCGATTAAGGTATTATTAAAAGATATATATATTAATTTCAGTTATTTGGCCAGATAACTCTATTTATAAGTAAAGCTATTATAGCTAGTTAATTACTTTTAATTAAAATGGACTGATTTCCGATCCGCTCTTAATAGTAATATTATATACTAACTTAAGATAATTGCATTAATTAGTAGAGACTGAAGTCAAATAAATATTCGGTAGATTTTCCTTTTTATAAGGAAGACAATAGTAGTATTTGGGTAGTTCTCCTGTATCTAGATACCCGAGACGAGTATAAGCCCAAATAGCTCTTGCAAGTTCTCCCTATTTGGAATTAGATTTGGATTAAGTCGAGTCTATATTAGTAGAGGCTTAATAGATTAATAAGGCAGATTCAGAAGCCATGTTTGAATAATGGAAGATAAAGTACTATTATATATTAAAGAGAGAATAAAAGAGAGTATGAAAATTTTAATCTTTTTTGGAAGAAATAGTAGTATAAATCTTAGTATTATGTATTAAATACTGGCTAGTCTATGTTATATAATAGACTATTAAATAGAAAGTATAATAGTATATTTATAATAGTCTACTTTTATACTAATCTTTATACTAATTGGTTTATAATTGAACTAGAAAGCGAGATGTTTATGTGATGGGACTTGCTTAATAGCTGGCTGGGCCCACTTTTATTAATGATTATTGAGGCGATGGGGCTCGCTTAAGGGCTGGCTGGGCCCACTTTTATTAATGATTATTGAGGCGATGGGGCTTGCTTAAGGGCTGGCTGGGCCCACTTTTATTAATGGAATTATTAATAACTGGATTAAATACTAGCTAGTCTATGTTATATAATAGACTATTAAATAAAAAGTTAAAAAGTCTAATAGTATAGTAATAATAGTATACTTTTATACTAATCTTAATACTAATTGGTTTATAATTGAACTAGAAAGCCGTAATGGGGCTCGTTTAATGGCTGGGCCCACTTTTATTGATGATAATTATCGATATTGATCGTTTATCGATCGCTTAGCCGATAACGATTACTAATCGATAATTTCGATCGATAATTTATCGGAGCCCACACTGCGATCCCCTTTCAGCTGATCGAACCGTTTGGAATGAACTTCCTCCGACACCTAGGGAGTACTTCTTTAGAGTATTCGAGACTCGAATAAGACAAGTTCGGCGAGAATGGAGGGCCATAATTGATGCAGTAGAGAAAGACATAGCACGGTAGGTCTTCCTCTTAGATCCATGTTCTGTTATCTTGGCTTTTCGACTCAAACCAAGCATCTCGATCACGAAGAAGACTCTTTTTCCCCTCCAAATACTTTCCGTTCCAAGTTCTTTCCATCGTTCTGCCTATCAAAAGCAGATTTCGTAGACTAATTCCTCTTTTTAATAGTTGTGAAAGGAACGCAACGCTTCCCCAGGGTTTTAGACATCCACAGCCGCGTCAAGGTATACGTGAAGAGCAGGCATGGAGAAGCCAGATGTTAATGCTCGTTAAGCCCCTGACAAATCGTCTTGGGGATACTGTAGAAGCGTGGGACAGATTCCAGCAGAACGAAATCGGGTACTTTCTTTTGGATGATAAATACTTGGCGACCTCAACACAGCTGAGAACTTGTGTTGCTGCGGTTGTCACAGTGTTCTTAGATCTCAAGGACATTCTGAAGAAACTCCGAAGGCTCAAGAATGAACTCCTGGTAAGCCATCTCAGATGTCAGAACTTGAGGAACGCACTTCATAACCTTGACTTGCAAGTTGCTAAGCATAATACTTGACCTAGGTCAATGTCCACCTCAGCCAAGAAGATCATGAGTCCAAACTCCTACAGATGAAGAGTGCGCGGCAAAATCAAATTCTTGTTGTCATCACGATTGTAAGCTGTCTTACAGAGACCACAGTTTAATGGTTCATCGGTTAATGGATTTTTGCTGACGAAGTCTTTAGGCATATCTACCACTAGTCCTCGCGGCAAATCTGTTCAGTACCGCACCAGGAGTTCTGCCTTTTACTCCGACTTTTGGAAGATTTATAGTTGCGTTATTTGCCTTGGGCTTCCTTATAGCGGCGTCAATCGTTTCCTTATTCCGCTGGCACGGCTGGACCCGACTTTTCGTCAACTTATGGATTAATCGCAGTTCTCGAAAGCGCTCTAGCTGGGATGTGGAACGTGGAGTGGACGACAACGACGTTGAGACATCTACACAACATCCTCTAAACCTGGAAAGTCCAAATGCTGAATGACAACCATTCCGCCGGCCGAGAACTTGAATCTCCCGGTCAACACGCCCCGGCAAGCGAGTGACGAGACTCAGCGAAAGCCTAGAGGACGGGGTCATAGCTATGCAACGTGGATCGAAGACTACCTTAGTCCAGCTTTCAAACGAATCCAGTCAACGATATCAGGGACGCGACTTTCTGGAGAACGTACACCTGTATAGCACATGTCAATATTCAAGCCTTTGCACCCATAAGCAACGTATGGCAGAGACGGCTTCACTCTTAACCCGCCGCTGACAAACAACGAATACATTGGACAAACGTAAGTAATCCTTACTCACCTGTTCTCTAATTCAAACTATAATCTTTCCATTTAACTTATAATTCTTGCCTCTTTTATAGCAAGTAATTCTTTAATATTATTAGCCTTTAAACTAATAATATTCTATTCATTAGAAATAGTAATTTCGCTAAGCAAAGTAACTAAAGTTTTAAAAAACTAAGTTTTTAGCTAAGAAATATAAATGCGCCACTGGTGGTACCGTTGCCTTGGTACGGGGTACGTACTGTACCTTCAGTCAGCGGAACACCAGAAGGGCCACGTCTGCTTAGTCCTCACCACAAACCCGGTTGGGCTGCTATCTTCGGAGCCACTCTTGTGACTGCCCCAGGAATCTGCCATTAGGCGAATAGTTGGTATGGTCGAAGACCTCAAGTTTTATATACAACCGTGACTGACGCTTCTTTCGAATAGGAGAAGTCCGAGGAAAAGACCGATCATAGAGAGCTTTCTTCGATGAGGGAAATTTTGGCCGCTCCTTCACCGGACTGAGAGGCGGAGAAATGATAGTTCGATGACATTCCATAAGAAGGCTGGATCTTGGTGGGGGAGGCCTCGAAGTCCAGTTGTGTCGTGTAACATTCGTTAATTTCCTAGAGCTTTTTCATTCAAACTCAGAAATGAAAACTTTCCGTTAGGGGATTCTATCATGGGTGTTCGGGACGGTGAGACCCGTGACACCCGTCTCTGTACTGCTCCTATCCGGAAATCCCAAGTCCTCCCTTCCTAAACCGTCACGCGCACAAGCCAAACATCCCGTTTCCTCTGATTCCATGCTCTCGTCGGATCGCTTTCCGTTTGACTCGTATTGAGTCCAGTGCCCCTAGTGAAAACGCTAAGGTTGAAGAGTGCAGGCTGGGTTCGAGAGGGCATGTCTGTTGTGCAGCATTTTGTGCCTGGGTCCGTGGCAGGAGGCTCCACATGCCCTACCTATCTTCTCAACCAGGAGAAGAGGCAGACCAACTAGCTGGGCAGAAATGTGCCGGTGTACAATGCATCTCCCCGAACAACCTCAGACCGGGCGGAAGACAGCAGACCCGCAGGGTCAGGCGTGGTACGGGAGACAGTATGGAGAGTTCCGCAGCTGTACAACCTACATGTCGAAATAATTGTTAATTATCACCTGTTTACAGGGGTTTTATCAGCGAAATAGCTAGCATCGCAGGGTGGTCTGACCAATCACCTGTCTTGATTCCAGCCTGTCGTGCTGTATGCAGTTAGACAGAGTTAACATTTAAAGCACCCTGTACGTAGTACAAGATCGTATTCCCTGACTCGAAGAAATCTATAATAGTGGGAGCCGATCCTGCTCGGCCCTTAACATTCACTTGTTGCCCCATTCATTGGCCAATTCAGCGCTGCTCCGCGATGGCTTGCGATTGGCCGGGAAAACACGCGAATTGGAACGCAAGGGCAATTTTGGCTCGAGATTTTTTATTTCATTCCTTCAACATCATGAGTTGTAGGAGTGAAAGACTTGGAGCTGCTGGTCCGTCAGTCGGCCATGTGCCAGGGTTGTTGTCTTCGTTGGGAGGGCAGCAGCAACGCCAGCTCGACGCGTTGTTAGCCCCCCTCGATCGGGAGACGTCGCAGACAACCGATGAACCATCCGGGCTGCTCTCGGGAGAATCAACCACTCACGGCAAAGCTTTTCCCGCTATCGATGATGTGAGTTCCTCCCTTCTATTTTCACTGTGTGCCTGAGATTCCGCCTTCAACCCCGCAACCACTGACGTGCGAGACTAGCCAGGCCCAGACCCTCCTTCCTCGGCCTACCTTCTCGACGGATTGCCCTCCGGCCATGATAACTATGTAAGCTGCGATACCTGCGATACCTGCGATACCTGCGGAGCTAGCACATGGACATGGAACCGTGCCGCTCCTTCCTGTGGAGGGGCTGGAGGGGCTTTGACAAGGGCTACATCATACGACTCTTTTGACATCAGCCATGTGTATCGAGAGCGCAAGGTATCCTGCCGCCCCTAGATACAATCAAGGAAGAAAGCTAATACCACCAGCCACCTGCCAGGCGCAAGACCATGCACGTATGGGAATGCTGCCAGTGCGGGAGAGGAAATATCAATATCCAGCTCGAGCAATGCCCCGATTGCGGTGTATACAGATGTGCTTACTGTAAAACGACTAGAGTACAAGTTCGAGGACACTAGCCGTTTGGCAGTAAGCATGAGACAAAAGATTGGTAGAAGGAATAGTCACTGCGTAAGTCGTAGTAGCGTGGGAGCTCAGACTCACAGACTAACGGATTGAATTGCAGGGTCAGCGTTGATATCTCAGCACTGCGACTCTACCGACAGAACTCTCTGGACTGCTGTCGACCTTCCTGCGTACGCGAACCCAGATTATGGGCCTACCTACAACGTGTAGACTGACTTTCCTTGGGATCGAAAACTCGATGTTATCAACTGTTAAGAGGGCTGGCTGGCCCTTCGTATTCGAAAGAACCTCCCGAGCGGCTGCTATCGACCTGCCAGCATTTTGATCTTCCAAATACGTTAATTTCATCATCTTCGCACTTGTATTGGTTTCAGGCCTTGTTCTCTGAGCATTCTGTGCGGCGTTTCAATCACGGCGTTTCCTTGGCCGGTGGCTTTGCACTCCTTTCTTGTCTATGCGAGAATTGTTATAATCCCACCAGTGGGCATCTCTTATTTAGTGTATTTTTATTCAGTGTGGAAAAGCTTGTTTTCTTTTGTGCTCATTTCAGCGGTGTGGTGGTTAACTGTTTTGCTTAACGCAAAGCGTTTTCCTGCCTTTAGGAGTTGGATTTTTAAAAAGTCGTTTTGCTATGTAATAGATTTATTTAGAGATGGTAGACACGTTCGTCCTTCTAATCCCCTCATGTCATTGCCGTTACCCACCCATCACAAAGTACGCCCTTGGCGTCTGAAAACTGTATGCTGAAGTGGTTAAATTGGGCGGGTACACGCTTGGAGTCTTTTAGGCTGTGTTGGTTTGCTCCTGCGACGACAACCCACCGGGCTATGATGGATGCTGTCAAAGGGTTGCAGCCCAAAGAAAGAGCAAACTTGGTCTTGGTCGAGAAGCAGGCATGGCACTCTAAAATGCAGCTCCAGCTCCAGCTATCCTTCTCCTCGCAACTCTCGATATCTATGCCTCCCGACTTCTGCACCTTTGAGCCCAAGAGACATCGAAGCTCGGAATCCTGCCGCTGCACAACTCGACAGGGTTTGAGGCTCTGGATAACGAGGTGCCCCCGTGCCCCCGCTTTCTCGGATGCACCTCGCGCCGCTGAACCAATCGCCGACAGTTCCAGCAGCAGCACGGCCCGTCCGCCGCCCTGTCCAAATCAGTGGTATTTCGCGACCAAGAATGTCAGCTCGACGGATTTGCCGAGATGCTTTGGTGCCCAACAGCCTCACATTCGCAATTCTGCGTGACCGCCTGGACCAGAAATCGATCAGCCTTACCCGCTCTCATCTTCTCGCTTCTCGCTTCAGCAGCCAAAAGACGAAACCTAAAGCTACCCGAAATTTTCAGTGCCCAATACTCGCACACCACACTGAGGAGGGCCGGGTGACTTGACTGAACGACAGAAATGTGTTAATTTGTGAGTGGTTATTGAGGATAAATTCTACTCCAGGCTCACATGCTTTAGAATTCAGTTGCTATGAACGCCCGAGGCCTTAGAAGTGCAGCCTTGATGCCCAGCCCTATCCTTCAAACACCCTTCACAAGCTGAAATCCGACAGATATTCAAACGGTGAGGGTGCAAAATGGTGTTAGCACTCGCTCCATCAGTACTCAAGCGGTGTACAACTACTGGCGAGTCGGCGTCTGGAGGGTGGTGGACAGGCGGTCCAAAGGAGGTATCATGGGGTGCATCCTGTGTTCCTGTCAAATACCCAAGTACGGCTGCTTGACCGCTGGCATGGAGTCACACGCTAAAGCACACTATATGATGCAGATTCCCTTTTGTGCGAGCACCGCAAGACAGTTAGAATCTTGCCCGACCATCATCCTCTACCTCAGGTACAGACCGCTCCTCGTGCCTCTCGTTGGCCGGGATGCCTTGGAATATCAGTTTCAGAATCTTAACTCCGCAATCCAGGAACCAAATCTCTAAACTGGCCTCCATCCCAGCTACTTTCAGATCAGTCTGCATCTAATACAGAGAACTCTCATGAACTTCTTGAAAATTCAACACTCTCATCCTTCACCTCTCGCTAGAGTTGCCAAGCCACTGCGTCACGAGACATGAATCCCAAACCAGTATCCGCCGGCCACATCAGCTTTGGCAACAGCTGGTGGGCTGAATTCTCCTCTCCCCGTTCGATAACAGATGAAGAGCGACTCGTCGAAGCCAGGAAAGCTCAGGACGCCGATGGAGACGATCTGGGCCTCTTTTTTATCGACTCTCGGGACACCACCGCCCCTTTAGAGGTCGACGTGGTGGAAAGCTTCTGTCGGGGTACGAATCTCGAGTACGTCGAGAAAGGAAAAGGATCGGCAGGAAGCCTGAGGACCGTCTGGCTTGATGACAGGAACAGTCCTGGCTTTGAGGGAAGTGGAGACACGAGGGTACATGAGAACCCATTGACGGCGACTGGATTACTACGGGCCTTGGCGGAGAAACAACTCAATCATGAGAAATTATGTAACGCGGCAAGAAGGTTAATCTACGTTTCGGATTTGAATCCGGACTGTATTCATGCTCTGGCAGCTACGGCATCATCGCTCCATGCTCGTGCCTTGCGAAGTACTATCTACAGGCATCTCGTATTCCGGCCCTCCGTTGGGGTCAAGATACCCTCTGCGGGCTGTCTTAGATTCCAGCTGGAACTCCACCTACCTTTCTTTATTATGAGAAAATCCACGCCACCCGACAAAACCCCTCAGGGCACTGTCAAGACGAAGCCCGACAGAGGCTGGACAGATCTTTCCTTCTTGAGGCTCGATGCCTGTGACTCCAACAGCCGGTCCTCAGAGCCAGAGGAGGTTTGGTGTATGCAGGAAGCCCAGATATCGTGTGTGGTAACTGGAACGGACGACTGGAGATGGACCGGATATGGTTTCGTTGACGCTGAGGTTGACGGTGAGCTGGCTGAAGCACCGGAATCGGATATGTGCTTCGATCAAATAGCAGGCGACGGCGAAGTCGAGGCAAACCTTCCGATCTGGAGACCACGCGACTGGTGGATCAAGGTATTCGAGGTCCGGATTGACCAAGTCACGGGACACTATGAAAATCTGGTACATAAACTGAACTCTGCGTTCGATCAATATGTATGAGCTTAACCCTCACCTTTAAATATCAAAGATTGTATTCGAATACTGACCTATTGAACAGATGAAAGACCATCCATTTAGCTTGTCCCCCCGACGGACCACTTCACGGCACCAAACTACTGAGATACAAGCAGCTTTCGAGTGGACTCTCCAAATGATGAGGGTCTTGACCAAGCCTCGCAATGTGCTCTTGGCCACAGTCGAGGCATGGCGCGCTTTCGACTCCGAAGACGGAGATGTGCAGTACTTCTCCGACGACCTTCATGCCGCTGCCAGAGAGACAAGTCAAGCATTCGAGGCCTCCGCTGCGCGTTGCCGTTCGACGAAGAATATCAAAGCGAAGTATCGTGAGCTGCGTGGATATCTTAGCGAGATAGTTGCGCTCGACAAGAGTTGTGCGGATTACAAGAAAGCTGTGAGTGCCACCACACGACTACTTGCAACCAGTGTTGCTTAGGGCAAGAAGAAGTTTTGCTGACGACTGGAATGTAGCTGGAATTAAGCCTGTTGCTTGGCCAAAAGCAGACAGCTGACAAGAATGAATTCACCAACGTCTTTACCGTCAACGTATGTATTTCTATTTCCCAATCAAAGAGGAGATTACTCTTCTCTTGCTAACTGGGAATCCACAGCTCCTCTACCCATTTGGACTAGCGGCTGCTGTCTTCAGCATGCAGCAAGCTGCCATCCCTTTCCCACAGACACCGAAGGCATTCGGTATCACGGCGGTCTTCTTCATATGTCTAGTGGCTCTCATCCAGTCTTTTGTTATCCATGCACAGCCTTGGCTGTGGAAAATGGTCACGCCGTGGCTTGAGAGAGGTGTGAGAGAGGAGACCAATGGGAGTATGCCTGACGCTCTAGTCAAAAAGAAGGAGGAAATAGTGAAAGGCGGGGCCCAGGAAAGGGTAACCGATGTAACTGATGAGGAGAGTGTCACGCCTAAGATGTCGAGGGATAAGAGTAGGACTTGGAAGAGTTGGGTGACAAGATCCTCCACTGAGAGAACTTTAGTTGGGTAATGAATATTATCACCTGATGACAACCGGCTCTGAATCAGTGAGGCCAGTCAACACTTCGGCAACTCGTCAAAACAAGTGATCTTCACATAGGGGAAGAAGAAGCTCTTCACCAGGTGATCCGTGCGTTGATCGATCTGATACTCAATCAAAGTTCTCGTACATAACATTAATAGACAAAGATGTCAACGAGGATGACAGCCATTCCCCACGCAACATACACACCTACTGCCAACACTCTTATCATGGCTCTAACTTCCAGTCATGAGCACGGCAGAAGAGAAGGACATCTCTTCTCTCACGACGGGCTTCCTCAGCAGTCTTTATCTTTTCGTTGTTGTCATTCTTATTCTGTCTCTGCTATTTTCGGATGGCAGTATCTTGACTGCTAAATCCTTTTTGATATAATGCCGGATGCACCGGTGATACGGTAAATAAACCCGACGAGACGAGGGATTGACAGCAATAATGAAGATGACAGTCATTATGCTGCTAGGGAACTGGTGAGCTAATAGTAATGAACTGAAGTGAAATTGAACTAAAATTGAAATATAAAGAACAAATATTACTTCTTTAAAATATAATACTTTTATTTAACTTTTATATATAGCAAATAAATATCTTATAAAAAAGTTATACTTAGCTTTATATTAAATATAAATTATTATTATTAAAGTAGCTACTAATAATAAGCTCTTATAGCTAATAATAATTATCGCAATTAGTATATTAGGGGCCAGGAGAAAGAAAGTTAAAAGCCGGCAGTTAGCACACTAATACTAATACTAATTATAGATTAGAAGGCAAGTAAAGGAAAGACCTGCTCGTGGTATTTTGTGAGCTGTGAGCAATGTCTTTGGGCAAACGGTGTATTGAGAGTCTCCCAGCTTGGAGTTCAGGAGGCCTCGCGTTGAACCGCCCGAACGGATACTTGAATTGAAATAGAGTTGCGTATATCGCATTGGATAAGAATCGCGCTCGTAATCTCTACTGTGCCTCGCCGTTGAAGGCATCATGCCCCGGCCACTGACTGAGCAACGCCTGTAAGGCCATGCAGACAAACCCATTGCTTTTCAACCAACCAAGCGAGATCGTTGAGATCATCAGCTTTGAACGCCTAAACTTGTTGAATGTTTTCCCAAAACACCACGCTAGATGCAAAGTAACCACAGCCCAATCATCATCCACTTGTATGTTGAATCATAATATCGTTGAAATATTATTAGTGCTTGACAGACCCGTTCGACAAAGGTATGTTCTCAACGCCATTGGGCTTAGCACCGACGCCATTGGTCTCCCCTACCTCGACAGGCTTGTCCAGGTCCGCAACCTCAAGATCGTCAAACAACGGGAACAATCCACGAGCCTGATGGAAGTCATTGTGGACTAGAAGTTGCGTTAGCCTGAAGTTGTAGAACAGCAATGATATGGGAACATACCAATATTGACAAGATGCCACGTTTCCATGATGTTCTCGATCAACTGACGACTTGGACTCAACGAAGAATAGCAGTGTGCCCAGTCCATACCAAGACGGAATGCTTCGTCCTTCCATGCTAAGAAACTGATCGTCTCAACAATGGTTGGCTGGACGATCTCCTTTCCTGGGAAAACACCCCACGTGACAGCGTTTGGTCCATCACCTGGGGCGTTGGTCCTCACATTGCCAACCTTCTTAACAGCATAATAAGTCAAGTCAGGATTCTGCTCAATCCTGGCAATCAGCTCATCAATGAGTGTTGGTGATACCAAGAGTTCAAGGTACGCTTTCTGGTAGACGTAGCCGTTGTTTGGGCCCCATCCATAGACCGGGTCCGAAGACTTCACTCCATCAATTGCTGGTTGAGAGTTGATGGTGAGAAAACCCCGTTTATTGAGTCTAATGAGGTCCTCCTTGATGGCGTCCGCTTCACTTGTGATCGGTGCTTCACTCCACGGAAGGCTGTCTACGCCTTTCTCAAGATACTTCACGAAAATGTCGGCAATGTCCTTAATCGATCTAGGTTCGCCCCAAAGCTTGCGATTCTGCTCATTCGTACCCTTCAAGCCGATGCCGTAAGTGTCCAATTCCCCGAAAGCAGGGGATCTCGAATCACCCCATCTGCCGTTGGGGAATTCGTCCCAGTCTTGAGTTCGGGCAACGTAAGACTTGTTCCGGTTCTTCCAGAAAATTGGGCGAACATCTTCTTCCCTGCGTCCCAGGCCGAGAGACTGTCTCCATGGCAATGCTTGCTTCAATGGTCGTTGATCCGAAGGCGTTAGGCTCAATTCATCCAGAACCATACGGGTTGCCTGGGCCAAATTCATGGTGTAGAAATGTAGATGGTGGATTCCCGACGCCAGGATTTTGCGGCACATCCCCGCAACCAGACCTGTCCCTAGGCTTCGAACAGCGGCATCATCGTTTTTGACTTGTTCCAACGCGGTGGCCCATTTAGGTGGAATAGTGGCATTCATGTGGTTGCACCTGCGAAGGAAACTGGCGTAAGTGTTTATGGGCATAATTCCGGGAACGATAGGGATAGTGATTCCCTTGGCCCTGACCTTTGAAACCCAATCGACGAAATTGTCAACATCGTAGAACATTTGAGTGACGATGAAAGTAGCACCGGCGTCAACCTTTTCCTTAAGATGATCTAACAGCAGCTCGGGGTCATCCTGGTCATCGCATCCCTCGGGGTACCCAGCAACTCCAATATCGAAATGGTTGCCATATGTTTGGCGGATGTGTGTGACGAGCTCTTTGGCGTATAGAAAGCCCCCTTCCGTAGCTTCCCACTTCTCCTTTTCTCTAGGAGGGTCGCCACGAAGTGCAAGGATATTGGTGCAACCGGCACTGTAAGCGTTCTTGAGAGCACTGTTGACGGCGTCTTTCCCCATATCCGTGCAGGTCAGGTGCATGCATGTCTCCAAGCCGCATTGGGATTGAGCTACGCTCACCATCTCACATGTCAAATCGGCCAATTGGCCCCCAGCTCCCCAAGTTATGTCAATAAAGCTAGGTCCAAGTCCATGCATTTTGTCCATTCGATCGTACAAGTTCTGCACACCCTGCGCCGTCTTCGGAGGAAAGAATTCAAAGGAAAAAGTCGGCCGCCCGGACTTCTCGGCCTCAGCCAGCATGTCTTTGATATGCATTCTGGCAGTCTAGAGGTTGCCTCGTCAAGTATATCGGCTCTGAAGATGGGCTGGTGACCTATTAGCAATGGTTCATGCAGCGAAACGATGCCGTCCGATTCAAAGGTTTCTGTTTCCAGACTCAAACCTAGGGCCATTAACAGACACGCAGCCCTCCCAGGTCTCGAGGCCATTTCTCGAGGTGAAGAAACACCGTACCTTGCAGTCTGAACCTAAGACACCTTTGTTCACAGCAGCCAAGGCTAACCGAAGTACCGTTTTCGAGCCCAACGATCTGCTGCTTCTCGCTGCATACAGAGCTGTGGGCAATGCGCGTGTGGAAGAGGAGAGTGGAGTAGGTCGGGCAAAACTCAAAGTGTGCGAGTGCGAGGGAACTCACTTGTATCACACCTCGAAATCAACGCCCGAAAGCGGTGGTCGAGTCGAGGCGGTGTCGAAAAAATATTCTTATTGGGTTTAGCTCCACGGACTCCACAAAATGCAGTCAGCGTAGGAACGAGGGATGAAAGAGAACCCGCCATTGCTGGATGTAAATGGGAGTAAAGCCGAATCTTATATCGAAGAGCCATCATGTTCAATATGGCCAGCACACTGCTCGCAGTCATCGTGAAAGTGCACTCTGTGCAATCAAACTTATGTACACATCCCTGTACCGTTGCCCCTCCATCCTCCCCGATGACTACCTGCGTACCCCGCCGAAACACGTGACCGGCGGGCGAACTTGGGAAGGGAGCTGGAGTAGTGGAGGCGGTAGCCAATTGTAACAACGACCTTGTCTTGTCATATGAAGTTTCGAGTTTCGTTCGTTCGTTCGTTCGTGTTGTGTTACATCTCTCTTTGCACGAATTGCCTATTATTTGTACACACACCTCCTTCATATAGGTACCCATGGGAACGCCAAACTTCTAGACATCGGCCAAACCGACGATGGTATCATTGACGCCGAAAACACAAATACGCTGCAAAGCATCATTTTCCATTCTTGTCATGCCTGAGCTCCTCCATCCTCATCAGCCCGTAGCCCGCTAAACTGAGTTCCCTGGTTGGCAGTGCTCAGCCGTGCGCAAAGTCCCAATAACACCACCGTTTCTGTGGCTGCATAATGGTTCAAGGCGTCCAGAAGAATCTGCAAATGTCTGCTGAAATTAATCTCATATTTCTGGATGGTCTCAAACATCTTTTCAATCTTTTCAAGTCGAGCCTCATCAGTCAGACCACCGCCAGCGGAATTTGAAGCTGTCGAATCGGCATGTTTTTGAGTTTGGGTTTCCTTGAATCGATCCCACTGTTGCCTATTCATCTGGGCAGGCCTGTTTGTGCCCGAAAGGTCCGGATCCATTCTTTCTAGTTCCCTCGTCAACCAAGGGGTATATGTTGCAAAAAATGTACATGTCTGCATCAACTTCGAATGAATCTAAAGATAATTTAGTAAGGCCACTCCTGCAAGGCCCTGGAAACATACCCTCAATAATCTGCTGTTGGTGAGCATGCATTCTTTCAGGCACGTATCGAGGAAATCCACATGATCCTGCATAAGCTCATCAACCGTCCGAACCGGAGACGCACCGCCCTTGCTATCCTCCTTTGCATTGAGCTTCGCCATCAGTGCCTGCCAATTTGGTTCAATGACTTCAGCCGTGCAAAAGTAGAGAAGTTGTTGAACGAAGACAAGCATACGAGCACGCAGCGTGAACACCCGTCGTTTCCACATTTCCACATCTCGATTTGAGCTCTTATGTGACCAGCTAGCAGCTCTATTGTGAGTTTGCCAACATGAAACAAGTTGTTGCTCCAGGTATCGCAGGGAGAGGAGGTATCGAAACAAGGCTTGGTATCTCCAGACAGTTTTCCTGCTAATGACTAGAGAGACGGGGAATGGGACGGAATAATCTAGTTGAAGAGAAGTGAAGCCGACAGCTGCCTTATCACTTTCATTGGTCGGCTGGGAAGCAGGAGCCTGAAGCGCTTCCCCTTGCTCTATACCAGAAATATTGACGACCCGAGTCAATGAGTTTGTCAAGCTGACCTCATTCATCTCAACTTTGATGTCTTCCTTGAACGGATCCTGTGCCGCAACACTGCCAGGCTGCCGCAGGACCAGATCCAGGAGTGACTGTAATTTGCTTGTATTGACATTCTTGACGGGCTTTCGAAGCTCAGATGTACCAAGCTCTAGGAAGTAGGAGAAGAAGTCTGACCGATCGAGGAAAAAGTAGTGTTTGAGTGATCGTAGGCGAGCAGGGAGGGCATGCGTAGTAAGTAAGAGTGTGAGAAGCGACTCGTTGGCATGAGCATAGGCGCTATTGACGTTGTCCAAGAATCGATTGTCGTCAAATGATCGAGGGACATCAGCAACAGCTTTGCTGACATCGACACCACCACACTCCCGAACCACATTGAGATATTTCCCTGCCAGCAAAACTTTGTCCTTGACTCCTTCCAGCTGTGGAGGCACGTCGTGATCTCGGATGGTGTATCGTCTCTCCCAGTATTCATCGGTATAATCCTCTTCTAACCTTTCACGCTTGATGCTCTTCTGCTCTCTCACCAAAAATTCAGCGTGAGGATCCTTTATACTTCCGTGATGCAACCACTCGTTCAACATGATCATATACGGGCGGCTGGCATCCCGCAATAATGAAGTGAGCAGGGACCGAGCAGCCGGGTCACCCGACATCATTTCCAATCGCTTCGTGATGAGACCAAGGACACTGCCACCCTTGCAAATTTTCTTTCCAGGTATATTTCCCGGTCCAAGATCCCCGCCCTCCCTGAGACTCTCCAGGATATTCTCGATATCATCATAGCCATCGTCAGAGTCTTCGTCCTCCTCCAGCATGGAATTTCTCTTCAGTATCTCGTGAGCTAAAGAGTATAACTGGAACATCATATGGCTGGTTGGAAGGGTGTGGAGGTTGAGTACATGCAGAGTAAAGGACGGATTGGTGAGAAACTGGGTCTCTAGTTGAGCAATCATGATCAAGTAATCCTGTAGGAGTTTCCGAATAGCAGCACAAAGGGCGTGGTTGACGGCTCCAAATTCCTCTCGGCTTTGAACTTCCACGAAAGCCTCAACCGCACCATAATGAGTTGCCATTTTCAACATTGTCGTGGTAAGGTCTTGTAGGCTAGGGTCCAATCCGGGCAGAATCTTGTACCCAGGTCCTGCGAGCCGGTCCTTCTCCACTGCGGGGTTGTAGTTCTTTGCAAATCTTACATACTGTCCTTCGTAGCCCATAAAAACCATAAGAAGATCCTCCAGGATTGTGGCCTCCTGCACTTCCAAAGACAACTCGTGAAGCGGTTTGGGCTGCAACGATTGCGGGGCGTGAGATGCGAGTGCCGGTATCGATATTCGTGATGCTAAAGGGGCAGATGTATGCGGTACTAAAGAGACTTCTGGGTTCCATGGTGCTAACAAATTACTATTAGACTTTTGTGGCCCTAATGTTTTCACAGATATAAGTCTTACCTTGGGGAAGCGTTTCTGGCCTGCCTGGTTTCGGTCGAGGGTCCCCAGAATATGCTCTACTTGGCTCAGCTGGTCGCTGGCGTTCCGAAGGTTGTGCTGAAGGAGCAGGACGTCTATCTGGGCTTCTTGTTCTCGTTGTTAAAGTCTCTCTTGTTGTTACTTGCACTCTTTCCGTCCTCCTCTCTTCTACCGCCCTGTTCGTGCGCTGTGAGCCTGAAGCTGTCCTTTTATGACTTGTTCCTGATGCTGAGGGTTGTGGTGATTGCATCCTTCTTGGATCCAGCCTCTCACCTCTGCCTCCAGTCTGCCCGGATGGAGCGCGGGGTTGTGCGCTTCCATTGTCGTTGGTCGTTCTCCGTTCAACACGTGACGATACTCTGGCTGTGGACGAAGAAGACATGGCAATCACATTTGCGTTTGATGGCCAAGTCGCGCCAGCATAGCATGCCGCGAGAAGCAGATATTAACGCTGTTGACTTTCTGTGGTGATGTTGATCGTGATTTCTGGCTGGGAGACGCGCGATCCTGGAGCGCGACAAACGCGCCAGGAAGCTAGACCTAAAATGGGGGTGCTCGGCTGTACCTGAGAGCTTTCGTGGACCTTCTTGCCTAGACAAGGACTTGACATTTCCAGCCTCACCTAAACTTATCTGCTCTTCTCCAGTCAACGACACAGTTTAAGATCCTACGAGTCTCTCTACAGCTTACTGGCTTGGTTTCGACTCCTCCACACTTCCCCAGCTGACTCTCCAAACTCGTCAAAATGTTTATTGCTCGGTCAGAATACGGTGAGTGACCCAGAGCTCTACCACCACTTCTCAGAATTGCCACTGACGCTGCAACAGATCGGGGTATCAAGTATGTTAGCCTCTTGCTCAGTGGAGATTCTCCAAACTTTATAGCCTTAGCAGGACACTGATATATCAAACAGCACCTTCTCACCGGAAGGACGTCTGTTCCAGGTTGAATATTCATTGGAGGCGATCAAACTAGGATCAACAGCAATCGGAGTAGCTACAGGTGGAGGTGTGGTCTTAGGCGTCGAAAAGCGAGTCACGTCTACCCTTCTCGAAACCTCATCCGTCGAAAAGATTGTCGAAATCGACCGCCACATCGGTTGCGCCATGTCCGGACTCCAAGCTGATGCACGATCGATGGTAGAGCACGCTCGGGTAGAGTCTCAAAACCACGCATTCCATTACAATGAGCCTTTGAGAGTTGAGAGCTGTACGCAGGCTATTTGTGATCTGGCACTGAGATTCGGTGAGGGTGCTGACGGCGAGGAGAGCATTATGAGTAGACCATTTGGTGTTGCTCTGCTAATTGCGGGTTATGATGAGGATGGACCACAGTTGTACCATGCAGAGCCAAGTGGGACCTTTTACAGATATGATGCGAAGGCTATTGGATCAGGCTCGGAGGGCGCCCAGGCTGAATTGCAGAATGAGTTTCACAAGGTATGATTGTGATGGGTCTCGGGCTGTGTCTTACCTAACTTTATGCTAGTCTCTTACCATCGAGGAAGCCGAGACACTGGTTCTGAAGACTTTGAAGCAAGTGATGGAAGAGAAGCTCGACTCGAAGAACGTCCAATTGGCGAGCGTGACCAAGGAGAAGGGTTTCCGGATCTACACAGATGAGGAGATGGCCGCAGTTGTTGAGAGATTACCGGCAAACTGAGAGGATGATACCTGTATTGCAAAGACAGGCTTGTAAACCTACGGAGTTAGGAGGAAAAATGAAGTCAACTTAGAGACGAAAATTGGCATTGCACAGCTTGGGAAGATCTCTTAATGACCAAAGTCCCAGATTCCACTTGATTGTGAGTATAGCCCCAGCCAACCGGCCAAAATGCATCAACTTTTGCCACCTCTGAGATTATTTACATTGGACGTGGTTGGCTCTCATCAACATCCAGGTCCAAGTTCTCGAAGTCCTCCTGGATGCTAAGTACTCCCAAGGCATAGTGCACTCGATCCGACCTTTCGATCACCGATCTCCTCTCGTCGGCACTTAATCCCAAGAGTGCTCTATCAATTCTCCTCGAACTGATCAAAATATCGGGAACCACTTTTCCCTCAAAAGTTTTGGTATATGGTGGGCCTTTGCCCGCCTCGTAAGTTTTGACCCATGATGATTCGCAGCCTGCAGCAACGGCGTATGCTGTTTGCCATCCAGTTAGGCGACCGATATCGCGAAGTCTACGAACGGTCCATTCGCGCTGGGCTGCGTTTTGGTACTAAATTGATCGTTAGCATCGGCGCGTCAAATATTTAACCTGTACATACTTGTACTCCGGAAATGAAGAGACAAATCGACGACTCGATCAAGGCTGCGCCAACAGTCGGGTTAACTTGAGTTGTCAAGCTGCAATCAGGAGCAATCCCCGCCGCTGTGCGACCAAGTTCGGTTGCAAAAGAAGCAGTCTGTCTGGCTGCGATCCCAGCAGCCATCATGGCCGCAGGAGGCATTGATGGATGTGCCCGATGGCAAGCAATCAGTCCCATATAAAAGTTCATCCAGATACCAGCGATAGCATATGTCCGATACTTAAGAGCTGGTCCAAAAGGTGTATCCATCGGTTCAGAGAATTCCGGGCCAAGGGCCTGGAAATCTTCCCCGAAGTAGTCCTCGAGCACACCGAAAGCGTTTCGGATTTCCTGCCATTCCTCTTCGGCCTCCTGGGTACGTGCTTGTAGGTCTATATCGTTACTTTGCGTGCTTCCGGGGGAGGAGTCCTCTCTCGATGGCTCAAATCCCATGGGGAGCTGGGCCTCATGGACTCCGGGAACCATGCCGCTAAACGCAGGCATCTGGGGCTGCTTTGGAGGAGTCTGCGGAAATTCCTGCGAGCCGGACGCCTGAGCTGCTTGAGCCTGCATCTGCATGTATTCTGGTGGCGGTTTCCAATGACCTCCATTGGCTTTGATGGCCAGTCGTTTTCTCTTCAAGTCTTTGGCAGCAAAGTCAGCGAGGCGACCCATGAGAAGTATGAGGTGGTCAAATGTGCCATAGCTGTTGTTCGTTAGCAGCGGGCATATAAGATATGTAAGGCTTCCTTACGTGGCAGTGAGGCGGCCCAGTGACGATCTTGGTGGGCAATGACTCCAAAGAGAGTAGTCCATGCTGCGTCCGATTAGCTACGAAGCTTTCCCACGCCAAAGTGACCTTACAAGAGACGGCCTCCGCCAAGAATACTTTGGTACACATCCTGTTTGCAGTACCACCAGAAGAGGTCGCGTTGAGTCTCGTATGTTTCCAGATCTCTTTCACTATACTCTTTACTCTGGGGGCCGTCCCAAACACTGTCGTCAATTATTTGACCGTATTGGTCATAGAAAAGTTTTTTTCCCATCAACATCGAGACTATATTCTCGTCGACTTCGTCAATATTTGGTTGAAATCGGGTTCTATCATCGAGTCCGTATGGGACTCCCTGCACCTGAGTCTGTTGATATCTCTGTTGCTCTTCTTGACGTCGTCGCGCCGTTTTGTTCTTTATATATCGAGTCATGCCCGCAAAATCAATTTCTCTCACTAATTGCTTGGCTCCCAGGAGGTGGTTACTCCATTTTTGATGATCTGCGGACCAGACCTCGTAAAACGCTAGCAGCATTGCAGCGGCCAATGTTGCAGGCTGTCGTCGTCGACTGTAGATGCTGACACTTTTTGCAACTCTGCGGAGACCGATTGCGTAATGCTTCAACGATGCAGCGATGGGTCCATTCTGAAGTTTCGCAATATGGAGGCTGCCGATAGCGAGCATTGCATGCAGCAGGGCAGGGTTTTGGAGCGCGAGAGTGGGAAGGGTGTCTATTACAGTGAGCATCAGCACTTAAAAGAATGTATAGTGAGAACGTACAAGCCCATATATTCTGCTGGGATTTGGGCACTGGTACTCCTTGGAACATGAGCGAAGGGTTAGCTGGGTGTCTTTCGAATAGAGATATGCACGGTCCAGTGACATTAACGAAATGACAGAATATTCTAGCAGTCATGGAGTCCTTTAGAGGCGTCGATTGAGGAGATGGTGTGTAGGTTGCCAGCATATTTGGGCGGTCAATGAAAGATGTGAGTGAACGGAGACTGAGGTCTTGGTTATCCTGTTGAGCTTGAAGGGCAACGGCAATGCCAAGATCATTGTTCCTGAGATGACCATCCTGAATATCTTCCCGCCACGCACCAGAACTCTCCTCTTCCTCCTCCATGGTGATATCGTCATCGGAGACATCGAAAGGATCATCCTCATCCTCGACAACAGCAGATGTATTTTCTTCGTGTGGACTTGATTGCACAGTCGTCCACTCCGTTGCCAGTGGCGGGTATTCATGGCTTTGAAGCTGATTTCCCTGCCAACCTGGGGGGAGGGTTCCCTGTTCCCTAATTAACCCTTCTAAGGGTTGTTGTGGTTGGCCATCGACTTTCGCAACGAAAGTGGTTTGATGTTGAGCAAGTGCAGGGAAAGACTGGCTGACCGCAGCTGGAGTAGTTATAGGCTCCCAAGTAGATGTGGTCGGGTAAGCTTGGTGAAAGGGTACAGCGGCTGCGAACTGTCTGTTAGAATCGCGGAACAGTTCCTGCGGATGTGAAGGGGACCCACTACTTGGGCCAGCAGCAGACCAGTCCAAGGGACCTATTTGCGCCGGAGTAATGGGTGGATGTTCTCTGTGCTCCTGTTTAACCAAAGCGTTGAAGTCGTAGTGAGTCGCTTGATCTCGTGGGGAGCGCTTAGGTCGGGGATCAGGAATGTGAGACTGATCGACGGTGTCGGTCTGGGTGCCAAAAGGGGGTGAACCTCTGGGCTGGGGGTTTTTATTTTCTGTTGCAGGACCCTTGATGTCAGAGAAGGTGTAAACCCGACGCTCACTACCAGGTGATGTAGCAGCAGGTAAAGGAGGCACATCGACAGCTCTGGAAGGCCCAAAGGTTCCTTGGAGCTTTGGGGCAAGAAGCAACGGGGTTTGCCCAGGCGTAGGCTGTGGATACCCCTCGCCATGGCGAAGTCCTGGCTGGACTGCACTTGACCTAGGAATTGCTGCATGTGAAGAAGCAGCTGAGAAGGAAGGCCGATAAGCGTTCAAAGGGTCTTTAAAGACAACTCTTTGGTTGTAGCCTTCGCAATGACGTTTGGATTTCGTGCAGTTATGGCAAGTGGGTCTCTCTTCTCCGCACTTTATACGTCGCTTGCGGCATGCTGAACAGGAGACTGGAGTCAGCTACACTTCTTACTGCGAGTCAGTGAAGAGCGAGGCGTCCTAGGCTTACTCAAGCATCCCGTTTTAGTCCTTTTTCTCCCTTGTGCTTTCGACCCGGGCTTCCTGGGAGGTGGTTCCCCTCCTTCTTCGTCGAGGTTGTGGGCGTTTGGCTTGCTGTCGGGCTGAACTCTCTCCTGGGAGACTTCTGGGTCCTCCATATTTGGAAAGACTCTTTCTAGGCCGGTCACCACATGGATGGTCGAAGCTTCATGTTCTGAGGTGACACGTGAGGCATCGGGAGGGAAAATAGCGGAGTGGAATCTTGACTCTTGTGGGACGGGCCGAATGTCTCAACTGATATAGGTGACAGTGGCCGTTGCGTAAGGCGTCAATGAGAAAGTTGAATCACAAGCCACGCGTGGTCTCAGACTGACAAGGCATTGCGGTTGTGGTAAGGATCTGTTGTTCGGAAGATTGGTAATGGTTTTGTGATCTGATCTGGACCTGATGGGATGATGGGCGAGGGGGCTACAGTACGGGTCTAGTGATACTGTACAGTAGTTGGCGGGATTTAATGTCCAAGCCGCCCGTTGGAGTAGTGAGGTCTCAGATGCCAGGAAGCTGGGGAGGCACCGCAGGAGTCCACTGACGGCTGCCGGAAGAGGCTATGAAGGCGCCAGACACGTTGCGAGGCCGAGTTAGTGCGGTGCAAGACCGGACTAGTCCGCACACAAGGTTTTCCGCTTGCCCCAAAGCATTCGAGCAGGTGGTTTGACTTTGACGTCTTCTACCGCAGACTCTGGAGGGCTTTGCTCTGCGCTGAGCTAGGACGATAGCTCGTGCTGGGGTGGCGGCGTGGAGCAAGAACTGGCTCACAGGGCAATAATCAGTTCGTGGTATCAAATGAAATGCACACGCAACAGGCGGGTAGTTTCTCTGCGTAGCCAGAGGCAAAATCTGCCAAAGATCTCGGAGCTGGCCCGTGGCGGCCAGAAACTAGTGGGATATTGCAGACCCGCCCCCAGCTCACACGCTGAGAATGCTAGAGAATACAGATGGGGGGAGGGGGAGGGGGAGGAGGAGAGGGGGGACGGAAGCGGATGGGGGTGGAGATCGCTATCCAGGACAGAACTTGAACTTGGGCTTGGGCTTGGGTTTGGTTGATAACACTTGTCTCAGAGCCTCAGCATCAGTTTTCCTTTGGTTGGCGTGTACTGTATGAGGGGTGAGGGGTGGAGGGTTTGACAAGGGCAATGCCGCAGTGCGGTCTTCGCAGGCACAGAGGCGCAGATCAACAGATCAACAGATCTTCCGGGTTGTCACCCTTCGACTGTTCGACTAGCCCTTTAAGAATCGGCGATCGCCCCGAAGTAACCTTCTTTCTCATCTCATCCGTTCTGGGATGTGGACACGGACGCGCCAATCCCTGGAACCATTGAGCCGTTCACTTCCAACTAATGTGCTGAGGGATATGATGGAGCTAATTGAGATACCCCTGGACAGCGAATGAGGAGAGATACTAGACGTACGGGCAACGGCAATGCGGTTTTCTACTGTACAGCACAGCGCAGCACAGCTGGGAAGAAAAAGAAATGTCTCGCGCTCCGTTTCCAGATACTGCAGGCTGCGGAAATCTGGAGATTAGACTGACCAAATCGTGAAGCCAACCCTGAAGCGCGAAATGTGGGCGAATGGTGTTCTCAGGAGCGCAAGTGACACTACGGATGGGCGTTGGCGTTGGCGTTGGCGTTGTGTGGCACCGGCTCGTTTCGAGCAGCGAGGCGCTCTTGCGGGTTGCCCGTCGACCGTGAAGGGAGTCGAGTGGATGGAGGATGTCCGACCCGGGGCGCTGGAATCGAGGTGGCCCGGCGGATGCGTGATGAACCTGCTGAGGCGTTGTTGGTGAAGGGTGGCCCAGGACAGGTAGGACAGGAGAGGAGGGGAGAGGAGGGAACAGGACAGGTCAGGTCAAGCCAGGTCAGGTCAGGACAGGAGAGAGGGCCAAGCTGACATATTGGACGACACCCATCTACAGTATCTCCGGCGATGGTCGCCAGCAAGAGGCGGCGGAGAGGGCTGGGGCTGGAGCCGGGGTTGGAACCATGTCCCGCGAAATGATCAGCTCAATCTAGTGTCAATACAATCAAGCAATAAACGCAATAAGGTGCTGCTGTGGCTGCTGAGCTGCTCTGCATGGGTTGGCCTGGGCGGGACTTGCTCTGCTGCTGCACCGTTTGTGGGCGCGCCTGAGTTCTGACAGACAGGCTGACTCCTGAGGGGAGGTGAGGTCCACGATGCGCTCAAGCCTCAATGACTTTCTTTCACTTCAAACTCCGTCTGTTCCTGGTCCAATACCGCACCAATAAATCAACGTGCCTTCCGGAAGTCTGTGCGTGCCCGGTATCACGTCCAAGGAACAGGCTTGTTGTGCAGAGCTGTCAGGATGATGCCAGGAGCAGCAGGTTTTGGCCTTTCAATAAATTCATGGGACGATACTTCGTACAGTACTTCATGCAGGGTTCTCTCTCTCCACTAAGCCACTTCGATCCAAGCTGTCATTTGTTTGGGGGCGGAGAGCGGAGAGTGGAGTGTGGAGAGCAGAGAGCAGAGAGCAGAGAGCAGAGAGCAGAGAGAGCTCAAGATGTTTCGAAACCGGAGTCAAGACCTCACTGGCTCCCCCGCCAGCATCAATCCGGAACGTTGTCAGTTGCCGGTGCCACTGCTCTGTTGGGGGGCAGGATCTGCATCTTCCCTGAACGTCTTGCGTCTTGATCTCCTCGTTCGCTGCCGTCTCTGGCTCGAAAAGGGTAAAATGATGATGGCCCCCCCGGCAATCTCATCGTCCGGCTCGCGGTTATTTTGAAAGACAACCCTTACACAATCTTTACCTTACGCACATAGTGAAGCCCACGCTTCTTCCAAAGCCGAGACAAAATGCTGCTCGCGCAAAGATCGATTATTGCCGAATATGCTCACCCCACTGCTACCGAATCTGGATACTGTACGGCTCTCCCCGCCCCTGACACATGCATGCATGCATGCATTGCACCATCACCACCACCACACGAGAGCGAGAGACTCAGATTCTTCAACGCCGTGGCTCCAGCTGAGTCGAGTTCGTCGTTCAACCTGCCTTGACCTGGCCCAAGACGTCGACGTCCAATTGTCAACAAGTCAATAACGCAACCCGGCTTGCTGCCATTGGGCTGCGGTCGAGGTTATTTTTAACTCTCCCCCTGCGGGCGGGCGTCGTGGGGTTCGACGTTTCGTTGCACTGCATAAGAGCCTGCATGGATCCCCGACTCGAGCGGATTTCTCCTTCAATACCAAGTCCTATTCCCATTCCATTTCCAAAGCTGGGCCACTTGCCAGCTGCACTGCATGCTTCATTTCTACGGAGTACTGTAGTACTCTGCTTGTCTGCCTGCCACGTACGTCAAGGGGCATCTCCCGCTTCCCGCTCCCAAGCCGAGTTTTGGTCGGCGAGGTTGCTGCATCCGCCATCAGTGCATCTGCCCAATTGGGACAGCTCCTGATTGATTGACGGCCTCTTAAACTTTTACGTCTGTGCTCGTAGCCGGAAAGCCACTCTCCCACCACCCTCTCTGCCCATGCGTGCCACGATGTCACGACAGGCAAGGATGACTTGCTCCTTGTGTCTATCTTTGGCCGGATTGGCACAGGGTTCCGGATGAAACTAGTCCCGACCCAGGGACACAATCTCGTGATTGGACTTTTGGGGCCTCTCTGCTCACCTCTGCTTCCCTCTCCTCCCCTCCCCTCCCCCGATATCTCATATCAAACCTGCCTCGGCTTCAAGCGGAACCCTAACCCTTGTGACCCGTCGTATGATTTGGGGGAGGTTGCGTTAGAGGTATATGGTCATTTTCAGCAAAGGAGTTAAGTGCAATCTTATCTCACCAACGCACGGCTAGCGGTGACATTGTGACATTGGAAATCCCTGAACAAACGCTGTGGGTTTTCTCAAGAGAGACAAAATTTCCTGGGCGACATGTGAGGCTTGCATTTGCTTTGGCATTTTCGACTTTCTGCTTCCTGCAGTAAAGGGGCTCAAGATACTTCGTGGCTAATGGGTCTAAAAGAACATGTGCAAGAACTGTCTAGAACAGGTGTTCGAGAGTGGTCCCATTAGTTTTTATAAAAAAAACAATTACCTCTCTTCTCTTAGTACATTATTAATCTAGGGGGTTTGTTCCCACCTACTGCCTTTTGCTCTCCAGGCCTCATTGGCCTCATTGTCCTTGCATATTTGTGTAACTTTTGCGCCCTGTGGGTATATCAGTATTCGGAATGATTTTAATGCAGTGAGACGTCTCTCTCCCGTCTGTATATCTATTCTAGCGGTGACTTTTGTCTGGTGTCAAGTGAGTGAGTGAATTGGATGCAAAATTGAGTTTGCTGGACGCCGTTTCAATGTTTCAAGAGTTCTTCGGACACTGAGATCGTGGTGGCGGATCTCGGAGTAGAGGTTCTGTTGCACTCTGTAGTTTATGTTGCTGACGAGTAATAAGAACTTGTTACTATTTCCTGTTGTCGAAGCTCTAGGTTTTTTGCATATCGAATGTGAAGGAGACTCGGTCAAGGTGTATAGAACTTTGGCGCGAGCTTATTGGACATCTTTTCAATGTTCCAAAAATTTTAGGACATTGCGACTTTGCTGTGAGACTGGCCATGGAAGTCCGATGGGTTCTTGTGCGACTATAAACCATTTTCGAGTAGAAACTTTTACAAAGTTCGTCAAACTAGACCCCTTGAAACGTTATTAGATGGTCCCCCAATCATTCTCCCCCCCCCCCCTTGCCTTCCTCTCTCTCTCTTTGAGCTGTTCAAAATCAGTTCTCCATCTCGAAGCTTTAACACAACTTGCCGATCTCCTCGAATCACAACCCCCTCGTGTGTGTACATATTTCACAACACTTATCGCCGTCTTCAATTGAATTTTTTAGCAGATATATCTTTTGCGACTCAGTTAATCCTTGCAAGTTATGCAGACAGCAAATAATTGAAACTCCCGCCGAACTCCTGCTTTTCGTAGCATTTTCCTCAAGAAAGCAGACCCCATAGCCATTTCCATCCCTATGCCCAGACTCCATGCCCAATGGAGAAAAAAACTTAAGAAAAACTAAAACTTCTCATTTCGTTCTCGCTGCATCGGGATGCCGATTCAACCAGGGCATTCTAAATTCTCAATCCGTCAGAGCCAACTCAGACACCTCCTTCCCACCACTCTCTCCACCCCCAGCCTCCGCATCCTGAGCCTCCTCATTCTTCGTTCCATGACTGCGGGTCCTACTTCTCGTCCTCTGCCGCCGTCTCGGTTTCGGTGTTCCCTTACCCTTTCCCCCATTGCTCCGACTCCGACTCGGAGACTGGCTCCTCCTCTTCTTCTCAAACCGACTTCTCATATCCGCCAACTTTTTCTGATACTTCTTGCCGGGTGACTTCCTTTCCCGAGACGCGGACCGAGCACGCTCCTCGAGTGACGAGCGGGTGAAGGAACCGGATTGCGATGCTGAACGGTGACGACCGCGACCGCGAAGGTTCGTAGAACCGTTGGACGTGACATGAGCTGGTGGGGTCGCGGAGCTGCGGCGTCGCTTGCGACCCCGTTGCAGTTCTTCGTCGGTTGGGATGTCCAGGAGGTGGGATTGAGGCTTGCTGGGAGATGAAGTAACGGGGGCCATGTTTGGAATGTGAGATTGAACGTGGGAAGAGAAAGGTGGAGCTCTTGGGTGGTGATTGAGTTTTGTTGTCCAGTTAGGTTACTTGAGTGTGTGACTCTTTTTGAACAGGCTCTGGATCAGGGTCAGCATTTGCCACCACAAGTGATGCGGGCGGAAAGCTGGGGAGAAGGCATGACATGAGAAAGCAGAGTTGGAGGTCCCGGTGACCATTTGTGGATTGGATGAGGCATATGGGCCAACATCGAGGCTGGCTGGCTGGGCGTCAAGTAAAACGTGATCCGCCATGCGTTCTGCCCAGTCTCAGTCTCGGTCGTCCCTGAGAGAAGAGAAGTAAAATAGATCGAGGGACGGGAACAACGGGACGCTCGCTGCGAGGATTGACTCCAATGATAGCGTGGTGACTGAGACTTCCCAGTGGCCTCGAAGTGCGCAAGCATTCAGGCTTGGTGATGGTAGATGTGGGGTGCGGAGTCGAGCGGCCAGGTGAGCACGAGACCAACTTACAATTCAACCCGGCTTTGCCGTCCAGCGGAGTTCAGAAGAATAAATAAAGGGGAAGCATCAAGAGCGGTCCTGCCTGTACAGAGAAAGGGGACAGAGCGACGTCGCCAGACTTGTACAGCAACCATCCGCTGACGTAGGATGATCCTTCGTTCCTTGCAGCCTGTTGAGACATGAGGTTGCATGGATAAAAAGGAAGCGAGGCGAGGCGAGGCGTGGGATGGAGATATTTCGAAGATCCGATCCGATCAGTGTCACCCCAGCTGCAACACAGCACAGCACAACAACATTCAATTGAGTTGCACTTCATCATCCTGCCCCTCCAAAACACGATAATCCACGACAATGATTCCCCGATCATTCTTCAGGGCTTCACGGCTCTGCTCTCGCTGCTATGCAACCAACACGACAACCACACCTCCAATGCTCCTCAAAATAAGGCAAGCTCCTCTGCCATCTACTCCCTACAAATCACTGATTGCTTTCTTTTGAACAGAAAAGACATGAAAACCGCCATGCAAAACAAAGATTCAAACCGGCTCTCCGTGCTCCGCGCCCTCCTAACACAAACCCTGAACGCCTCCAAGACCTCTCAACCCATAAATACAGACATGCAAATGCTCGCCCTGCTCCGCAAATCCGCCAGTGCGTCTCGCGCTGCCGCTGAAGAGTTCAAGGGCGCAGGGAGAGAGGATCTTGCTGAGAAGGAGGATTTGCAGGTTAAGATTATGGAGGAGTATGCTGGGGGGGTCGAGACGATGAGCGAGGAGCAAATTAGAGAGGCGGTTCAGGGCGTGCTGGCCAAGATGAAAGCGGAGGGAACGAAGATTCAGGTTGGTGATTTGCTGAAGAAGGTGTTTGCGCCAGAGGTGTTGGGGGAGAAACCGGTGGAAAGGGGGGATGTTGCGAAGATTGCGAGGCAGCTTTTGGCGGAGACTCCTTAAAGAGGGGAAGGGTTGGAGGGCTGGGATCTGTTGGAAGAGATATCAAAATGTACAAGATACTGCATGGGGTTGGAGTTAAAATTCTCTCCTCCGTGAACGGAGACGTTCCGTCAGCTTGCACGATCGTGGCACGTAGAAACTTTGCATGTCGAGCTCCTCATTCATTGCGAGCAAGTTTTGCCCACCGAAAAGCGCGATAGAGGCTAAGTACAGACTTAGTGGCCAACTTCGCTCATCGTTTCAGATTTACGGAATTGGCTTCACGGTCACTCAAGGGTACTTCATATTCTAGAAGTATTTCGTTTCTCATGCTACGTACATGAAAAGTTGAAATGCCGACGAGGGACAACAAAGGAAGAAAAGTGTATGGAGATTTATCATGAAAGCGTTCTGCTTGCTTTTGTGCCTGAGTTGACCACCAATCCGATCGATCGATATCGAGGCGGAGCTTTTTTCATGGAGTTCGTGATGCGTGCCAGAGAGGCTGACAATCTTTCTTGAGAATCGGTGCGTAACAACGGCGGTTGAGGAGTCTATCAATGAAGATAGGATGCATCTATAGCTTGTCATAGTACTATAACATATTAGCATAAGGTGCATCTCCAAGCAGTCAAAAGTAAAGCTTACATTCTCGACACCCGGAACCTCAACCTTGATACCCTTGCGCTTTCGCATAGCTTGTACGGCCTGTCCAACCTTCGAGGTAGCATCGAGGGGCGACCCACCGGGGAGAATTTGCCAATGATCGAAAATGGATTGAGGGAAGGCTTGGCCAGAAGTATGCGAGCGGAGATCAGCATTGAATCCAAATGACTCCATGACGGGGAGATAGGCCTTGATGGTGAACAGAGGTGTTCCTGGACGTTGCTGCTCGTTGAAAACGTGACCACGTCGTCGGGTAAGAACACCGTAAACACCACCCATAGCGCTCTCGGGAACTTGAATCTCAATCAAGAACACTGGCTCAAGAAGAGCAGGCTCAGCAAGGAGAGCAGCAGCGTAGAGAACGCGCCGAGCAGTTGGGATAAGTTGTCCACCACCACGATGGATGGCATCGGCGTGCAGGGTAACATCCATGATGTTGAATCGGCACGATCTCATTGGCTCTTCGGCAATAGGTCCTTCTCTTGAAGCCCATTGGAAACCAGAAACAACTGAATCCTTGATTTCGTTCAAGTATTGAACGGCCTTGGTCTGGTCAACCAACAAGTTGGCACCGTTGGTATCAGGACCGAAGCACCAAATCTTACGGGCATCAGTGACATCCCAGCCGAAGTCGTCAGCCAAGATACGAGCACGAGCCTTGAAATCGTCACGGGGGCTGATTCTGCCGGCTTCGATCTCCTTTGATACCTCCTCGTCAAGAGGCTCAGCAATCATGTAAAGACGGTTGTGCTTGTTGGGCGACTTTGACAATGCGGTCATGCTGGACTTGCCAGTGACGGTCTCACGGAAGGGAACGACAGGGTCGGAGATGCGGAGTGGGACACCTGCGTGGTCTTCCTCGAGATCCTTCAGGCAAATCTCCAAGTGCAGCTCACCGGCACCAGCAACAACGTGCTCGCCGGACTCGTTGATGGAGCACACAACACAAGGATCGGATTTCGAGAGACGTTTCAGCCCTTCAACAAGCTTGGGAAGATCCTGGGCGTTCTTGACTTCAACGGAGCGTTGGACGACAGGGGAGACGGAGAATTTCATAACCTTCAAGTTGTGGGCAGTGTCACTGGTGGTGAGAGTACCAGACTTCAACAAGAACTGATCGATACCCACCAGACCAAGAATGTTACCGGCCGGGACATCATCAATAGGATCAACCTTGCCTCCCATCATAAGAACGGTACGCTGGATGGCCTTAATGAAGAGATCATCTTTCTTGCCAGGAGTGTAGTTGGGGCCTTGGATGCGGACTTTCAGGCCAGATCGCACAGTACCGGCGAAGACACGACCGAAAGCGTAGAATCGACCCTTGTCGGAGGTTGGGACCATCTTTGAGACGTAAAGCATGAGGGGAGCCTTGGGGTCACAGTCACGGATACCGATGCAAGCCTCATCATCAGGGGGACCTTCGTAAAGAGTCTCGGCACGGTATTTCTGGGCGGTGACCGGGGATGGCAAGTGAAGAATCATCATCTCCATGAGAGCGTCAGCGGCGGGAAGGAAAGTTCGCATGACAACTTTGAGGAGTTGCTTGCCCTCCTTCTCCCTGTCTTCGGGAGTAAGCTTGATGTTGAGCTTCTCAAGAAGCGTTGGGATCTCGTCCTTCTTGAAGTTCATGACAGCGGCAAAAATTCTGAAAATTGGGTCGAGAATGAACTGATTGAAAGCGCGATCCAAGGGCTTGCCCTCATGGTTTGCCTTATTGGTCCACTTCTTGGTGTGTGGGTTGAAGTAGTTGTCACCCTATGCATTTGTCAGTAAGGTAATGTTCACAGTTTTGCGGAGACTTACCCAGAGACGCTCCATCATCTTATTTCTGTCAACACCAAACTTCTTGGCATATCTCTGAGCGAATTGTCTGACTGTGAAAGCCCAGCCGTGGAGACCAGAGCCGAAGGCAACAGTTCCCTTGTACGGGTAAACTTGGACATCACCGAGGGTCTTGTCGAAGTAGGTGGATATCACGACGTTAACAGACTCGATGGTTCTTGAGAAAGATTGGTACAGATCCTCCTGTGAGACTTGCAGCTCGAGAAGAGCACGATCAACCTTGTTAATGATAACAACGGGCTTGATACGCTCACCGAGAGCCTGTCGGAGAACAGTCTCCGTTTGCACACAAACACCTTCAATAGTGTCAACAACAACGAGAGCACCATCGGTGACACGGAGAGCAGCTGTGACCTCGGAAGAGAAATCGACGTGGCCGGGTGAATCGATCAGGTTGATCAAGAAATCACGGCCGTCGGTCTTCTGGCCAACAATGTCCTTGAGATCCTCGTCATCCTGCAGATTTCCGTACAGGGAGATGGCAGTCGACTTGATGGTGATACCGCGCTCCTGTTCATCCTGGCGAGTATCGGTGGCGCGCGCATCACCGGCCTTTGCAGCGGAGATAATACCGGCCTTCGAGAGGAGGGAGTCGGTGAGGGTAGACTTTCCGTGGTCGACGTGGGCAATGACGGACATGTTACGAACATTCGTAGCCTTGTCCATCAAGGCGCGGACCTCTTCGATGGTGAAACTGCATGACACACAAATGTTAGCAGATGTGATATCGTGTTAACTCCGATGGACAATTATTTTTATCATTCTGCTTCATCTTCGACATCTTGAGGCCGCAGTAGATCGCCTGCGCATTACTAGATAGATCGAAGGACAGAAATGCACTTACTTGACCATGGTGGCGGCGTTGCTTCGAAAAGCTGATTAATTGAGGATTTTTTTCAATGACGCCGGAGCGTGAAGGTTTGGGGGACTCGAGGGTGGAATCGAGAAGCGCCCGGGTATCAGATCTATCTGGAACTGACTTGGACGGACCACAACAGGAGACGGAGCTCGCAGTGAAAGTCGAGATACGTCCGATGGGGGAGGGTAGAGGTGGGAGGGAGGGAGGAGGAACAATGGTGTTGAAGGAATCGAGAAGCGGTCGAACTGTCGGCGTGGGCTTGGTGGGGTTTCGTGTGGAGGATCTGATTGGGTCGCTAAATTTGAGATAGAGGGGTCGGGCGATAGGCACACGGCTCGACAAGCTCAGGCTACGACTTTGAGGGCTTTAACCTACTGGGCCGCCCATTCTGCAGAAGAGTCATCGCAATGGCGATAGATGAGCAAGCAGAGGCGAGCTGCAGTTTCGGTGCGAAGATGTGACTGTCCTCCTCGACATTTCAGTGACTCTGGCATGATTGTTTGCCATTTGCTTCCGTCCTAGCTGCGCTAAGCCCACGCCACCTGGACTTTGACTCTTTGCCGAGCACATATGCAGGCAGGCAGGCAGATACCACAGTAGACCGACAGGCGAAAGGCACATCATTGAGTTCAGACAAAAAAGACCATGGAAGGTGCTTATGAATTAAGTATACGGACACTCCTTTTACCCGGGGGAAAGGCAAGAAAACGCCTCGACCAATGACCCGGCGTGTGCTTTGCCATCCCCAACTCCGATGCTCTGCTCTGCTCTGCTCTGCTAAATACACGAATCGTCATATGTACAATAGAGATGAATCAAGAGGATCCTAAGATCTTCCCATAAGCATCTTCCACCTCGCTGGCCACTTCCAGCAGAGTCACAATCACAATCTGGTGAGTCAGGTTAGGTAGTCTATCACGATGAAGTCCTATCCATTCCAATCTAAGGAGGTCAGCTAAGGCTATTGGAAAGCAGACAAAATAGACTTACGGTGGCGTAGCTTCACCCATATCCCTCAGCTGAGGCGTTTCAATGATAGGTGGTTCCAATGCCGTATAATCATACTTTGACTGGGGCACGTTGACCTCGGCAGTAATTTTCTGCTGCTCGCCTTCTTTCCTGCTCTCCTCGTCTGGGACGCCTGTAATCTTGACTGCAGATGGAGGAAGAGGCTTTCCTAGTCTTTGAGCCAAAGCCTTGGAGTGCGAAGCCCACATGCCGCGAATATAGCTGATCCGAGAATAATTCCAGCCAACCTCCACCTTGCCTTCAAAGGAGCTCTTGAAGATATAATCGATGTGATTTGAACCGGGAACTTGCCAAGTTTGCATGGTTGCTTCAACCTTCGGCACCTTGAGAATGGTTCCACCACGCGAGCCGGTGGCACTGGCGACAACATCCTCAACTGACATGTCGCCAACGGATTTCGGTAGGTCCGGTTTCTTGACTCCTGCAAGACCAATTCGAAGTTGCCCAAGCGTGAGACCTAAGATGCTGTGAATCTTCCCGTTGTCCATGGTCACGGCAAATCGAGCTTGCGCATTCAGAGCTTCAAGCTTGAAAACCTGGTGGTCAGAGAAGGTATTCGGGAAAACCCCCATATTTACCGCATTGAGGGTGACCAGTACATCGGTGTGGAGGGAGATGGGAGACTTTGCAACCTTGTCTTCATGTACGGTTTCTAGTGTTCGCTGGGCTGGAGGTGAGGCTGGATGGGCCACAGATTTGCGCTTCATAAACTTCTCGATTTCCGTGAGTGAAGTCTCGTAGTTTGTCCTCTTCTCCTGGACCAGTCGCTGGAAAGCTTGATATAATGCAAGTGCTTGGGATGCAGTGGTTGTGGTGCAGAAGACTTGTACAGCTTCGCCATCAAGAATTGCAACGAGTTGATCGCCCTTCGCGTGAGCACTATTCCTGATGTTATACATCATAAATCTGAATGATGTTATATCGGCAACCAAAAATGCCTGATAGTCGAAAGCAGCTTTGATCCGCAATTGGCTGAATGCCAAGGAGCCTTGGACGAGAGGTGTCTGGTTCAAGGCCATTTCACGTGCAGGCCATTGAATTGATGTTCGCATCTTGAAGTCTTGGAGAGCTACGAATCCACTCATCCGACCGGTGCTGTCAACACCAACTTTTTGGAAGCCTAAACAAAGGTTTTGTTGCCAGTCTGAATTCTTCTTCGACGAAATCCAGAAATTTGAGATCATGAAAGCTGACTTTCCAATCGCTTGCCCCAGATCTAACTGAACATCTAGTTCCGCGATTGAGACCGTCGCGTTCCAAGGAAATGCCCCAGTGGCTGCAACTTGCTGATACCTCTGAACAAGGTAAGTCTGTGATTGTAAACTTGAACTTGGTGGTGCCGGAGTCGACGCAGTCTGACGTATCTCCGGTGGGACCCATATCTCTCGGAAAAGCAGAAAATCTTGTAATTGCTTTGCGTTCACCAAGACTTTCATTGGACTTATCTTCAGGATTGCTGAAACGCCACTCGTGCCGCTAACATGCTTGCTGTTCATCAACGAGAGGAATACCGTTTCGACCTCGAAGCTTCCAGTTGATTCCCGTGAGTAAACATGCTGAACAGATGCCTGGAGACTCGTGAACGCTGCTGAGATGGCGAAGAAATGGCCGTGCTCGGTTGACCTGACTGTATTGATTGTGATGTAGATATCGTCAAACCGAGCTGTTGCTGCAACTCGAGCTATGGGTTGGCAACTTAGACTGAATTCTTGACGACAAATACGGAGGCCAAGATTAAGTCTTGTTCTACCAAGCACTGTGCTAGGATCAGTCGTCAATATGTTGTCCTCGTCTACGCTCATGAACTTTTGTGGTGACGCTTTTGGTTGCAAAGGCTTCTTGACATCGTCCTCGCTGACGATCTCTTTGACTGTTGAAGAAATTTCCATGATGAGTGGCACTACCGATGGGTACAAGATGTTTGATGAAGCATCCACCTTGACTTCGGCGTTCAAGGAAGGATCATCGAGCCCGTTGTCTTTGTATTCGACTTTCCAAGCTAGTCCTGGTGCTCGTAGGACGGTGTTACTGCTAGCATCTGTGTGTGTAAATTGGCCATATTTTCCTCCCTGCGAAGCTCTGCCGCTTTGGATTCCGGAAGTTGTATTCGAGGTTTCTGGCACCCGTTTCCCGGAGAGATACACAACCGCACCTGCAAAATCCGCATCGACGAGCAGAGATTCCATTCGCTTTGTGCCAAAGAAGGGTTGACGGCGGCTTGATTCTGTTGGCGGTCCAGGTGCTCGGGTGCTCCATGTTGCTGCTGCTGCTTGAACCTTGTCAGCGGCAGAAGCAATTGACCTTTTGAGTTCTGCCGCAGGTATTATAAATTGAGAGGTCAAGCGCAAATCAAGGGACTTTCCAGCCGCCTGGAAAGCCAGCCGCCGTGCATCTGCAGTAGAAACATAACCAACATTAAAGATGACTTCCGGAAGCAGAGCCGAGTTGAGTGATCTTTGAGTCTTATCGTGAGATGCCGGGACCATCTGTAATTGAAGATCTTCAATTGTCAACCTGGCCGAATTCTCCTTTCTTGTCGACAGATGGATGCGCTTTAAAGACAAGACAAGATTCTCTCTTTCTTGTTGTGAGGATTGGTTGATGTCATATGTGCCCACAAGCCAGCTGACTTGAATATTGTCCAGTTCTAAGGAGTACATGGAAGAAAATATTATGGTTGAGCCGGGTGCGCTATTATCACTTCCCTCTTGCATGTCGGCGTCGTTGATTGCTATGCGAGGTTTCGACTTCCGCAGCTTGCTCAAATACTTCTTCTCTCTGGAGAGGTCGAGATCTTTGATCTTTTCTTGAAGGTGACCTACAATATCAACCACTGATGACGCGGTGTCTGCGAAGAGGTTGATTTCGAGGCTATCGCTCTGGAGATGAAAGGATCTAACCACGTCCCCCTTTTCATTTTGTTTTGAAGTGGCTGTGAGAAATGCAGCAAAGGCGAGATTGCCGCAAGGTTCCATCGTGTTATTGTTCAAACGAGAAAGCTCAAACATGATATGGCGCAGGCTGACTCGTAATTCTGGGAAGCCTAGGACTTGGCCATTGGGCTCTGGACGATTACCAGCTACTAATTGTACACATCCGAGGTTGAAGTCCAATCTTGCGCTCTTCTGATCTGTTTGAGCCCCTTGTGCGTTGGCAAAGACATCAAAGCCAGCCAGGGTCAGATGGGCATCGTATATGAAGGGTTTTCCTTTGGATGCTGGTGTTGGCGATGATTGTTTCTTTTTCGGACCAAATATTCCTTCGAGGTGGGTTTGAACACCCTTGAGATCTTCTTGTACTTCAGTTATCACACTAGAAATCTCGGGCCTGTTGAGGGCCGTGAGAAGGCTATGAACAGCGGCAGCATCCAGCTCAACCGGCTCAACCGAAGCGAAGACAGTGATTACATCTTCATCCTCGGCCATATTGTAGGAGACCCGACCATTAGTTGGTGGCATTTGAAGAAGCGAGATGCTTTTCGCCTGGTTGGCAACACGAGTTTGAATATCATGGGAGTGCTCCTTCACATCGAAATCAAACACTATCTCTGAGTCTAGCTGAGCCGCAACCGATGCCCTGGCTACAACGCCCGACACATTATACGTTAGAGAGTGTAGAAGTGGCAGGCTGATGTGATACATATCTAGGAAGAGGGCAATGTTGACTTTGGTTCCTGGGCTAGGCTTTTGGATATGTACTTCTGTCTGCGGTTGATTTTGCGTCCCCGTTGGAACGTTCTTCGTGAGGCGATGGAGCTGGTTAACTTCATCCCCAACAACGAGGTCCAGCACTTCGATCAAAGCTAGGATGTCTTGTCGAACAACAAATGATAACTGTTGACAATTGCCAGCAAATTTTAGGATGTTCATTGGAGACTCGTTGAGAATGTAGGACTCGCGAGAAGCACAAATACTCGGGTATCGTAATTGGTACAGCGTCAATTCTTGCGAGTGGCTTTTGACCTTTGACGTAGCAGCGTCGGCGGCAAGTACCAAGGTAGACATTCTTTCCGTATTGCCAGTCTCTTGGTCAAGCATGACAAAAGATCCTTTTAGTCCTTTGCTGATTGATGTTGCTCTAAGGTTGATGGTGTCGATTGTGATGGAGCCTTTCTCGGTAGCCACAAGAATTTGCAAGCATTTCCTAGGCTTGGGTCCTGCAGACAATGACTTGGCAAGGAATTGGGGTTTTGCAGTTCGTGGAGCCGACGGCAACTCGCTTTGGTTATACAATTTCATGATATCCTCAGCCAATTCACACAACTCCCAATTGAGGTTGATTGAGACATCATGACAGAAGATCTGCAGAATCGTGGTTTGAACAGTGTGTGCGTGTGTTTGCGGGTCAATATCTGCAATCGACGTTGATGTCCGGGTTTCTAAAGTTACACTAACGCCCGACAGTGCTATCTCGTTCTGCTTTGGGCCTGGATCCAGTACTAGTCGAATATCTTCGGTTGCGAGTGACAATTTGACGGGCTGCGCCAGCGGTGTCGATGGATTACTGTCGGCGGTTGATCCATAAACCTTTGCCATCACAAGACATTCGTGGATGTTGTTTAGATCCCAGCTTCTCCATTGTGCAAAGCCAGTATAAACGCGTTCTCGTGCATCTCCAGGGACAATTTCCGAATTACTCAAACATCGCAAGGCTATATCTTGTTGAATTGCGGGACTGAGACTGGCATACATGTGGTGAAGCCGAGTGATGATTTTCCAAGAGTCACTTGTTCTCAAGTGGTCATTGGCTGATCGGAGGACATAGGAAGGCCTGGTTAAAAATTGGGGATCCGGAGCGTCCTGTCCGGCGGTAGCAACGAGGTATGTAAAAAGTTGCATGCGGTTACGCTGTTGTTCTATCCGGGAAGAGAACGTCTCAGCAAGTTCGCTTCCTAGGACTTCTGTACGATGTAACAATGATGCAAGATACTCAACCTTGCTACTTGCAGTAGCAACCTCGAGGCCTTTGAAGAAGGCGTTGACTAAGGTTTGTTCACCTGCTGCATTCCAGAAGATAACGTCCTCAAGGACTGCATTTATCGCCGCTTGTGGGTCTTCTATATCGTTGTAGCGTTCCTTAGCTGCAAGACTTGCCGAGCCGAGTGATAAATGCAGCACATCAGAATTTCGGACTCCTTCCGTAGTTCCCCCATCCCCGACCGCAAGCGTTTCTGACCTTGACGTGATCGCAAGCCTGGATAGAGCAAAGTCATACTGATCATGCGTATTCGGATGGACACTTGTTGGGCTTCCGGGGCTCGTGGAGTTTAAGAAGCGTAGATTGATGGCGGGTGCGCGGACACAGAAATCCATCACTTTGCCCGCGAGTAGCTTCTCCTTCTGCGAGCGAAATATTTCTCCCATAGAGTTGATTTGAAGCTCGTCGAGAAGGTCACTTGGATCGACTGCTTGCAGCGCTGAGACCAATCCTGCAATTGCATGAGCAGCTTTTGGATTGAAAACTCCCGTGATACCTGTCGGCAACTCGAGAATAAAGCTAACGTGAGTGGCGTTTTCGTCGTCTCTATCGCGCTGGATGTCGTCCAGACTGAGCAGGTTTTCTCTTGAAAAGCCTTCGTCCCCCAGATCCGCGGGAAGGTCCGGAAGATCTCTTCTGTCGGGCTCCACCGCCTCTAAGGGGAAATAGGGGGCAATGTATGAGCTGGAAAATGTAACAGTCGATGGTGGCAATCCCCGATGCTCCCCAACAGCACTATAAAAAGAGGACTGTCGACCCGTTGAGGCAGCAGATACGTCCCTTAGAGGGATCCGGCGCCCGGGGCCAGCACTAGTTTGCAAACTGCGCGAGCGGGATTCAGCAGTCTGAGAGCCACTCATTCTCAGGGAGCTCTGTGGACGAACGACACTGCCCTCACTTTTCTGGCTCGAACTCGAAATGGAGAGGAAGGAGCTTTTCCGAGCCACAGAACTCCGTTTCTGGCGCAGGGATGATTTCTTGGAGCTCATTGAGCGATTCTCGGCACAGGTTGTGCCATCCTGAACGACTGGGAGGGGCATTGGCGGCACGCTCATGGCAGGTGGATCTACTGGAACAATCATGGAGTCGTCGAGGAGATCGTAATGAAGTAGGAAGTCGGTTCTATGCGTCCGCTGATCATGACGTTTAACGTGCTCTTGTTGAAGCTGGCGGTCCGTTTCAAACCCGAGTTTTCTCTGAATCATCCCAAGCGACAGTGTTGTCTTGATGAAAGCATGGGTTTCAACTGGGTGCTGTGTTCTTGACCTGTGTCTTGACGCGGATTCTGCGTCAACACAGCCAAAGCATAGGTCAGGTATCTGAAGATTGAGTTTCTTCGAATAGTGTGAACCAGCCCAATCATTGAAGTTCACCGATATAGTCGACGTTGAAAGAAGGAACGCGGCCTCGTCCACATGCAGCCATACCCGAAGTGATTCGACGGATGCTCTGAGGAATGTTATATCATGCAAGACAGCTTCAAAAAGCGGAGGAAGTGCATTCTCGTCATCATCAAATGAAAATGCAAATGCTCTCCCACCGTTTGCCAATCGACCCAAGAAATCCGTTGTGCATTCACCAGTCACGGAGCCCACAGCGAAATCCCAGTTGCAAAGATAAGTTGGCTCTGTTGGAGGCAAGCCAAATAGCCGGTTGCCAGTAACACTGAACCCGTCCACAAAGAGCTGAGTGCTGGATGTCGCACTTAAGGGTGTTGCAGTTCCATCTTCTTCGCTGCCCTGGGAGAAGGCTAATGTCTGCAGTATGAATTCCACGTCCATGTAGTAGTTTGTAAACCTCAGATCGGCAGCAAGGCTTGCAATCTCAATTCGAGTATGATTCTTAGCAGAGTATAAGTTGCATGGGAGAATGACGCTAGATTCATCCGCAGTAACGCTCAGAATCACATCCAAATCATTGGACTTTTTATGTGGAGGTTGAGGGTTGACTATCTCCTCGTTGCCGTCACGCTTTGCGCGGAGGACATCCTGATACTCCTCCAGCGTCTTGAATCTTATGTCATCACCAAAGTAATTGTCTTTGATCTTGAGAAAGTACCGAATGACAAAGCCGTAAAATTGTGCAGAAGTAGCATGCCCGTGAACATTCAGCAGTAAGGTATCGGTGTTGCTAGTCGTGGTAGTGGAGCAATACTGGTACTTCCCTTGAATTGCAAGCTCTTTCAGTGTCGCCAATTCTGTTGAACTCAAAAAAGTTGCTTGAGTGTTCCACGGAGGAATGTGGAGATTAAGCCCGCCTTGTTTTGCATCAACATTGAATGTTATATCGTTTCGATATGGCCGGTAAGTGCTCAATGGGATGCAAACATCAGCATCCAGAACGGAACCAAAAATGATGATAAACGTGTTGTCGTCAAAATCAGACGGATTGTTGATGATGTTCGAGTCGTTCACATTCAGATACAATCTGAAGCCTTCTAAGTGGAGGTTGACCAGATAATTGAATGGGGTAAAAGTTAGATACTCTGGTGGAGGACCACTAGCCCAATCATCAACAAGATCTATGAGCAAGAATACATGCTCTCGTAAGATAAAGAGTTCTAGTCCATTGCTGTTGACATCAAACTTCCAAGTCCGAAGACTGTTCCATGACAGTGGATTTGACAGATCACAAGATATTCGATTGGCAACAGATCTCCAAAGTAGCCCGTGATTGACACTTGTGGTGATTTCCGTGTTGGGGAGGTCCAATTCGAGCTTGTTTGAATATCCAGGAGGCCCTGCAACCATGTCCATGGAATATCTAACAGTTGCGTTGGCCCCAACTTTGACATCGAGCCACCCGAAGGGCCGAATCTCAGGACCAGGCTTTCCTTTGTCGGCTTTTCTTTTGCGGCTACTTTTGCTGTTCTTTTTCTGATCCCCAACTTTAGCGCCCATGGTATCTGCTTGTTTTACCCACTTCCAATTCTTCGATTCTTCCCTGACGGGGACACGGAGGGTAGTCTCTTCATCAAACTCCACATATAATTTGAATTCTGTGGGTACCCTGAACTGTCCTGGAACAAGGTCCTTGCTTGGGCTTGAATCTTTGCACAGGCTTGGAAAGAAAACCCGCTGGATATCAGCACGTTGTCTATCGGCCCAAGGCCCATAGTTGATGATAGCACCTTTCAAGAACAAATCGATTCCCCATTCTGGGGGAGTGTCGCCATTTATATTTGCGGCTTCTTTACCTTTCTTGCCCTCGGCCTGGGATGTTTGGACTTGAACTACCCCGACAACATCCCAGTAGAAGCTCATACTGGCTTCGGGACTATCGACGATAGTGGATACTGTGGCGTACTCTATGGTAGACCAGCGATCTTTATCATCCTGTTCGCTCTCATCAAGGTATCTAGAAAGGCCTTGCCAGTTATGTGAGCCAGGTCCGCCATCGGTAGGTGTTTGAGGGCGGCCCAATACGCTGGATGATATCGATTCCACGGAACTTTGGAAAGCGGGCACCAGATCTTGCAGTCTGTGCCACGCTTTCCGACGCTGCCGATAAAAGAAGGAATGGCTGTGGATATGACGTCCTCTGCAATCGGTCTGCTCCGCATCCCCACGCTTAATGCGAGAGGCAGCTGTAGTTTGATCTTCTTTGTAGTCATCATTCGGTTTCATCTGAACTACCGGATGCTGGAATTTGAAGTTGATCAACTGTTTGTACTGGTCCAATGTTGTAGACTTCGTTGCATCAATCTCCCCACTGGCCCTGTCGACTTTTGTGATGAGTACGCTCTTTGTATTTTCGTTTCCGAGGACGACGGCAGCCTTCTCACAGTCGACATGCACAGGTAGGAAACGGAGGATAAAGGCGCCCTCCGGACTCGTGTGAGGCCGTGCATAACTTTCACTTTCTTCAGTCTGCGACGCTGAAGATGAATCTTGGCGGTCACGGTCATAGGCACCCAGGCTTGTCTTTTTTGTCAGCGGAGAATCGTCCTTCTCCAGGTCGAGGGACGTATCCTTGGACGATTCTACACTTTTCTCCGGATCCTTCCGCTTGCCTCTCTTTCGCAACACCCCATCAAGCTCTGCATCTCCTGCAGCTTTTGGATCGTTGTCAATGCTTCCATTATCATCTCTTGTCAGGCCGGCAACAATAGCATCATAGGCAGCGCTTCTGTTGTAAACGAACCACTCCACACCGTTCAACGTGACATTGAGACGGCATGGAAGCTTCGCAGGGCTCTTCGGGCCACCTTCTTCTGCGCTATTGTTTGTCCTGTTGCGAATCTCGTCTTCGGAATCTGGCGAAGAAACGCGCTTAGTGCCCACGACTGGAGACTTTCTAAGATCCAGCTCCCTGACATTCCTGAGCCAATAGCACCATGTAATATATCCATTGTGGATCAGAATAGTCTCATTGTTGCCATAATATCTGAAGCCCGTAAAGAATATTCTTCCACCCAGAAGGGAGATCTGGAGGGCTTTGATGTCGATGTACACGCGGTATCTATGCCACGTCCAAGCTCGCAAACCGTAGGAGACGAGGGTCGCAAAGACTCGATTGAAATAAAACAGGAAGAAGAGAGTTCTACGAGAGGTCAGCGAAGTGGCACATAAGCTTCCTGAAAAACAGCTTTTACAAGATGCCGCAGAGAAGTAGCTCAACCAAAAAGATCCTAGATTGCAATCAATAAGTTTTAGACATTCTGATTGTAAGCTCAAAGACCCTCACCAATTGAAACCCGGGTTCTGACCCAAGGGGGTTGAGGTCAGTCCTCCACTGCTCGCCATCTTCTATCCAGACAGCTCCGATGCAATGGGATCTCGGCGTTCATGGTGCATGTCCATGCCACGACTTTTGGGGCCGTGAACCGGCAATGCAGATGCCTTGGACCACTGGTTCAGCAAGAGGACCGCGAGTCCATTGAGGAGATCGCAAGAAGGATTGTCAAGCTACGGTAGGTAGAGGCAGAGGCAGGAGGAGCGGGGGAGGCCTTGCCTGCTGACTCGTGATCGATGTCGTCGCCAGAAAAACGACGCGGCCGCGTGGATCAAGGAAACAAGACCATGCCATCTCCAAAATCTCCCATCTCCCAACTACAACCATATTCGCACGCTTCACTCTTGTTGCAAAGCTGCACCTGGCAGAAGATGTTATTCATGCCATATACTGCCGCGTGAAGTCCTTCACCTTCGCGGTAGAATTGTGTTCCGCAGAGGTCTTGCACGCGTCATGCAGTCCCAGGCCCCCTCCGCAGCAATGGCTGGCGGCCTTTCTGGAGGGACGGGGCAGAAGTTGACCCAAGCTACTATCATTGTTTCTGGAGTTGCTGCGCTGCTTGCGTCCTTGTTGTCCGTTGTGTGAGCAGAATTCCATGATCATCTCTGTTATCCTCAGCTAACGTTACTCTGCCAGATCTGTTTGGCTGCAAACGTAACCATCCCCAGTGTCCCAGTGCCTGTCACAACTAATAAGATTTCAGTAAGAACTATCGAAAACCTCTCCTCCAAAGATATGTCATACGGATATTGCTCATGTTGGTTTGCATCTCCCAGAATCGTGGCAGCGTTGTTGACATGCCTAGGGTGCCCATATATTCGTTATCCTCATGGTCCAGTATCGTATCGTTGAGAGCTGCCATGTTTGTGGATCCGATCCGTGATGTTTACGAGGTGATGATTGATCTACCGCAACCGGGAAAACTGCTAAGCTGCCTAGGCCTTCACAATCTACACGTTCTTCCAGCTTCTCATCAACTTCCTGGGAGGGGAGCGCGCCCTCATAATTATGATGCATGGTCGAGAACCAGTTCACCACTTGTGGCCTCTGAACCACGTCTTCCCTACGGTCGACATCTCCGATCCACATACATTCTTGGCGATAAAGCGTGGGATATTGCAATATGCCTGGTTGAAGCCAATACTGGGTCTCGCGTCAATCGTCATGAAAGCGACTGGGACCTATAAAGAGGGCTACCTTGGCCTGGACTCGGGATATCTATGGAGTGGAATCCTCTACAATATCAGTGTGACTGTCAGTCTCTATTCCCTCGGCATGTTTTGGGTTTGCATGTCCAAGGATTTACAACCATTTCGTCCAGTTCCAAAGTTCTTATGCATCAAGCTCATTATTTTTGCCTCATATTGGCAAGGGTTCTTTTTATCTATCCTGGTATGGCTGGGTGCCATTCCAGACAATGTGGAAGGCTATACACCCGACAATTTGGCTGCTGCCATACAAGATGTGTTGATCTGCATGGAAATGCCTGTGTTCGCAGTTGCCCATTGGTACGCATTTTCCTGGCACGACTATGCCGATGCTACTATTTCAGCAGCGAGAATGCCGATCAAGTACGCTCTGAGAGATGCTTTTGGCATAAGGGACCTCATTGAGGACACGAAAGAGACCTTCAGTGGGAACAAATACGAATATCGTTTGTTCGATTCAGGAGATAACGTTCTTGCCCATGAAGGCTCATCTTCACGAGTTGCAAGGATGATGGAGGGCATGCGATATGAGCGAGGCGGAAAAGGGAAGTATTGGATTCCGAAGCCAGGGGATGCCAATTCCAGGACGCCATTACTATCCAGCGACGCCCGCCCCCGGAGTTTGTCTCCATCCAAACCAAGGCAGAATGATGCTCAGTACCTCGGATATGGGAACGGAAGTGTTGATGAATTAGCCTTAGATCCGGACGAAGAAAGACTCTATGATCGCGCCAGGGCCCTTGAATATGGAGACTGGAATGTAGGTTACCTTTCCTCGAAGCTCAAAAATACATGCTGATCTTTTGGAAGTATCCCGTGATTACGGCGTACGAAGCATCTCGAGAAAGATGGTTAAACTCCAGCCCTGATTTGCTAACAACATCAACCAATAGAAACCTACTTCAGCCGACTAGGTAAGCTTATTCTTGTTTGGGCGCTCAGAGCTCAGAGCCTGGAAGCTTCACGGGAGCTAGCATGCGCATGTGTATTTGGAGCATGCCTCCTTTGCTCCTAAGCTCCCTCCTGCATTTCTGGGACCATCCATTCTAATTCGATGGTTAAGGGACAATGAGATCCGAAGAGCCAGTAACATCAAAAACACAGTGGAAGAGGTCACCAAAAAATCCAAGCGTAAACACAGTTCGAAGTCAAGGAGTAGCAGCTCGAAAGGGAAGCAAAAAGAACAGGATACCTCGAATGGAGAAGAAGGTCGAGCACCAGCTCTCAAGGGTATGCTGCGGCATCACTCCTCCGCTTCTAGCTCGGCAAAGTCAGACCGCAGCCAGTTAGTTGACTTAGTTGTGGAGGACAAGACAGCCGAGGATGCAGAGAGAGTAAGAGCACGAAAAGAGGGCAGTGCAGGCTGGAATTCTGAAGAACCTAAACGATTCGTGTACGTACACTCGGCGGTTTTTGAGACGAGAACTGACTGATGGTCTAGTCGAACGTATGGTAAGAATACTGGCGAAGATATTCGTGAAGGATATGAGCCAGCCGATCACTTGGCAGCGGTTGATGGTGCAGCCGATGGCGAGTTTATTGTTGGTGGAGACGAGGAACCGGAGGAATCGCAGCATTGGAAACAGGCGAGAGAATCAGAAGAACATCTGCTGAAGCCTAAGTACGGCCTCGAAGGAGAAGCTTTCGAAAACGTCTGGAGCGGGGGTGAACCTTCTGAACCACCTAAGGAGAATCCCTAACGGCTTGTATGATAGATACCCTTTTGGCAAGTCTAGATTAGATTTCAGTATGCATGGCGAGGCGTTGGTCCCAAGTCTGCTGAAGGTAATGTAAACTTTTGCGCTATCTTTATCCATTTGCTTAAAGTGGCCTGCAGTGAAGTAATTCCTTTAAGTGTAGGCGTGGCAAGGTTCCATTCTGGTTATATGCCTGACACTCGTAAGTCTTACAATAGACAGGAATGAGTAGTACTCTGAACTTAGCCGAACACCGTTTACCTTGGATCTGCTCAATATTGAGTGTCTCGTCCCCCTCTCAAAGTTGAGTACATTACAAACTCCCATTAAAAGCGCCCTCGACCTGTAATACTAGAACAGCGACGACGCCACGGATGCCCTGAAAATGACCGTGTTACCTCGACAATGCGCGCCAGAGTATTGAATTCGAGGCAACCTACATTGAGTAACGCACCCTCTCTTCATGGAATAATAGCTAAAATATGTGTCATTAGCTTGCTTCCTTCTGCTCGGGTTTCAATAGCATAGCCGTTAACGGTAGAACGAAACGGTGGCAAAAGAAGGACCTTTCATACAACTTCTACCGCCTGCCATCCTACTCCGCCCCAATCCTAGTTAAACTCGGCTTTCGGCTTTCATCACATTTGAAAGAGCCCTCCGATACCGGATTATTGAATGGTAGCAACGGTTTGTAGAGCTTAGTGGGGCCTCTTCAGGCGGCTCGGCGGAGTAACTTATGCATGAATGTGCAGACTTGGGACGAACAGTGGGGTATAGATTCCTCGAAATGGAAAATATGGGAGACTCCCTAAATCCAGGGCTAGGATACCTTTTCCCGCTGGTAGGTCACGCTTGGAATGTAACCTCCGCTCGATACTGGCAGACAGGTGGAGAAGAAGACATGATGTTGTTACCGAAGAGATGGAAGAATGTGGTTTCCACGAACTTTTCTCTCCCTGTTTGAATGCCTTGCAATGCCTCATAGGTTGATTCCCTTACGAGTGACCCACGTGCTCTTGAATATTCAAGTCGCATGCCCTCTATTAAATGTCTCCCGAGTTCTCAAACTCTTGTTTTCAAAATCAGGTAATGCCAAACAGTTACTCGCCACCTGCTTAAAACTGAGCAGCCAGTGCCTACCTCTAGCTGATAAAGCTATCTGCACTGTGGCGGAGGCAATTCAATTTGGGGTTAGTATGCCGTTTTTAGTGAGTGACGACACTCACCTTAAGATCACCGATAGCAAGTTTCTTAGCCTCCGCCTTACCTGTCAACGAACAACTCACCAGTCTCCACCCCCTAACACTTAGCGCGGAGACAAGATCCATATTCGGGACGAGACGAGCCGAAGTGAGTGGTCAAGCGTACGGTAAAGTCTCGTCATTTGCATCAGCTTCACTTAAGTTCTGCAGCTAGCAATCTTTTTTCCTTCCCACGAATCTGGCGACATGTTAGAACTCGGAGTAATTCATCTGGTGATGCGACCCAAACTTCCAAGCAAGAACAGCGCAGCCCCGACTAGCGAGCCCTGTTGCATGAGAAGCTGCATGATGCAGCATCGTCGCCCAACGACAGTAGCAGGGCAATATCTAACACAGCCAAATCAACACTTTCGGCCGCGGAATATGCTTGAGATGTGTACGTATCGCCATTTCTCTTCTGGATGCCGAGATATGTTGTGTATCGATGTACCGTGATGCAGGAGACCTGTGTAACCAGGTGGGCCCAACGACCAGTTTGTTGGAAGTACCTGGGCTCGCGCCACTGTAGGACTTATGTAACGTGAGAGTATTGCCATGGGGTATTGATATCTGCTCGAAAGATAGACCTATCCTAAGGCTGCGGCCAATTCTATCATCAGCTGCCGCGTGTATGTACCTCAGGCTGCGCACTAAGCCTGTTGGTTTGTACGACAGCGAATAGTCCTAACGTCCTCCGTTGATTGGGCGTCTCAAATATCATGAGTCGGGTGCAATTTGGTGACTGAACGTAAGAATCGTCGCTTCAACACGTCCGAACCAACCATAATCCTTTCCAGGTCTTGCAGAATACGATATGGCAACTGGATGGTCTGGCCCACTGAACTGTGAACTTCACAGTCCCGTTGGTCGATGCTCCAAGCAATGGGGGGAGCTTACGAGCTGGGAGGATCTGTCTCCCCTTCAATTCCATCGGAATCGCACACAATGTGGCTGAGGATCTTCAGTCCTTCACAGCAAACAGTTTCTGAGGCGGAACGAATCCCGGTCCAATTGTGTGCTCGAACTGGTTGCCTTGAAGTCGTTGCAGGTTTGGAAAGCTTGACTCCAACAGCAGTGTCGGGATACCTCCAACCAGTCAGACTGCGACCACACCTCAGATACTCGACCAACGATTACTCAAGCTGTGCCCCGCTGTTGGTCTGGCTGCCAAACCACTTCTTTGGTCTTTCTCCGCATGGAATGCCTTCTGCCCGATGATCCTGTGCTTCATGCTTCGTTTCGACAAGTACTGCCTGACCTGGGTTGCCAGACTATCCGCTTGCTTTCGTTACTATTACACCCGGGTAAGAGACAGGATCAAGAGAGTATCACTCGGAACATCAATATGACAACGTAAGTAGTTAGCCCCTTCCCCCCCAGGAGGGCCCGCCGCTAAACAGATGCTGGTGATAGGCACGCAGAAGAAGGCACACAGGCCCTTGACCAGTCTTTCCTCGAGACGACTATATATCACAATCGTCTGTTCCAAAATTATGCGATCAACAACCTTGCGTACCTGGTTCCTATAGACGAAGTAAGCCAATGTACTTTCGATGATTCCAATCGCTGAGTCTCAAACGCTCTACTAGGAGGAAGAAGAGCGACTGCATATTATGCACAACGTCTTTAGCATGATCTTCGAACAGAGATTGATATTTGCGCCAATAAACCGACCTAGGTACGTATTACAGAATCAAATATCTCCGTTTTTTGCTACTTAGCTTGGCATCGACTTCACAATTCCGCAAGGCTTTACCCAGCCCGTTTGCCTGCTCAAGGAAGATCAAGGAAGCTAACAATGATATAAAGACGAGTCTTGGATCTAGGTCATGGCACAGGATCCTGGGCTCTTGAAGTTGCTGAACTCCATAGTCGATGCGAAGTATGATTTAAAGATTCGTTCTTCTACTCCTCAACATCTACCCCTCGGTCGCCTCGAGAGGCGTCGTAAAATGCGACTAGGCCTTGCTTATGGGCAAATGGGAGGGCAATCCGCAATAAAAAATATACGAATGTGTTTACAAGAGGCTTGACTACGAGTATGGAATAGGGTTCATGCTCGCAGAGGTGCTGATGCGGGTATACCAATAGGTCATAGGTATCGATATATGTCCGACTATGCAGCCACGGGAGATGCCAGCCAATCTCTAGTAAGAACGATAGGATTTCTAGATCCTTTGCTCCCGGATTGCCAGCAATTTTACTTCATCTCCCGTAACCCCAACGCATCGCGAAAGGGTTTGAGTTATTGGCTTTGCTCCCGAACCATGCTGAATTGCGGAAGTGCTGATTTCTCGGTGCTCTAGCTTGCAGGTTGATGATGTTAATCGGACGTGAGAGTCACTGACTCGCATCACACTGACTCAACATGGCTGACCATATGAGAACAGGTTCTCGTTCAATGCGCACCACTTCGATCTGGTCCAGTCGCGCATGATGACTGGAGCAGTTCACACTAATCGCTGGGCACAGTACATGCGAGACATGCTCCGCGTCGTGAGTCTCAATTTCTCAGAGCATCGTTTCCCTCTTCGTATGCCTTGTGAGCTATTTACTCGCTAGGTCGTTTGTCTTCATAGTAGATTACTACCAAGACACCACTTCAGCGCCCGGTTCTAGCTTTTATGGTAATACTAATGGGAGATTTAGACACGACCAGGAGGCTGGTGCCAGATGATTGAGCTGTACTATAATTTTCAGTCTGACAATGGAACACTCACACCAGACCATGCCTTGAGCCAGTGGAGCGCCAGGTACCTTGAAAGCATGGCTGGTTTGAAAGACCTTCGCCAAGCTACTCGCCTGCCGAACTTGATGAGAGACGCGGGCTTTGTCGATGTTGAGAGTAGGATGATCCCATTACCCACGTGTGGTTGGGGAACAGGTAAATAGCTTGCCCACTTGAGACTTACTGATCAACTATGAAATATTCTTATGCTCAATGTCACGAGCAAGCGAGCAAATGCGCAATACTAACAAGCAGAAACGGCATAGAACAACGAGACAATGAAATAGGGGCGACAAACAGAGAGAATATTCAAAGAATGCTCAATTCTCTAGCCATCTTCCCCTTCACGGAGAGGCTCAAGTAACCAGCTCGGCCCTTATGCCTGCGAGATCTAATGCAGCTGCAGTATGCCCATTCAAGATGTGCACCTCTTGATAGCCCAAGCACGAGTTGAGGCTGATAACCCCGCCTTCAAGGTGATGCGTCATATTGCTTCTCCTGACGACTTTGCTGAGTATAGCTTTAGGCGTACCTGCCCCTCTACGTCTGTATCGGTAGAAAGTCCCGCTCCAGACGATGAGGCAGCGAGTGAAGGACGGGCGGGCCGTGTTTTCTCTGTGGCTTTGAGCTTAGCTTTCCAGGTTCATGCTTTGAACTTTCAGAGGAAATCTAACGGCGAGCTCTCATGCCATCCGATGTCGCCTTCGGACTGACTTGGCCAAGAGTGGGGAGTGGCCTTGATATAGAGGTGAAATTGTCCTCCAGCTGTCTTTCATTGTGTTGTGTTTCTCTGACTGTCCGCCCGCCCGCCCGCCCGGCCCTCTTCGGAGGGTGTTTCTGAAATTGGGAAAGGGAGATCCCTCTTTGTTGCCGAGGGGACATAGCACCATCTTCTTTTCACTGCTAGTCTGTTAGCTATTTCGTTATTGAATGAAGTTCATATTTTCTGGTATTCAGTTGACACGCTACACGATACCAGACTAGTGAAAAATGAGACTATTCCCGAAATGCCCAAGCCTTGGGGCGGAGGTTTAGTATCCTTGCAGATACTGTAGCGACAACACCGACGAGTCCTCATCGCGTGGAGTCACGTTCGGCCACAAGGTGGGTGGCTCTGTGCAATTCTGACCATGATGAGAGACAGTCTGGGGATTCGTTGGCCTCGCCTTCTCTGGAGGGAGGAGTGGGGGGCGGGGGGGGGAAGTCGGAGGTTCGTGTCGAATGGTGGTCCAAGACCCTTGTAGACTCCCTTCTGAGGTCCGAAGCACCAGTGGTGTTGGGGATGATCGAGGAGGCTCCGAGCCATATCCGCTGAAGAGGGAGACGACAGCGATGGAGGAAGAACCAGGCCAGGGCCGGAAAGGGCACAGCACTGCACTGCAAGAGGGGCGTCGTCGACAGTCGTTGTGAACGACGTGAAGACGGGATGGTGCTGAGGTTGTGAAGTACGGTATTGGGAGGAGTTGGGGAGAAGGGAAAGGAGAGGGGGATGCAGAGGAGAAAATTCTCCGCTATGGGTCCGTTCGGTACCAAGTCATCGGGGCAGCAAGGGAGCAAGCACGTATCCTTGCCACCACTCGTCAGAATTTGGACCTGCACTCGGGCAATAATGAACGTCTTTTCATTTGACAGCCAAGACCAAGATGGAGAGGTGTTTGGGGAAGCAGTCTGGAGCTGTCTCTGTCCCTGTCCCTGCCCGAGGTCCCTCTAGTCCCGTCCAGCAAACGTTGGCTGGATGGCTTGTTGTGCGTGCAACCTCACTCACCAACCGCAGCTCGCACCGCGACGCGGACAAAAAGGCACCTCTCACGCTCGCCCTCTCCGCCCCACCGCCGTTTTCGCTGGCCGTGCAGCAGCTTGTGGTCCATGACCTCGTCCTCGGAGGTCCAAGGCGCTTTCACGACTCCTCAATTGGGTCGGTTGGGCCGGGGAAGGGAAATACTTAACCGGCGCATGGTGGGAAGATCATGTGATGTCTCTCTCCCCCTTTTTCGGTGGATCGTTGTCTCTCCTCCTCCCTCCTCCCTCCCCGTGAGGCCCAGGATTCATTTCTACTGTTGCAGTGTAGCATTGAAGGCACGAGAGAAGGAAAGCCAGTGTGAGACATGTGGTCGTGCTTCGACGAAATAGTGAGATCTTCGAGATTGATACGATACAAAAGGGGAAGAATCAACATGGTTGGGAGTACAGCTCCTGGGATGGGGAAGGCGCCGGATGGTTGTTTAATCACACTAACACCACCATTCACGCACACTTTCTTGCGGCCGTCGGAACTGTGTACATGTGTGAGTGCAACCTTGACCACAGTGTTAAGGATCTCGAGAAGAATGATGCCTGCGTTTGCTCTTCAATGGATGTCTTTAGATTCTTTTGATTCTGGAAATCTACAGCGTGATGCAAGCCCTCTCTCGCCCTCAGACGAAGAGTGCCACGCCAAACATGCTTCAAGATGAAAAGTTTCATGTCCCTTTTTGATTTTACCTGCACTCCCAAACGCCAGAGCCATGAGACGACCATCGTAATTTGAGATATACAGACACTAACGACTGTTCGTCTTCCCCATGCCTCTCTTGCCAGAGAACTGTAATTTGTTAGAGATGTTGCTAACCAGAGGATAAAGGGGGAACATACCAAATGCTTAGGCATAGCAGCAGCAACATGTCTATCCGCCTCACCCTGTCTCGCCATTCTGTTCATCTTCCTCTGACTCAACTTCTGTGCTCTCTCCGCTTTCGTCCTAGCAGTCTCGTTCGTAACACCGTCATCCCGTCTATTGCTCTGACTTCTGGCTCTGCTCTTCGCACGCATCTTCGCCTCATAATCAGGGGAATCGACATCCATGACATCTTCCGTGCCGGTTCGACTGCGTAGTTGACTTCTCCCTCTAGATTGCGAACGTGCTCGCACTCCGATTGCAGTAGTGTCGAGACCCAGCGAATCAAGGTGATCCTCCATATCCGTCAACTTCTTGCGAGTGGCGGTACGGGGGATGATTGCCCGGTTCTTGAGCGACTTCTTCATCTTCGCCTCGTTGCGGATCAGAATTCTCTTCTCGCGGATCATGTCGGCCTTCATTCTGATATCCGCATCCTCGGCATCTTCTAGCTCCTCGTCGGAATCGTAATAACCCTCCGCCTCCAACTTCTCCTCTTCCTCCTCCAACGCCGCAAGCTTAGCCTCGATATCTTTATCAATGAAATCATAAACATTCTTGCCATCGAAGATTTCAGGGATCTTGTCATGCTTCCACTCGTCGTTCTCGAGAATGTATTTATCTTTGAGGTCAACATTATAGACACCCGCTCCACCTTCCTCTTCCTCGACATCCCGGGCGAGCTTCTTGCGGTTAGGGTCGTTCTTGTCGTATTTCTTCATGTTTTTCACAGCCTCGGGGATAAAGGGTTCGCGAACAATGCCATCCATTGGTCTGGCGACGTGGATTCGAGTGAGAACGTCTCCAAGTCTGCCACCAACGGCACCGCTGCTGCTCGTTCCCGCCTTCAGTTTTTGAGCTACCCGGTCTGCGATTAGACGCTCGCATGCTGCGTTCTTGACTTCTTGAACACCTTCGCTTGTGGTGCACGAGAGTTGAAGCATCTCGACATCTCCGGCTTTCAGCAGACCTTGAACCTGTGCTTGTGTTTCCTCATCCAGATCTTCGGGTCGAGTAACGTCGATCTTGTTGATGACGATGAAGACGAGCTTATTGGCAAATAGAGGCTTAATGCTCTGGAATAGCTGCACTTGTGCTTGAACTGTATATCCGCACTGCTCCGAGAGATCCATGAAATAGAGGATTGCCGACCGGAGATGGGCGATTGCGGTGATAGATTGCATTTCAATGGTGTTCATTTCCTCGAGAGGGTGGTCTAGAATACCAGGGGTATCAATCGCTTGGAATCGAAGGTACTTATAGTCGAAATGTCCAACGAACAAACTCTTCGTTGTGAAGGCATATGGCTGCACATCAACATCTGCTCTTGTAACACTCTTCAAGAAACTGGATTTTCCAACATTAGGATACCCGCAGATAAGGAGGGTTCTAGTATTTGGGTCGATTGAGGGGAGTCGACCAAGATGCTGTCGAACTTGATCGAGGTAGAGGAGGGGGTCTTTCAATCTTCGGCAAATCGTGGCCATTCTACCCAATGCAGCACGTTTGAGCTGCTTGCACTGGAAGAGGGATTGCGCATATTTGAGAAGTCGGACATAATCGCGGGAAACAATCTCAATCAGATGTTTTGCGGTCGAGAGTTGGCCGAGGGCTATTCGGAAGTGGTCTGCATCATAGAGGGTGTTGAGGAGATCTTTGTGGAAAGGGTGGATATCTTGTAAGCGTGGGAATCCGTCAAGGATGAGAGAAAGCTTCTCAGTGAAAGTTTCTTGTGTAAATTTCACCTTTCTAGTGTAGAAGTCTGTGAGAGATCAGTGTTCTGAACGCAGCTTCAGGAAATTTTGCCTAGTACTTCTGATTCTGCTTATCTGAAATCCGGAGCGGATCTGGGTCGGCAGTCGTCGCTGTGTCCGACTCAGCACAATATCCAGGAATTCCTGAGACGTCGGAACAGGCTGAATATCCTTCCAAGTGGTCTTCATGGCGGGCAATGCGGTGTTCGACGTCGAGGCTAAGATGGCTGGAGTCTTGAATTTTTATCTCAGTTTTCAGGTTGAAGAAATTCGTGCCAAGGCGCTACAATAGTGCAATCTTATCGCCGAAGTCTAAGCGAGCCCCTCATCACGTTATCGATTTTTTTTTTTGGATGGAAGGGGACCGGCAACGTGAAAGTCTTCAAAAACGGGATAGTATTTAATTCAATAGCCGAAAATCAAGATCGTCCCCCCTTCATCTTTGCCAGCGCCGCATCATCTGGGAATCCTCTACAGCTCTCTTTACTGTTTGGCCTGAGACGCCGAAGCAATTCTTGGTCTCACTCTTCCGCTCACTTTCACCATGTCCACCACTCTCGCCCCATACAAGGTCGAATTCCTCAAAGCAGCCATTGATGGCGGGATCCTCAAATTCGGAAGCTTCGAGTTAAAATCCAAACGCATTTCTCCCTACTTCTTCAACGCCGGAAACTTCTACAGCGCGAATCTCCTCCGCGCAATCTCTACTGCATATGCAAAGACGATTATCGAAGCCAGCACGTCCTCAACCCCCCTCGAATTCGATATCCTGTTTGGACCCGCGTACAAGGGAATCCCATTGGCGTGTGCTACAGTTGACAAGTTAGCGGATCTGCTGCCGGAAAAGTACGGGAAGGTGTGCTATAGCTTTGATAGGAAAGAGGCGAAGGACCATGGTGAAGGAGGCAATATTGTTGGTGCGCCATTGAAGGGGAAGAGGGTCCTGATTGTGGATGATGTTGTGACTGCTGGAACGGCGAAGAGGGAAGCCATTGATAAGATCCGAAAAGAGGGCGGTATCGTTGTCGGTATTCTGGTGGCGTTGGATCGAATGGAGAAGCTGCCGGCGCCAAACGGGGATAATCCAAGTACACCTATGCCCAGTGCAATCGGAGAGATCAGAAAAGAATATGGCATCCCGGTCCTGTCGATACTGACGCTGAATGATATTATTGGGGGCTTGAAAGGAAAGATTTCGGAGGAGGACATTAGACAGATGCAGGAGTACAAAGACAAATACAGGGCAAGTGACTAGGCAATGATACCCGTTTGAGTGAAAGACTTCTTCTGTATTATATCGAGTGGATTGCTGTGTAAATTTCTCTCGCTCATTATGCATGCTGCTGCAATTAGAGTCAAAGCCGAAGTGTGGGTATCACAAATAGAATGCAGCAAAGAAGTTTACCCCCTCTAGCCATAGGCTGCCCTTGGCTCCAACGCTTTCAACTCGAAGACCTTGAGGAAAGTCAGCTGGGGTAACAGGGGATTAGAGTTAGGCAACGCACCAGATCGTACCAGCCACCACCACCAAATTGAGCCTTACCCTTTCCCTTATTGCTAAAACCAAGCTTCTCATACCAAGCCACCTTAGGCTGTTATCTTCATTAACCTCCTATTTGGAAGAGAGCCAGAAGTTCAAACTCACATCATGAGCAATCAACGCCAACCTATCAGCAATGCCAGCTCCGTTCATCTGCTGCATATACGCCATCACTAAAACTCTCCCCAGACCCCGTCCCTGAAAAGCCGGCAATATAGCGACAGAATGAATAACAATCGTCCGTCCAGCTTCCTGATGGCCAAGATTGGAAGGCTTTGGATGTGGGGAATCCCAGTCTTCGGGCACACCCATAGACTCGTCAGAGGCTATGAGGTCATTCGTTTTGGCAGCAACGACATGGCCGAGTAAGACGCTAATTGCCCCATTGTGTCGACTGGTCTCTACCGGCTTGCCGGTTGCAAGTGTTTCTGCGTTGATTCCGGAGCCAGGCACAACAGTGCAGAAGATGCCGAGACAGAGTTCACCACATCTCGAAAGACGGTATCTGAACTATATGAGGCGTCAGTAAATGCTGTACAGACACCTTGCCGCAATCGGAAGGTAGTCACGTGCTCAACCAGGCGATTCCTGCCCCGGAACACTTGCCTTTTCTCTCGTGGCACGTTCTTCTGGATTAGTGAAGGCGGCATTCTCGAGAACAACACAGGACTCAAGGTCCGAGATGGTGAGTGGGCGCGTGTATGGGTGGAGGTTGAGGTTACTTGGTGCCTTGCGCTGATGCTCTTCGGGGATGATTATGAACTGTCGTTGATGACGGTCCGTGGTTGGAGATGCTTCTTCCTGCTGATTGGGACTCTCCGATCGCTCAGTCATGACGCTATTCGGACTTTCTGTAAGAGGCACTGGCGGTACCGGCCTCTGTTCCTCCAGAGGCATCTTGTACAATTGGCACCCTCGGACAGTAGTTGTCCTGGTCTGGTCTGTTCTGGTCTGGGGTAGGGTACTGTAAGGGGGGAAGAGTGGGGTTTTGCCGGGCGGGCTTGACGTGACAGTCGATCAGAATACTGGTTGCATGGAGCAGTGGATTGGGCGGGTTGGCTGTGTTCAGGGAAGAAGCAATGGGGGCGAGGACCTGGAAGCAGCCGACACTTCACTTCTCAAAAAGCTGAGAGCTGTCACTCCAGATCGCAGCCTTGTCATGTGTGGAGGGCTCTGGGCAGGCTCAGGCTCAGATCGCGTCCAAGGCGTCGGCGTCCCTCCCGGTGGACAGCAAAAGCGGCGCTCATCTTGAATGTCCCAGTCAAATGGGGACATTTGATTGGAGCGGAGCGGAGCGAGTGGAGTGGAGTGAGTGGAGTGGACTGAGTGGAGCGGAGTGGAGTGGAGTGGAGAGGAGCTGGAAACCCATTTTCTGGAATTTCCGAGACGTGTACAGGGAGCAGACTTTCAACGTGCAATATCGCATGCGTACTGTACATCCAGAGACGTACTGCAGTACTTGCAATGTCTGGCTTGACTTGGGACATTGGAAATGCGTGCCGCTTTTTCGGTCCCCCGCGAGGTAAATACGCCTCGTCCCCCACACCTCCACGCGATGCTTGTTGGCGCGATGCAAGAGCACGCTCTCGATATGGGCCTGTATTCCGTCTCTGCATCGTTCAGCTCCCCCCGCGCCCAGAAAAGCTCCGTAGGGACCGGCTACTAGAGGAAAACGACGGGCGCATGCAAAGACTTCATTGTTTGAAGTTGTGATGAATGATGGCCTTGCGAGCTTGCATCCCGTTTCCTCGCCGCGAGTTGCAGTTGCGAGGCAAAGAGGGCCAAGGAATAGCTGAGAAGCTGTTGGAATTGACGAGGCAAGGCAGGCAACCGCCGCTTCGTGACGACTCGACGAGGCTGGCCGACTCGAACCCCCTCCCCCCTCGCCGCCCCCTCTCCCAAAGCTTGTCGTACAGTCCAAAACAAAAACACACGCTCGTCACGCCCCCTCACGTCCCCATCCACCGATCACAAAGAACCCTGCCCAGCCCACAGACTGTTTGCTCGGGATTATGTCACCGCCTGCGTTATCTCCTCAGTAACAACTTCTTGCCTGTCTTCTGATTCTGAATCTCCCCACCTCTGAAACTCAACAAATCCTCACCACCATCCGTTCACCTCCAAAGACCTCATTTTCGGCATCATGTTTGTACAAACCTTGGCCCCTCCTTTGAGCTGACTTGACTGACGTATCTTCGAAGGCGCATCACGCTCAACATTACCGCTCCCACGCACGAAGATGCCGACCTCCTCTCCCTCGAGATCCCCCCGGACACGACGGTCAGCACGCTGAAGGAAGCCGTGCAATCCGAAGCTGGAATCCCTAAAACCTCTCAACACCTCTACCATAACGGCCAACTGCTGAACGATGACTCCAAAACCATGGAGCAGCTGCAGATTGGGGACGGGGAGATGTTGGCATTACACGTTCGAGATATGGTAGGAAGCCAGCCAGCAGGCCCACGACAAGCACAGCCTGCTCGCCAGCAACCAAGCCAGAGAGGTGGGCAAGGTTTCCCAGATCCCGAGACCATTCGATTACAGTTGCTTGGAAATCCGGAGATGAGACAGCAAGCCATTAGCCAAAGACCCGAGTTGGCGGCTGTGATTGATAGCCCAGAGAGATTCGCGCAAGTTTTGAGGCAGATGCAGGAACAGGAGAGGGACGACCAGATGAGGCGGAGGCAGCAGATTGCAGACCTGAATGCGGATCCGTTTGATATTGATGCTCAGATGAGGATCGCTGAGATGATTCGGGAGGAGCGGGTTCAGGAGAATCTACAAAATGCTATTGAGCATAACCCCGAGGGTGAGTTTCCAGTCAGGTATGTCTAGACATTACGACTGATGGATGTTAGTTTTCGGTAGAGTCCACATGTTATACATCGATGTCGAAGTCAATGGTCACAAAGTCAAAGCGTTCGTCGATTCCGGCGCCCAAGCCACAATCATGTCTCCTGCATGCGCTGAGGCCTGTGGTATCATGAGACTGGTAGACAAGCGGTTTGCAGGCATTGCTAGAGGTGTGGGCACTGCGGCTATTCTTGGACGAGTGCATTCTGCTCAAATCAAGATTGGCACCTTGTTCTTACCCTGCAGCTTTACGGTCATGGAGGGGAAAGATGTCGATTTACTGCTTGGTCTGGATATGCTGAAGCGCCACCAAGCTTGCATAGACCTCTCCAAGGATAAACTCGTCATTCAAGGTGTCGAGGTCTCCTTTTTAGGCGAAGCTGATATCCCTAAGAATATGGAGGAGGAGAGAGCTGAGGAGCCAAAAGTTGCGGGACCTGGAGGAACTACTATCGGAGGTAAGAGAAACTTTGCCCAATAATTTGGAGAAGTATTAACAAATATTGCAGCTCGATCAGGTGCCGTCTCTGGACCTTCAACATCAAGCCCAGCACCTGCGAGTGGTCCATCTACAGCTCCTGTACCTCCCCCAGCACCTCAACCTGCAGCTCAACCCTCATTTCCAGCCGAGTCAATCGATCAGCTTGTAGCTTTGGGATTCTCGAGAGAGGAGTCTGTAAATGCGTTGGCTGCTTGCGGAGGAAACGTGGAATATGCTGCTGGACTGTTGTTCCAGGGATGATCTGAACAATAAATTGGGGATCAATGGCGTACAGGGGATGGATAGATAGCATAAGGAGCGTATGGTTGAGCATCGCATGTAAAGGGGTTCCGTGCCCGGCGTTACTTTCATTTGCTTGGTACCTTGGCTTCGGAGCATAGCAATTCGATGACTGGTGGTTGGCGAGACTGCAATTGATTTTGATTCCCCTCACTATGCTTGTTACTACCGTGACTTGTGGTATCAACGCCGCCGCTTTCAATATTCTCGTAGCTCTCATAGCTCGTTCTGGTGGCAGAACCTCCTATCTCAGCTTATAAACACAAGGCTTTAACACACCCGCCTCACTCGATACACGCTCCTCTTCCTCCTCAATAAATTTCCCTTTCGGCTTCTTCATCCACGTCTCACCCCCACCAAACTTCTCCATTCCCTTCGGAACAGGCACACACTTCCCCTTGACGGGTGTAGCACCCTTAACAAAGCACATCTTAACAAACATCTTATTCCTCAAATCCACACCTCCCTCTCCCTCCTTCAACACAAACCCCCTCTTCCTTAACACCTCCACAAACGCACTGACATCCGTCTCTCCACCCTTGTCTTCCATACCATCAACTTCGACGGCCGCAACGAGATCATTGCTCTCCTCTTCCGCCCGCTTCTTCTCCCTCTTGTTCTCTGGCCCAGTTTTCTGGCGCTTGCCAACACTATGCTCAACCCTCTTCCCCTTTCCTCCAACACGCCCAAACCGGGACTTGATCTCAGCAACCCATAACTCGCCTTTCCATCTCAGGATTCTGAAGGCTTCTTCAATGAAGTCAATCCAATTCGTTCCCATTAACGCTAGGCAAAAGATGGCAATATCCACTGAGCCGTCTGCGAGAGGGAGGTTCGCAATATCTGCTTTTGTAACGAGAAGAGATGGAGACTGTAAGTCAAAACTGTGGATCTTGATATGTAGTTTTTTTGTTAGTGGCTGTAAGGCTATAGAGAGAGCAGCGTCACCGCAGCCTAGGTCGGCGATTGTGCTTGTGCCTTCTGTTCTTGGAAGCGGGGCGTCTGTTGGTAGACTTTGCTCGGCTTTCTTGTCGGATTTTCCACGTTGTGGTCCTCGTATCTTACCTCGTGTCTTGATGGTGTTGATGTAGGAATCGACGGGGTTCTCGGGCCAGACTTCAACTTGGCGTCGGAAACCTTCGTGGTACTCGCTGAACATTTCTGGGTTTTCTTGGAAGAGGGAGAGGGAGTGAGCCGAGGGTTTTGTGTAGAGGGTTTCGTTGAGATGGCGGAAGCGTGCTGAGATTAGTTTTTGGCGCATGGAGGCTTGGAGGGGAGTGAGTTGTGGTGCTGGCTTTGGTGTTGGTGCGGGTTTCTTGGAAGCTGTGTTTTCGGCCTTCACGGGAGTAGTGTCGTCTGCAGATTGCTCAAGAGCGGCTTTCTTCTCGCGTTTCTTCTCTTTCTTGGACTTCTGGTGCTTCCTTTCTTTCGGTGTTTTATCCTCATCCCCACTCTGAATCTCTCCTGGTTCCTCCTCCACATTCTTCTCACTGTTGATCTTCTCCAGCTTAATATTCAAATGTTGTATAATCATTCGTTTGGCCACCTCGTTCGTCGTCTTAGGTCGTTTCTTCTCCGCTTCCTTGCCATTGATCTCGAGTTCCTCTGCCTTCAAATCCTTCCCAACTTTTGGCCCCTTCTTGTCGTGCTTCTTTGCAGCTCCGTCGGCACTGCCCTCGGCGTTCTCAACCACTCGTGTGTCCGTATCTTTCCCGACTTTTTGCCTCTTCTTATCATGCTTCTTGTTCTTCTTCTTCCCCTCGATAACACTCTCCCAAAGGTCCGCCAAATTATTTCCATTCACATCCTTCTGCTTGCTTGCTCCATTGCTTCGCTTCCTCTTCTTGTTCGATTTCTCATCTGTACCATCATGGCTATTGTTCGTGGGTGCTGTGGTAGAATTGTTCGGTACCGGGTTTGAAGACTCTGCGACCTGAGTCTTCAAAGCACTTGCGGAAACAGACCATCCTGGGACGGCGAACATGGTAGGTGGATTGGAGTGTTCGAGGTTGAGGACGTTGGATTTTGGGGGAAAATATATTTGACGAGCGGCAGAATTGCGGGTCCTGCTTCACCGCCTTCTCCCCCCTTACACTTCAACTTACTTGCCAATCATTTCACTCCTTCTTCGTCTACTTTCAAATTTTTGAACCATTTCTGAAACGTCGACGTGGAGTACAGTACAATGGAATTTTAGTTTATAGTGCCAGCTTCCAGACATGACAATGTGCCATTGTCGTCTTTCTAGGAGGCAATGAAGCCCTGTGTCCCCACAATCCGTCGCGCTTTGTCAAGTCAAGCGGCCTCATTCACTTTTTATTTCTTTCCTGAGAAAGATCGCAATCTCGAAGTTGGAGAAGTAAGAGGGGATAAGGCCAAGGGATGACCCGTGAGAGAGGTTGCTTGAATGCCTATAGTCGTAAGATGGTTAAGTGACGACCGACATCACGGGTTTCGAGGTCTGTGGCTGAAATCTGACATGGGGAAATGAAATAATACTAGGATAAAAACCGCATTTTGATCTACTATTGCTATATCTACCGCTCTTTGGCATACTTTTTGTTTCGATTCCTTACATTTGTTGGTTCTATTCCTAGCCCCAAGTCACCTACCTGTTTGAGACAACCTCTCACCGTCCTCCCTTGAAATTTCCGTTTTAGGGTCTATACAACACTTCTATCCAGCCTACAGAAGGCCCTGTGTCTTCATAGGCTTAGGGTACCGTGATCACTTGTTCACTATCAAGTGATCCAGAGATCGCCATGGCCACGACTTCATCATCTGGCTCTCTTTTTCCGCTAGAATCGCAATTGAAGCTTCCCTTACCCTCTTCATTGTTGCCCTCGTGCCATTCACAGTTTCCGTCTGCTGTCATCGCCGCAGAAAAAGAAACGCAGAAGTGAAAGATTCTTTTCTGACGAAAATTGATGGGAGACCTTCTACCAGAACAGAGCTTAGCGGGCTACCTCATGACTTCATTGATCTAGAGTCTTGTGATCTTGATCATGGCAATAACAAATCTGGTGAGAAGGAGAAAATACATATAGGACATGCACCTACATATTAGAGGCACCTACGAGAGGCTAGGTGGTCTGCATGATCAAAAAGGGCAGAATTGGAACCTGTCGGCTTCAAGAATGGAAGATCAGAGCGATAAGAGGATTAGGTGATTTGAGGAACGTACATAAGGAGAACTAGAGATTACTTCAGGAGAGGCTCGGATGCTTGGATTAGAAGGGAGGGGAAGGGGACAAGACTGGAAGTTTTTCATAAATCCTTGCCCTTGCTCGGACAAGGTCCTAGGTTCATCGAACACTCCTCAAGGATCAAGCCTCTGGCACTCGTGAGTTTGGCCAAGAGGCGTCTCCGAAGTACCCAATTTGTTCTTGAACCAGGCTATGATCCAACAGGTTCCTATGTTGTCTCTCAAGTCACAGGCCATGGAACCTTCTCGTCACGAAGAACAATCTCCGAGTTTAACCAACCCAACACGAAGCTTCTAAAACTTTACCAATGTGTGTTGAAGCCCAAGAGCAGAGCGTGAGTCTGCTACGAAAGCGCACGCGAGGGCTAGCCTTTCTTTTGTTCGACACGACCTCATGTTCGTTTGGAGAAGATTCCAGCCGATGGCAGCTCATGTTAGAAGTCCACTACTGTTACTTATTAGTGCAAGCCAGGCACACTATTTCTCTTCTCTATTTCAATCTTGAGCAGCACTTTCTTGTCTCAAGCGCCTTGACGCCATGAAACTCATCACGATCCTGAACGCTGCGCTCCTCAACGCCCTCATATTTCTCTTCATCGCGAAACGATGGGAGTCAAAGGCCAACTTCCTCGCGGCAAATTCTACCGCTGCCTTTTTAACATACTTTATTCTGTTTTTGGACGGAGATGTGTGAAGGACTTGGAAGATGAATGGTTACGAATTTTGAGAATACAATACCGAAACTTTAAACCTACGGTATTATTCAAGAAGCCCCTCTTGTCGTAGACTGGTTCAAGTCAATCTTATGGTCGATGGAGTCTACTTCTTCGGTAGTTGGTTTTGGAAGGGGTTTTGCTGTTTGTAATTCTCAAGGAGACAACTGCAAATTGATTTGGGAGTGTTATTTTTTGAGTGTCACGGCGGGAGAAGCTACGGCGAGCAGTTTTATTGACAATTGCGAGCATCTTTGGCTCACATAATTAACACCCCCCCTTCGTTGCTGGGGAAAGGCTCTCGTGAATCAATGGAGCGGTCTTGGATGTGACTTGAAGGTTCTGTGAAACGTATCTATTTTCTACTTTTTCTTTGTTTGGCGATGATTTATCTCCAAGTTGGGGGGAAAATTCGGGCAGGATTGAGCTCAGATCAGAAGGGGATATATTTTATCTAAAACACAGGCTCGGCGCTTGGCTCGCATTTCATTTCCAATCCCGAGCAGATACTTCAAAACGTCGTCACGCGATGAACAAAATATACTACATACTTCGAGTTATGCTCCTCAATACCCTCATACATCTCTCCTTTGGAAGAGAAATCCAGACAATGTCCGACCTCCTCATGCCAAGCATGTTCATTACTGCTTTAACCACATTCATTGATGTATACTACGGTGAGGATCTGGAACAGACTTTTTGCAATATTTTTTCTTTGGAAGCGAGCAAGGACAATGATCTCGAGTCTTGCCGGTTGCTACAGAGCCATCCTGAATCCTGCCTCGAAGATATACTTTGAGGTTCTGATACGTTATATGAAGGCACTCTTCGCCATGGAAACCCTGGGACAGCAAGCTCTTGCTAGAGTTCAAGCATTTTGTCAAGGGCACGAGTCAGATGAACACTAGAGGCAAGTAGGAGAAGGAAGCGGCAAGTCACAAGCAAATGCATATTGTTTTGAAGTTTCATTCATCTCGAATGAATTCTCCCCATGCGCCTCGAAATATGTGTCTTCATCTACCTCATGTGCACCATGTTCATGCGTGAGATGAAGCTGTATCCTCTAGTGTATACTCCAACAAAATGATCTCCTTTAGTGACCGCTAAAAGGAAAAGGAAAGCTTGAAAAGCTGTATGCCAGGTCGCCAGGACCATCCTTGAAATCACCAGTCATAAATGCTGATAACCGCAAAGACCGTTGCAATGTCGACCGGTAATATGTACCTCCCATGTCCCTAAGAACCATAACTCCATTTCCATGCTCCTCTCGAGACGCCAGATCCCCTAATCACACACCATACAATGAAATAATTACTTGAACAAGCTCCGCAAATCCTCTAATCTCTTCCTCGCGGCCTCCGTCTTGTCCATGCGTGATCTTCCTTCATTATCCATGCTCAAGCTCGCCAGCTTCTTCTTCTTGTCCTGCAGCTCTAACATCTTCTCTTCGAAACTGTCCTTCATGATGTACCGCACTGTCTCGACTTCTCGCTTCTGTCCCAGGCGGTGAACTCGGTCGACTGCTTGAGCCTCGGCTGCTGGGTTATACTGTGGTTCCATTACATAGACCTTGTTTGCCGTTGTGAGATTGAGACCGAGACCACCGGCGGTGATGGAGACGAGTATGACAATGATGGATGAATCATCACGGAATACGTCGAGGGCAGCGCCACGAGCGGTTCGAGACATCTTTCCGTCCAAACGGGTATATTTGATGCCGTTTTCGGAGAGTGCAAGTTGAATGAGATCCAGATGCGCTGTCCAGCCCGAGAAGACCACGCTTTTTATTGGAGGCTCGTTGGGCATCAGCTCTGATTCTTGCTGATTTATAAGCAGATCGTTAATCAATGCTTTAGTCTTGGTATGTGGGCCGCTGTAGTTTCCGAGATCCTTGCCGTGCCTCGCATTATCCTTGGAGATCTTGCGGCTGTCCTCCTCATCCTCTACACCTCCTTGTCGGAGAGGGAAGTAAGAAAGCTTGATATGTTGCTGGCAGATTGGGCAACTGATCTCGGGTTGACCTCCTGCAATTTCCTCCATCTGAGTCTTGTAACGATCAATACAAGTTGTGCAGATGATGTGGTAGCAAGGAGTGATATGACCAATAATCTCGTCCTTTGGCTCTCCATCAGAATCAACAACATCGTTAGGCCCAATCTTGCGACCACATGTGAGACATAGGTCGGCATTGGTCTCCTTCATCAAGTTGTACATATCATAAGCCTGCTTACAAGTAAGTCCAGGCCTATCCTCCTCCTCGTCACTATCCAAATCGATAGCCGAATCCTTGCTGAGGCCTTCCATGACCTTCAAGTCTTCTTCACCAAGTAAGTCTCTGCCATGAGCGCAGATAAGACGAAGACGGAGAATCGATTGCAAGATGTGGACATATGATTTACCACCCAAACTCTTTTCTCTCTGGCCAACGATGACCTTGACCCTATCACTGGCGTTCTTGGCAAATATTTCGTAGATGGTGCGCTCTTCTGAGCTGAAGTCAAGCCTGACCAATTGATCTCGTCGAGGAGGGAGGTCGATGCGGTCCTTAAGACGTCGAAGAGTGACACTATCAACGAGCAATCGAAGTTTTGGCAAGATCTCGGGATCACACATCTTGAACGGAGCCATGATGTGTTGTGCAAATCCACCTTTCTCGTCGAAGGGCCTGATACGCAGGAATGTCATTAGTGCACCCAAATCTTCGAGACGATTCTGGACTGGAGTTCCAGTAACAGCCCATCGGCGATTCGCAGCCAATCTACAGATTGCCTTAGACTGCTGAGTAGACTGCTCTCGAATCATATGTGCCTCGTCAAGTACAATGCGGAACCAGTTGATCTCCTCAAGGGGATAAGTCCCATGTTTCTTCTTGCTGCGGTAGTTGAATTCGCTGGCCACGCTTCCATATGTAGTGATGACCAAATCGTACTCAGCCAACTTCTTGATATCCTTAACCCGGTTTGCACCATGGTAGATATAATACTTGATAGTTCCCGGCTTGATATGTTGCTTGATTTGCTCCTCCCAGTTGGCAATCGTACTGAGGGGCGATACAAGGAGGGTTGTCTTGCAGTTCTGAACAAGACAAGTTGCCTCGATCTTTGGCAATGCTGCCTTGCCTTTTTTCGTGGGACACAAGTCTCTCTCGTTCTCACAAATGCCGGGAGTTTGCTGCGCCCACTCTTGTGCATCATTGTCCAGAGTCTGAACGACCAAAGACAGAATACTCAATGTCTTGCCAAGACCCATCATATCAGCGAGGATGCCTCCAAGGACTTGTGGCGGGCTAATGCGCTCTTCCTGACCAGTAATTACATTGAAGAACGATCTTTGTCCGTTGGCCAAGATCCTCGGTTGCCACAACGAGCAGTTGCTCTTATCGACCTTTGTAAAATCCCGCTCTTTTTCTTTATTAATCATGAAAAACAAGCCTTGTTTCTGATGGCGAAGAAGTTCCGTAGTGATTCGAGGATCTGCATCCATTTCCTGTAGATTTTCCGAGCGTTCCAGAGAGTCGAACATGCTCAATACATCGTTTCTGATCTCTTCTGTAGTACGCACGGGGCCTTGCTGACGGTAGCCATAAGAGGTGCCTGTGCTTCGAGGGGGCGGTTGAGGGGGTTTTTGAATGGCGTGAGGGTTGTGAAGCTCAACTCCGGCTTCGACAAAAAGAGGTGTTCGCAGCCATAATTGCTTCTGAGAAAGATGGCGTCCAATTTGGAGGGCATACTTTTTCGGGCCATAAATGTTCAAATCGAGGCCGTATCTCTTGGATATTTCCGCACCTGGGAGAGGGTCGCCATCTCGTTTTGGTCTCGTTAGGATTCTAGCAGCTGTCCGGATCCCAAACTTCGAGTCAAGGAGAGGTGTGAGGCCAATAGAGGTATTGACATCGACACATCCAATAATCTCACGAGTACTGTCTACCGCATGGATTGTATTTGTTCTCTCTCCAACACGTCTCCGCAACACGATTTTTACTTGAGGCAAGTATCCATTTGAGATGGCAGTGGCTCCTGGTTTTGGTGTAGGGACCTTGAAAGCGCTGATCTCTGCACCTTCGATTCGACCATAGCAAACCTCTTTGTCTCCAGCATCCGGAACAACTTCGACTTCGTCGTCGTCATCGAGTGCCGTAACAACGGGGACAGTTCCATTTGCGCGGGCTTCTCTTTGGCCTTCCTCTTTCTTTTCTCTCATGTAGTTCCCCAGGACGCCGCCTTTGCCACCACCGTTGAATTCGGCCTTTCTCTGAGCATCGTTTGACTGATCTTCAATCTTTCTTCGTTTCTGAGGCACCATATCCCGCTCGGTGACATTGTGCATGCGCTCCAACATGTGTCCCATGCCTCCCATGTTTCCATTTCCGTTTGCATAGGCAGCAAAACCATTTCCATTCATGCCATTCTGCCTGATATGCTCATTGTTGCGCTGGGGAGGGGGATGAGCATGGAAACTTGGCTCCGGTGTTGTCGCAGGACTATCGAATTGGAAGGAGAGTTTCTGTGCAGGATTGTTGTTCGAGAAACCGTTCTGTACATTCTGCTGTGGGCCTGAATGGAAGCCTCGTGGATTGAGCAACGCGGCGGGATTCCATTTTGGCTGGGAAGAAAACGCCCGGGCGCTGTTTGACTTCAGAGGAACGTTCGAGGGTGGCCGACCTATATCAAAGCCATTCATATGAGCACTATTGTACGATGCGTTGGTTCCAGTATGCAAAGGGGCAGTCGGCCTGGGGCGAGGCTCTGGACTTCCAAGCCCACCCATCGTAGGCCAGGGCGAAGAGTCGCCATAAGTGAAATGCGGTGATGTACCGTTTGGCTGATTCCGGGACGCCATGTCTTCGCGATCCACCGGCGGTTGCTCACGTTACGCTCGCATACAGATGATTCGGTCGAGGTTTGCGCGGGCGTACCAAGTCGTTGCCTCTGTAGCCGGCGCAGCGCAGACTACGAGATTGAGGGGCGATTATCGTGGTGAGAATACATGGGCGATGGAGTCGCAATAAGAAACGAAGGTTGAGTTCGAAGTTACTCAACGTCGTTGATTTCCAATCAAAGGTGAATGGGCGTCTTGGTGTCTTGTGCTGTATGAGAAATCACTTCGGAGGAGCCAGTGAGTGAGTGATTATTTGGCTTGGGTCTTGAACATTCGGATGTTGAGCCTACCGCCGCGCCGATACAATCGCCTGGAAAAAGACGGTGATTCCAAGCCGGCTTAGTAAGACCAGAGGAGTGGCGCTGGAAAATTACTCTTCAGGGGCATTGGCTGGAAATAGAATCCGGAGTCTGTAGGGCTTGTGTAATATTCTAAATATTCTAAATAAAACAAAATACAGCTTCAATACCTGCCACGAATTACTGGATGAGCCACGTTTTAACAACAGCCAAGAAGAGGTGACCCAGATGCTAAGGATGTTCATTAAATGCTCCAAGAAATCTTTATCTTGTCTGCCGTATGATCAACTCCGCTTCCCGACGCCTGCCAGTGCTCCCCCTCTGTGTAATGTACATCCAATTATTCTTACTAACACCATGTAAACACCGGGTTTTTGCTCTTTACCGTCTCGAGCCTTTCTACAATAACCTTCCTTTGGTTGCCTTCCATACCCTCGGCTGCTGCATACCCCAGGTCGCCCTCCAGATCATCACCGTCGTACATCATCGGCACTCTCTTATTTCTCGTCGAGAAGGAAAATCTCCTGCCCTCAATTCTAGGAGTGTGAGAATTTGATCTTGATGGCCCATCGTAGCTCATCCGGTTTCGTGAATGGTTCATGGTAGGTCTTTCCGAGAACTTGACCAGTCCGCTTTTGCCTTCTCGAAGGGCATTCGTCACAGTCATGAGTGCGGAAGGCGATTCAGGAGATTGAATGCCAGAGGCGTCTTCACTCGCACGTGGACTGGCCAACTCAAATCGATTCGGGCTCGGAAGCTCTCCTGCTGGCGATGCAAGGCTGAGAAGGTCGGGTTGAGGAGCAGAAGCGTTGGCTGTGCTGATATCCATCTCTTCTTGGGGGTCCTTCTGGAATGATGGATGATTTCGTCTCCTCATTTCAGCCGACGGGACTCGCATGGGTACTGCGACTGGAATATCCACCAGGTCGTCCCATACGCACACCCTTGCTCTCCTAGTCAGCTCCAACGGCCCGTGATCTTGAAGCTTAAGAGTCTCGACGACATTCCATGCCTGGCCTTTCATGACCGCAATCTGCCTTGCGAACATCCTTTCCTGGAAATCAGCATCCTGGGAAAAGACCTTTCTCAATTCCAATTGAGTTTCACTCCACCACTGCTTGGAGGTCAGAAGTGGTAAGAAATGATCTCTTGTCTCCTGAGAGAATGGTTGGCCGATTAGTGATACTGGGAGGAAAAGCCATCCAAATGGAAAGCTTCGCCACGCATCCGGATGCTTCCAAGGCCATGAAAGACTGTTGTCGATAGCTCCGATCGACATAGTTGGTCCGCCAATCCGTGAAGGTGTTGCTGACCTGCTAGTCGCTTCCATAGGTTGCTGAACTCTGTAAGGGTGGGATTTTACTGGTATGCCGTCAGATGTAGAAACCAATCGTGGTGATTGCTCTTCTTCGTGCCCGCCATTCATTCGAGGCGGCTCCGAAACAATAGAAACGTCCTGGTTCTCAAAATCCACTTTGATCATCCAGTTATCTAATCCTCTGTCCGTGTTGCGCATAATATAATCCAATACCACTAACTTCTCGAGCTCTCCCCGGAAGGACTGCTGTAGCGCATCGGTCCAGACAAATCGTTTCTGGCCCTCTTCTGGCGGAGCGGTGCTGTCCTCTTCGTCTTCATCATCAGCAGCTGAGCTATTTGGCCTGCAAGTCTCCGACCAAGGCTTGCCCTTCTTCCTTGGTTGATCTGTGGGTCTGTACCCACCACTAACATCTGGCCAAGGATGCTCTCGAAGGAAAATATTCGCATCTTTAAAACCCTTAAGAAAGACCTGGAAACTGCCAACCTTTGGTGGGAAAGGCTTCTTCTTCCTGTAGAAATTCCTGCGGGCCCAAAAATCGTAGTGGAATGATTTCGATGAGAGGTGAACGATGTCGGTATAAGGTACCAGATTTGTTCGCAGTCTGCAATCGAGTGTGTACGCAGCAGCTTCTGAGACGTAGCTGAGATTGGGGATTAAACAAGCTCGGCCAAAGAAGCATGGGAATAGATTTCGATGTATCCATTTGTTCCATTTCGGATTGCCTGCCGCATACGGTTCCTCATCCTTCGGTTTGAACACACCCACCACCTTCCCATCACTATTCCTCGCAAAATAGCTTCCAGAACTTCCTTGTGAGATCATTTTCGGATGTATGCCTTGCTCAATAGCAACCCTCACACTCTCCACCACATCATCAAACTCCATCTTCGACATCCGGCCATGGTCAACATCGATAGCCAGCGACTCAGCCGTCATGGGTCGTACTCCCTCTGGCGCCTGGAAAACGGAATGATGTATCTCCAACTTCTCCTCTCGCTCCGTCTTCCCCTTAACTTTGTTGATTTTAAACTTCGAAGCAATCTCATCCGCCCATCTCTCTAGCCTCGCATTGATCGCCTTGATGTCCACGCCAGAAGAATTACTACGCATTCGTCTTCGGTTCCGCGGTCTTCGTGTGGTATTCGGAGAGGTTGTGCCATCGGTGTACATGCCACCGTGCGGCCGTGGCTGGGTAATGGATGCATAACGTGGACCGTTGGGTGGTTGCAAAGAGGCGTAGCTATGGGAAAGCTCGTCGTCTGAATCGGATTCTTCGGCCTGGGCAATTCGGGCGTAGCCAGTGGTTGGAGGTCTGTCCCTCGGCATGGTGATATGTCTACCTTTTGATTGACATTGCAATAAGGGGATGGCGACTTGGTCGTAAAACTTTCCCAAAAAATAGTTGGAAACAAGTTCGCTGTTGCTCTGAGCCTAGAATGTCGCGTCACCATTTGTACCCCTGTCAGGAGATCTTCAACCCGAATCACGTGGAATATTATATTCTCCAAGAAAGACCTCTAAATTGACATAAGAACAATTGCTCTAATCTGAGCTTATGTCCATTAGATATATTTAGTAATACGGCTTATTGTGATCTATATTGAACAAGAATAAATTCGAGAGCCGCCCCCTTTTACTAGTCTCGAGCTGAATAGACGGAAAATTGCCCTAAGTGTACAGGAACAATCCTGGATACGGTACACTTAATGCTAATACTTGGACTGGAAACCTTTGACAAACTGCCACCCGTTATCCAAAGCCTTCACCACATCCTCGGGCAGCAGCCCTTCCCCATACCCACCAGATTGCTCTCAAGCTGCTTAGCGCTGCTTGCCCCAATGATAACGGGATCATGGAACTCCCCCTTCAGCTGCGAATGATGCATCATCCATCTCAATGCAAATTCAGCAACTGTGAAACCGTGCTTTTCTACGGCCTCGTGAATTCCGCTCGATGCCTTGAAATAGTCCTCATTCTAGTACGAAGTAAAGTGAATGATGCAGCTTCCCTTGCAATCGCTTTGGTTCAAACCAGCTGCCGGCCTCGAACTTCGTTTGGCCAAGGTTGAACTTCCCTGTGAGCAAGCCGCGAGCTAGAGGCCGGAAAGCATAGAGTGCGATTTTGTAAAATCTGGGGCACGGAAATAATTCAGGTTCCACGGTTCGGTGTAGTTCATTGTAGATTGCCTGGTAAACGCTCGGCATGGTCCACCCATTCTTCTTGGAGATTTCGCAAAACTCACTCACTTCCCGTGACACGAAGTTGCTGAGGCCAAAGCTCCCGAACTTGCCTTCTTTGCGCAACTTGCCAACTTCTCCTGTTGTGATCTGGAAGTCTGTTTTACGATCAGGTCCGAGAACATATCGATCTTGTCTGTTTTCAGGGCTTCAAAACTCTTCAAGAGACCAGCTCGTATGTAATCGGCTGCCGAGTGCGAGTATTCCTCAGAAGGCATTGTATTCATGCCCTTGCCAGTGGTGGGGTAGAGCCTGGATACTCTTAAGTCAACTTTGCTCAATGAAAGAGATCTTGGGAGCCGGAAAGGGAATTTCCAGGAAATATGCTCACTTCGTTTGCATCTTAATGCTTTTATTTTGCCATTTAGCATCCCCAAGCATCCCCTCACAAGTTTCTCCAGCGTAAGGGTGCAGTATCGATCTCAGTGTAGCCATGCTCCCTGATGACTTCGAGAATAGCAACGGTATCTTCAATGGTGTGGATGCGAACCCCTTCGAGACCTAAGAATATATGTTAACAATCATTGGACCACAACGTAGTGTCAGAATTTACCAGCCTTCCCAATGGCCATGGTGCTAAAGGCCACATCGACCTTGCTCTTGACTGCGTTGCTCATGCTGATCTTGGTTGATTGACGGAAAATCTGTGGGGCATTTGGAATTAAGAAGATTGATGAGATATGAAAGGTTAAAGAGAAGACACCACAAGTCTCTTATGCAAAAAAGTAAATACTTATACAATAGATTTCTAGACCTTAACTCCAAAGTCCGGCATGTTGAATTCATATCCTCAGATGCCGAAGTGCTACCTCGGCCGATATTTGGAAGACGCATGTTCGGCCCGTGGACTTCCTATGAACCTTGGATATGCATTAAACGGAAGTCTAGCTACTGATTATCGCGTTGTTGCGAAAATGACGAAGAGGCTGTTGTGAAGTGTTGTTCAGGTTCAGAGGTTGATGGAGAGCGGGGGGGTGCGATATGCCCCTGAAAAGACTTATCCCGTAGTTCGGGAAAATGTAACACGACTCCCCCCGGGTGTCGATTTGGGGTGTCGATTGGGGGCCAGACTAGCCACTAACCTAAAGTAGAGGCGCTCGGAGCGGAACACCAAAACTCTGGCGTTTCTTTAATTTAATTTAATTTAATTTAATTTAATAAGGAATTATATAATTCAATTCTTTTTTTAAATTTTCTTATAGCACTAATTAAGGGCTATTTAAATATAAACTTTTTACAAAATTTGGATTAGTAGCTCTTCAAAGTAAAGAAGTTAAAACTTTTACATTTTATAGCCTTAGGCAAGCTTAAGAAAGCCTAGAAATTTAGCGAAAAAGTCCCTAAAACCAGAAATAAGAGCCCTATAAGCCTATAATTTATAGGGTCTTATAGGGCTTAAAACTAAAACTTAATTAATTAGTATATAAACTCCCTTAAATTAAAATACTATTTTAAGGAATCTCTTTATTATAAGGTAGGAAGCACGTGATTACAATATAAGATTTATAATTTACTAGCTTATACTTATATTAAAAATTCTAACTTAAGATTTTAAAGAGTTTAGGTAGCCAATTAAATACCCCTGCCCCAATCGACACCCCCTAATCGACACCCGTGTGGGGGGGAGGGTTGGGGGAGTGTCGTTTTCGTTTTCCCCCCACAATGCGAACAAGACTCTGGAACATGGGCGTCTCCGCCTGGAAAGAGGGCGTAAAGGTCAAATCGGTGGAGCACGGTAGATACGGCGCGACTATTCGTCAAGGTCGGACTTACTCCACAATCCTCCCAGGCCATTTGCAGCATAAGGATACCATTGCACGGGATGTGTGCATCATTGGGGGTGGAGCAACTGGCACGTTCTCTGCTATTGGCCTCCGGGATCGAGGGAAGAGTATGGCTATCATTGAGCAGAAAGATCGACTTGGAGGCCACACGTTGACCTACCAGGACCCTACCACAGGGGGGAAGACTAAGGCAGGCCTAGTCGTTATTCGACCTTCTACAATATCACAAGAATATTTCGCCCGTTTCAACATTCCACTGACCAAATTCAACCCCCCCCCCCCCCCCCCCCCCCCCCCAATGCCAGACTCAACCCTGTACGTGGATTTCAGCACTGGAAAGAAAGTCAACTTCACCCCAAGCGATCCATCGCAAGCGTTTGCCGCTTATGGTGAGCAGCTTGAAAAATATCCCTTTCTCGACAATGGATTCGATCTCCCTGACCCTATCCCGGCCGATCTTCTCCTTCCCTTCGGCGACTTTGTCAAGAAATACAACCTTAGTGCAATGGTGATGCTGGTCTCTAAGCTCGGCCAAGGACTAGGAGATCTTCTCTATCAGCCAACATTATATGTGATAAAGAAATTTGGTGCCACTGCTCTGGAGGGATTTGCCAAAGGTTTTCTTGTTCCCGCCAATGGAGATAACAGCGAGCTATACGTCAAAGCACTTGCAGAACTAGACGACGACGTTCTGCTGAGTAGCTGTGTTCTTTCCACTAGGAGAGAACGGGATTCTGTGAAGGTTCTGGTCAAGACCCCGACTGGACAGAAGATCATTGAAACGAAGACACTTCTTGTCACGGTTCCTCCGAAGTTAGACAATCTTCAAGGCTTTGATCTCGACGCAAAAGAGACGTCACTATTTGTCCAATTCAGTAACAGTGCCTACTACACTTCATACTTCGGAACACAGGCATTCCCAACAATCACTGCCTCATTAATGTGGCAGTGGACGCGAGAGAAAACCTTCCAGATCTGCCAGGCATTTACGAGATCACCCCAACTGGGGTCCCGAACCTAGTCAACCTGAAGTATGGAAGCCCAGTTTCGATGCTAGAGAAATTGGTGGAACGGGATGTGATGGATAGCCTTGCGCGTTTGAGGAAGGCAGGAACGGTTTATACCACCCCGCCTGAAATCGCCCTTTTCTCAAGTCATACACCGTTTGAGTTGACGGTCCCTGTATCCGCAATCAAAAATGGCTTTTACAAGGAGCTCAATGAACTGCATGGCCACAGGAACACCTACTACACCGGTTCCGCTTTTCAAGCTCACGATGTGTCGCTCCTCTGGGAATTTACCGATACCATCCTTGATAAGATTATGGGGCGCTAAATTAATTCCATCCTTTGGCGTGGCAAGAGGAGTATTCCTTTCGCTGGTCCAACAATATTTGATTCTTGTTGGGATTATGATTACTTGGTGGCTCGGTTAGTGACGGAAGTGGAAAGAAAGGTTTCCTCATATTCGTGGCCGGAGTTTACTGATATTGGAAACCTGAAGTGGGTGCTTTCTTACGAAATTTTCCTGTCTAGAAGTTCGATATCCTCTATTGATGTTTCTTCTTTTAATTGGAGCTTTCGAAATTATAAATAGTTGAAGATGCGATGGACCCGTTGGGAGGTAGCCCCTTGGGGGCAGCTTATTGCAATATATAAAGAGCTCCCTGGGGGCCAGCTTCCTGCAGGGCCAGCTCACTGCAATACATGAAGAGCTCTCTGGGGAGGGGGAAGGGCAGCTCCCTAGGGAAAGCTCACTGCAATACATAAAGAGCTCTCTTGGGGGAGGGGGGAGGGGGAGGGCAGCTCCCTGCGGGGCAACTCATATAATTTCAGTGCAATTTCACGCCTAATTTTAAGTAGCATGCAATTCGTAGTTTTGATTTCGTGGGTTTCGCGGTTTTGGTGTTTTGTTGCTCGAGTGTTTTGGTTTTTGGCCCTTTACCGCCTAAAATCCAGCCCCAGTCATGGATTGGGTTTCCTATTTGGGTTATTGCTTACGCCGGATCGCATGACCGGATTATATTTCCTAATTATGTAAAGAGCTTGCGTATACTCAGCTAAGCGCTAGGGAGTATATAAAGAAACACAGAGCTTTAGAAGGGGGCATTGATTGTCTCTTGTTAGAGTCACTTCTTGGAATTAGTTATACTTGCAAGCATCAGTCTACACTTACCTTACCTTGACTACTTGTGCAACACCCTGCTATTGTGCGCCTCACAATGACCTCGTTCCTGTGCAACAAACTTTTTATCCTAGGATTTACTATAATAGGCTAGCGTTAACCCCAAAATCGAACTTACCAAGGAATAAACGGGAGTTAGTGAAAGAAGAATGCAACTTGAGAGAAAATAGACCATGAAATCATCGCTTGATCTATTCTCGGGTTTCGCCAAGTCGTAGTGTACAAGGGTTTCCTACATACAATACAAATACACACATTTCTTTACCTCTGGCAATGTTTGCTGCGCCGTAACTCGCTCACCAAATGCAATAAATCCAAGGGCGCACTCATTGAATACCCCATTCGTTATCATCAGCAACGTCATAGTCAAGATTCTCTTGCGCTTCTTGCTGTTCACCACCTCCAACCGGTGCAGGACTATTCGTTGCCGCCATCGCATCGCCGTCATCCATATGGACGTCATCATCTCCATGTTTCGCAACGTTCGTTTTGGCAGGTAACATGACAGGAGGAAGTGGGGTTTGGATCCATGATAGCTCGACTTTGCCGACAGATGGGATCTCGCCGTTTGGAATGCCAAACATGAACTTCTCGGCTGTGTGGCGGTCTTTGAAGGTTATGGCTGTGCGGCCGGCGGGGATGACTTCGATGTCGGTGTACTCGCCGATTCCCTGCGTCAGGTTAGCAAGTTGCTTTACGAAAAGGGTGTGGTGGGACCTGCCAAGAGGTACTGTCTGAGACTCTCGTCTTTCTCGGGATCGGAAAAGTCAATGCCCACCAAACCGACCGTCTTGGGCCTGTTGTCAAGATTGAATGACCGTCCTGACACCGCAAATGGTGCCCCACCACGTCCTCTGTAGCCTCCACGGAATCCTCGAGGCACAAAGGCGCCTCTTCCTCGGTAACCCCCTCGACCACGGCCCCTACCTCGACCACCCCAAGACGAGGTATCATCTGACAGAGAATAATCAATTCCCAATGACTTCGCTTCAGCTTCCAGTGCGGCTAGTTGTTTCTTCAACTTATCCGTAGGATTATCCGGTTCTACTGATGCTCCATTTTCAGAGCCAACAGGTGGAGAACCGGATTGTCCGCTCTTAGCAGCTAGCTTCGCCATAAGTTTCCTCTTCTCCTCGGCCTGACTCTTCAGAAGATCCTCCTGCCGCTTCTCTAACTCTTTCCGTGCGGCTTCCATCTCTTTCAGTTTCTTCTGCTTCTCCTCGTGCGCCTTCTGAACTTCCTCTTGCTTTCGAGTGAACTCCTCAATGTCTATTTGAGGTTCTGATATTGCTCTCACTGGAGCTGGAGTACCTGGTGTCGAAGAACCATTCTTCGCAGCACCATTTGTGGCAGAGACAGCAGGTGGTTGTGGTAGTGATTCTGCATTAGTGAACCAATAGACTTTGACGAATCTGTTGTCGAATATGACTTTCGGGGATTTGTATGCTGCTTGTGCGCTATCCCATTGTTCGAACTTAACAATTGCCAACCTCTTGTAAGGTCGCATGGAAACTTCCAGGATGTTGCCAAACTCCGAGAAGAATCCCCGAACCTCATCTTCAGAAAATTTATCTTCCGGTATTTGCTCCACAACGATCGTTGTATTATTTTTGTCAAAGTTCGGTCGATCCGACGAGAAATCTGCTCTTCCTCCTCTCCTACTTGGGTTGTTGAATGCTCTACCGTCCCCTCGGTGAATGCCTCCACGCCCTCGACCCCTATCGCCGCCTCTGAACTGATTGAAGCCACCCGGAGCAGGGCTGCCATTATTCTCAATACCTGCCATAAGATTCGAATTCGTAGGATCGTATTCATCAGCTTTACTAACTGGAGGGACCCAAATAGGATGTTCCCCATGTTCATACGGACAAGTATTTCCCTTAGCGCAGAACCCCTTAATATCATAATCCTTACATCTCGGTCTCTTCGGCGGCATAGGAGGTCCATGGGGTCCTCTACCTATAGGTGAGGTTGGCGTTGGAAATGGCGCCAGATTAGGAACGGGGAAGCCCATAACCTGCATAGCAAGAAGCGCAGTCATGGGGTTATTAGGGTCGAACGGTGGCATACCAGCTGGTGGACTCGGCATTCCAGGCATTCCTGGAAATCCTTGAGGCGGTATTGATTGGAGATTTATAGGCGATGGTCGACCTGCACCAAAGCCTCCTCTGCCTTGGTTTGGGTTGAAATTCTCCATCCCTCTGCCCATACCAGGGCCACCTCGTCTCGTCTGCTTGTACATCCTCCCATTCGAATCTCCACCAAGTTGAAAACCTCTATCTTGAGGATCCCCATCACCTCTCTCGTGATACGAGCGTTTCCTCGAGCCAATTTGAGGTCCCATCGAGGCACCCATCCCAACATTCCCATTTGAAGGCGCAGAGGGCCCGGACGGTGGCACGAAAGGTATAGAAGGTCGGCGGGGAGGAACAGCTCCTGGAAGATATGATTTGTAGCTGATTGCATCGAAGACGTCCCTTACAAAGATTGTAGAGTCTTCCTTTAGGAAATCAGGAATCTCCGCCTCGCAAAGCTGTCGAACGATCTCGGTGTCTCCATCATGACGAAGGAGCGCGAGGACGTAATCGGCGAGTACGTCGGCGTCTGCATCTGAGCTGTGGAACGACAACTGTTAGTAAAATATTTGGGGATATGAGGCGTTGGAGCTACCTACGTATTCTCGAGTCTCTTCACAATCCACTTCTTGAGGAGTGGCGCATCTTCTTCAGAGAACAGCATCTTGGTAAGGACTGTGGCACTGGATTAGGGGTTCGCCAAAGGCGATTTTGCGATGAAGTTCAAAGGATCATTGTTGTTGCACGGCGTTTGTCCAAGTTGACCTCTCGTCGCGAGTTTGCTCACGAAGTTTAAATCCGGTCACGTGGCTGATAAGAAATAGGCTGGTGAATTTTACCAGCACTCCCTCATTTCAAGCTTCACTCCATTATTCTGTTTCAATGGAAGAGTGCTAAACTTTACATTCTCATATTACTTAGTCGTGGGCAGCTTTCAGTGTTCTGATTGGTGCCCTTGCTCTGTTCTGTTCAGCTCCGTCTGACGATCCCATCCTTTCTTGCTTCATAGTTGGCTAGCACTTCCATTTGTTGGAGACGTGGGCATATATGGTTTGTCCCCTCCCTTCGACATATTATACTACGTTTGATATATACATCTCAATTTTGAAACGCCTCGGCCAAGAATCCAAAAAGATGGCCCCATCAACGCGCGCCTCGCCCCTGCTCGACACAGTCCTAGTCACCGGCGGATGTGGATTTCTAGGGTTCTATCTTGTCCGCGACCTGCTACAGGATCCAGAGTGCGGTCCTGTCTACGTTTTGGATCGTGACATCGAGTCTAATCGTCATGACGGAGCGACCTACATTCAGGGTAGCATCACAGATGCGACCAAAGTGGACTCATTATTCCAAGAAATCAAGCCCCGTGTCATTTTTCATACTGCCAGCCCCAATCCGAGTTTTCCTACGGGCGGGAAAGTAGACCAATACGAAACGAACGTTAAAGGTACAGAAATCTTACTCACCAGCGGATCTGAATGCTCGTCGGTGAGAGCTTTTGTCTTCAGCTCGACAGTAGATGCCTACGCCGATTCCCCGCATTTCAACGTTGATGAGAGCCAAAAGCTCTGGAATCCATCATCCAAGACCTGGGAATATGGTCGCACCAAAGCCATGGCTGATAAAATTGTCGGCGCTGCCAACGCCCCAAGTCTCCCAACTGTCCGCCTCGTCATGGCACATTCATACGGCGTTAGGGATAGTCAAACCATCCCTGGTACTCTCAATGCATGCCCAGGAAATCAGAAGCCTTTCCAGATCGGAGACGGCAAAAATCTCGTTGAAATTTTGTGGATCGAGAACGCGGCGACGGCCCATATTCTCGCTGCCAAAGCTCTCTTGAACCCCAGTCGTGCCTCTGGAAAGGTCGACGGAGAAGCTTTCATCATCTCAGATGGAGTAGCAATACCATTCTGGTACCGTAGGTGTTGGGGGAGAAATCCTTTCCTATTTGTGACTGTTTCATGAGATTTCCTAAGACAATGTCCTCTCCCGAAACAATCCCAATTGAGCAATTGCTGACTTCCCCCGTTACCTAGACGCACGCTTAATCTGGACCATCGCTCGTGGCCGGCATCGGGATGACCTCGTGGATGTTACCATCTTGCCAAAGTGGACTGCACTTGTCACCGCTTTCATTGTGGGGTGGATATACTGGATCTTTACGCTTGGGAGTAAGGAACCACCAGTGTCTGTCAGCAAAACTTCAATGACATATTGTGTTAATACACATACATATAACACTCAAAAAGCACGACAGCGCCTTCATTTCAATCCCATTGCAGATCATGACTCCATCATCAAAGAGGCGGTGGAGTGGGAGCTCGAAAAGCGGAGGCTGCTGACGTCGAAGAAGTAGGGAAGGCAGGAAGGTCCTTAAGTGCAATCAAGCCTGGTAATCCAGGAATGCATCATTCAAATTGCGGTTCAGCACCTTGAATCATTTTTCGAGATTTTTGTGGTTTGTACCAGCACATGAACGGGCTTTCTTTTGGTTGCATTTGTGGCAGACATGCCCCGGTCTCTTCCTCCGGCAGCTCTTCATCCTTTAACGCCCCTAGATATCTCGAACTGGGCCATCACCGGCCTTTATAGCGAATTGCTTCCTTGGAACATGAGTCAAAGGGGACCAAGGTCTTCCAATCTGGTCGTGGATTCAAGCTCTCTATCACACCACAAGCTTTGCTTTTAGGGAAGTTGAGCACTCTCCCACGCTGCCTTTCCGAGAGTGTTCGAGATCATGGCAGACATTCATCGTTTGCATTGATTGACAGGTTCATTTATTGGAGATTGCAAATTAAGTGTTTTCTTTTTGACGTTTTGCAAAGCCGATATGGTGAATTGCTTTTGTGACCCCTGTCTCCTTCTTATGGCCTGCCATACTCTTGTTTTCCTCAGCCTCCCTTGCAAGTAAGCTTGAGGATCGTGTCTGTGGCTTCAGAATGTTTGTCTGTGTTTTGGCCAGCTTCTTTTCGCACCTCCAAAGCACCTCCAGAGGGTAGAACTCACAATGAAAGATTAACACGCAGATTGTGATTGGCCGACGAAAGTTGGTCCGACCATGTTTCACCCGCCACGTGAGGCTGTGCATGGATTCCTCAAATTTTATTTACGACTTAATTTGATGAAGGGTTGATTTATGCAATGGACCCCTATTCAAATTCCTCCCCTTGGCCCCACACTTCCTCCTCCGATTCAGCTGGGCAGTACCTCTCATTAAAAATACCCCTCGTAGGATGTTTGGGTGAAGATATGTACTTGGGGGACTCTTCCAGCTTGCGTTTGTTTCCTACTGGTCTTTCCGACCATTTTGATAATGATACTACGATCATTATATACGTCTGGAATTTTCCCGCTGGGTTGATTGATTAAAAAAAGCATCTGAGAAGAGCACTGATTCAATCGAAGAACTTCGAACAATGGACTCACTCCGATCCTTCACTTCGATGACTCTCAGTAATTGGCCATTCCCATCTTACGATGAGCGGGTCAACAGTTTGGCAGAGCTTAAACACCCAGCGCGATTCAGGCTCCCTATTGAAAGCGAGTTGTATCTTCAACTCTACCGACCTGTGCTCCCCGATGTCGACAGAGGTCACTTGTCTAAACTTGGCTGTCTCCTAAGCTTGGGAGCAACATGGCTAGCAATTCTTGGGTGTCTTATCGGGCCCATCTTCATTACTGCGCTGGCAATATTTGCAACTTATCTAGTGGTGAGAAAGCGGAAAGGACCTCAGCCTGCTGCGTGAGGACATTTCCAGACGTTGACGGGCTTGGTTGATGATCGGAGTCTGGATCCCGCGGGAAAGTTATGGTGGGGTAATAAAGGGGGTTTGGATGATGGGATTAGGTGTGCGGGGACGAGTATGAGAAAGGAGGAATTGGGGGATATTATGATGATGGATGCTGTTTATGCTGGGCGGTGAATGACTTAATTGCATGTTAATAATGATAATGAATATTCATAGGTACTTCAAGTCTTTCCGGCCGTGAAGCACTCTGAATGAGGATTTAATCACGTTGCTGCGGACATTTGATGTTGGCAGGATATCAGGCCCCAATTCCAGGGTTCCAGGGTTGCCGTGCCAACACTCAATGACTACTTCAGCGTTCCAAGCCTCGCCAGGCTTCCATCGATGGAGGGGGAAGAATAAAATATCCAACATTTGAACTCCACCTTGAACAATGTTCATGCCCTCGCCATGCCCACCACGAGGCGCAACTTGGGTTCCTTCAAATCGGCACAGGCATCCTCAACAGCCTCAAAGCCTCAGCCCCCTGCGGTCCCATCCCCGATGACCTTCACCAATATACCAGCCTCCTCATCCAAATCACCAGAATCCATCACTCTCATCTCACCAGGATCCAAGTTCTCAAATCTCAAGTCCTCAGAGCTCACACTCCTCCGCAAAAAGCAAGCCCAACTCTCGTCAACCGCACCCCAAACTCTCACCTCGCTCCCAAGCCCAGCTCATCTCAACGCCCTCCTCTCAACACTCATCTTCGCTCAACATGAAGCAGGCACAGCAGTCTGTATCCACCCCTCAGGCTGGCTTCTAACATGCGCCCACTGCTTCGGCGACGATGAAGCCGAGTACCTCTCATCTCAGAAGAAGCGGTGGCTCCTCTACTACACTGGCCTAGCCGTGCTAGTTGAGTGTCGAGCCTGGGATCCCCGCCGAGACCTGGCACTCTTAAAAATCATCGCCATCGAGACGCCCGCACCAGGTAACCTTGCTTCAGGCTCGGCGCCTGTATTCGCTTGCCTGAAACTCTCGGAAGCAGCACCCAAGTACCGGTTGCAGCTGATTTGTATTGGACAGCCAGGCAGGGATGATTTAGAGGCGGAGGGGAACAAGAAAACGAAGTATAATCTAATTGAGATTTCAGAAGGGAGGTGGAAGGGGATGGTTAAGGGGCAGGATCCGCAGGATAATGCGGAGATTGGGAGTTTGATGCATGATTGTTGGACTTATTGGGGGCATTCGGGTGCTCCGTTAATCAGCGCAGAGGAGGGGGGGCTGGTGGGGTTACATAGTAGTTGGGATGACAAGACAGCTATGAGGCATGGCGTTCCAGGCGTTGCAATTAGGGAGTTTTTGAGTGAGCATTTGCATGCAGATGGAAACTTTGATGAGGGTCTTGGGACAGGTGCCAATCCGATCGAGATTACCTGAGCTAGCTTGAGCAGCTATGAGAAGGTGAGGCTCAAGTCCTGCCCGCTCCACTCTTCTGGAGTGCTTCCATCTGGGGGAATATCGAGGCCACTGCCATCAAAATGCTCTGCGAAGCAATGGGAGTTTAAAAGGAGAAAATTTTGCAGTATCCCAAGATCTCTGAAAGCCTTGAGGGTCATGATCCGGTCAAATGCCAAGAGATTCATGGGACAATGAGAAGTAAGAGATGAGGATGTACTGTGTGCTCAAGAGCAATGAGCCAAGTGAGATACCGGCAAACTGTCTCTGCCAATAGAAGGCCTGTCTTGGTGCTCAAGACTTGAATATACAGGACGACGGAGCACGAACGTGGTCATGCGCATCGAAGAAACAACGGCCAAGAATGGAGGATCTTTACCATAAAGCTGAGGAGCAGACTTTTTCTCTCGGGGAACTTTCTCTCAAGAAGTGAAGTACTACGCGCAGGTTACCGACCTGCCAAATTGATCTTGAAGGCCAACTTGGACTCTTGGGTATCCACAGTAGAGAAAATGGGGACTCGTTTGGAACGATATGATCCTTTCTTCCATCTGGTCAGATTCTCACATGGCCCGGACATCCTCAAGAGTTGCTGTCAACTGTTTCAGGCGTTATTACTCATGCATATCCTGAGTTCAAGAGACATATCGGTTGCGTAATGATGTGTCACAGCAAGGACCAGTTTATAATTCGAGCAGTTCCTAGATTTAAATTTGTTGTACAGTCCAATCGAAAGCTCCATGCCTCATCTTGTCTCCTTCCTTGTCTATCATATGGTTTTGATTGTCACTGAAGTTGCTTTTAATAGCAGAGGAGTGGTGATCGGAGAGTATAGGGTGTGTGCCACCCTACTTTACTAGAGGTTATAAGTTGGTAGATTGGATCTACAGATATGGTTTGTAGGTGTTGCTTCACATGAACGTAAATGTCACTATTTATACAAGCCTTGATTGTCCTTTACTTAGTCGGTGTAGGCTTTACTGGCAACACTCCACTCACGCAAGCAATGACCCTCTCAACTCTAGCCTATACAGTAAGCCATGCAAATCCCAAACACCGCTCCGTATACCACCTTTTCTAATTTATGCTTTCTCCCAAACTCCACCAATTTAATATTCCGCCAATGCAGTCATCCCGTCATAAAACATGGCCACCTCACTCCTCAAACTGCTCAATTCCTTGCGAAGGGTCGAACTTGAAGCCCCCTGACAACTCTTGCGGAGCCCCTGATTGGTTATTCTCCTCTGCTGCTGCTCGGTCTATCTCAATACCATTAACACCCATACCTTGTGATACAGACTCATACACATTCGCCTCAAATCCCGCTGCACCTACGCCTCCATCAGTAACACCAGAACCCTGTAAACTCGGATCAATATTAAGACCAGCTACCCTTCTAAGTCGGAGAGGTGGAGGTGAAACAAATGTTAGAGTAGAAGGTGTACCCGCAGCGTGAGTGGATTCGCCTTGTAGTTGGGCAGCTCTGTACCAGGAGTTTCCTAGCACATGTAGTTGACTCCAGAGGCGGGTTTCCGCGCTCAAGCGGTCGGTGAAGCCTACTGCTAAGTGTGATACGAGGTTGGTTATTTCTACTCTATCTTTCCATTAGCTGTGGATTTGTGAAGTTCAAGGGGGCTTGCTCACAACACTTGTCTGATGTTCACATACTCGGACTCGGAGTACGGACGTTTCATCGGCGAGGAGATGATTGAAGCGATTGCCGCAATTTGGAGAAGCAAAGGAGAAGACATTGCTCGAAGGTAGCAAGCTGGGGTTTTGGTCAACCCGTCGAGGAGATCGCGGGCGATTGCATATTTTTGATCAACTGTTTCTTCTGCTGGAGAGGTGAGGATTATACGGATATGATGGAGGGTAGCGGTTATGTTGGTTGATTGGAAGCCGACGTTCTTGTCTAGGCTTGATTGTTGTTTCCCGTTTTGAGAGATTTCTTGGGGTTCTTTGAACATTGGGGGGAGGTCTGAGTACATAGACATTACTCTGTTGAGAGCGTGGCTTTGATGAGGTATTCCGTTTCCGAATAGGTCTCCTAAAGAAACTGGGCCGACTCTACTTGAAGTTCGTTGATAGAAGTCATCCATAGCATGTTCAAGGATCCGATAGAGTTCGGTGACGAAATTCCATCCGTGAAGCCAGGAGTTGGGATTTGTGATTGATTGTTGGGGTATCATGTGCGAACTTGGGTGGTTGTATCCAGCGTCCGAGAAATCCTCGTCCTCTATTTCGCTGGCGTACGCGACCTGAGATTGTGCTTCCCGGCACCTGTTGATCCTTCCCCAGACGGCCGAGCAATAGACTTCTAAGCAATACATTGACCAGAACTTCGTGCATTAGCTGTTGTTCCAGCTGCATTAGGGTGACACTTACCAATCGCCGCCGAAGTTCGGTTTCCACGATTCCTATGTGCTTCGGCCAGTTCTTCTCATCTTGCAATCCATCTATCGACACCAAGCTGTGATACATGCCCAGATACTGATGCGCGATACCTTCTTCGCCAATCTGAATGCCATAAAGTGCCAATAGAGCACAAGCTCGCATCCAATCCAGTCCTTCCCCCAGTGCCATCATCTTGCTCACGCCTCGGCGCATCACCTCGTCAGCAGCAGTGAAGTACACTTCCGCCAAAGGAGTTTTGAAATACTCCGGGTTCCAGCCATGGGAATAGAGAGCCCCATCCCTAGCTCTCGCCGCTGCAAGAGCACAAAGACCCAAGATAACCGCGGAGAAAGACTGGTTCGTAAGGTACTCCCGCGCCTCCAATCTTCGAAGCAAACTGGGACGATGGAAGAGAGGATATCTACACCACATTAGGAATCCGCTTAAACAAAACAATGATGGAAGTAAGATGACTTACAAAGGATAAACAACCTCAAAGTAAACATCCACCAGATCCCCTATGTCCTGCTCATATCCCTCTAGGTTTCCCTTCCGCCACTCCGCACTTGTCTACATCCCCTTCCCGCTCCCACTCCCATTCGCCATACCCGTCAACGACCGTGCACCACTCTCTCTATCCATAGAGCTCGATCCATGCTCACTCGACCTGCCACTTTTGACCCCTCGTTTCTTGGCAGGTTGGTCGTAGGTACAACTATGGGCAAAATCGATGCAGTTCTGACATTTCGAGGCATCTGTCTTGCCGGGTTGGCATCCGATGCTTCGCTTGTGGCATTAATCGCAGGATTGGGAGCTGCGGCGGCGCTTTTTGGCTTCGGATGTTTGTCCTGTTGATGATGGTTGGCTCGGCGGCGTTTGTGGTAGTCCGGTGGGTTGAGGAAGGAAGGTGACGTGTGATGGGTTCATATTGATGCTTTTTTGGTTGGATAAGTGTAGAATCTTAATTTTGCATGCAATGGGGATTGAATGCTGAGCTCAAAAGATCTTGATTTAGTCCCGGGTCTCCATTTGAGTGTGAGGGGAAGGTGCGATGACCTGGGAAATGGCGAACACATGTCATGGATTCCTCTTTCGGCGAGGAATTTCCGACTCTTTCAAATACTTTGGTTCCATTGACGGTCAGGCCGAATCAACGCCGATTTGTGAACTGAAAGGGTGGGGGTTCTTTACTTTATTTCAAGGAGAATTATTCATTGATGTTGACAGAAATATAAGTTTGGAACATTAGGTACACTTCACACGTCAAGAAGTCTCCAACCGAACCAATCAGACGGGGAAGGTGACAGGGAAGCCACGTGATCTTCCTCGAATCAAGGTTGCTTTACCTCACCTTTACCTCCAAAGGAGGTGATGTGAAATCCCATTGAACCAGGCCATGTTATTTCCTGTCGAGAATTGCAAAATATGGAATGATCTGAGAATGAGAACCATTAGCCCAGTTTCCCGCTTTCCACCAATAGTTCACATAAATGAGAGTTCAAAGGACTAAGAGGTAGAAGTGAGACTTGTACCAGGTAATGGATCGACGGAGTAAAAATGGCCTTCACGCGATACGAGAGTGAGTTCTAGAAATTGAGATATTTTCTAGAAGAGAAGTCTGAAGCTCGTGAGAAGTTCGTGGGCAAGACTAAGTACCCCTTAGCGTGCAAGTTAAGCAATGTACATGAACCTTTCCCCCATTTTACTCCAAAGCTGGAGACACGGTAGTTTTGAGATCCATACTTCATCTATCTATCATTATCTACTCACTAACTAACAAGTTTTTTATCTAAATTCGCACCTCATGACTCCGTCCTTTCCTCAGCTATATCATGAATTCGTCGATTCGTACCCCTCGGTGTCCAAGGCTCAGCGGGTTCAGGCTCTTGATCATAAGCTTCAAGAACCAATACTCTTAGCTCTTTCTTCTTGCTGATTTGTATTTCGCCATCGTTTTCAATGATTGTCTCGCCACCGATACTGTCGTCCACACTCTTTGGTCGGCCTGCCTCTTTCGTCGATATCGACCTCTTCTTGAAGAGGTGCGTGAGCTGGTCTTGAGCTCCTCTGACCATGATCTGCGAGCTTCCTCTCACGGTAACAAGCTTGCCGAGCCTAGTAAATGCTTTCTCTTGGCCCGTCTCTTGCTCCTCAGCAACTGTCCTCGCCTTCCTCACCCAATACCACCACAACCACCCCGCCAAAACCAATAACCCCAAAACCACAAACCCCATAACCCCCAATGCCACATCTCTCAAGAGTTTGCTCCTGTGCGCCTCCTTTGACAGCACTGCAGCACTAGGCGCCATTGGGACCTCTCCTGGCCTAACAATAATGCTTGAATTCGTATACTGGCTATGCTCACTCGCCGGACTCGGGGGTGGTGGCCCCGTCGTCCAATTCTTCGGCTCGTGCCCTAACACGAAGTCCATCGTTCCACCCTTGGCGAATATCTGGTCCCATGTAACCCACGACTGCGTCCACGGTTTTCCGTTTACGTGGAGAGTTTGTACGTAGTACGAGTCATTGGAACCGCCAGTCGTGGTCATAGTGAGGGATTTGCCGCCTCCAAGGGAGATGGAAGTGTTGGCGAACCAGGGTGAGCCGATGAGAAACGTTGTTTGGCCGACCATTGGGTAAAGTCCAAGCATGTTCCAGAGGAGCCAGGATTCCATTGCTCCTGCGTCGCTGTTTCCGGGCAGACCCCCCGGAGTAGGGCTGTAGTAACTTTTTGCAATGTTTCGGCTTTGCTTGACGCTGAGATCTTGGCGACCAACATAATTGTACAGATATGGGGTTGCGAAACTGGGCTCGTTTCCAGGATTGAAGATTGTGCTGTTGAATGCGGCATTGCGGCTAGTGATATTGGGCGTAAACATCATATCTAGGCGTTTGACGAAGGTCTCTGGTCCACCGGAAAGTGCAATCAGGGTGTTGATGTCGTGATGGGTGTTGAAGCTATATTTCCAAGGTAAACCTTCATAATATGCATCACCCCAATAACAACCGCCGCATTGCAGGGGATCTTGCTCAATAAATCCATCTCTGCTGCGAGGAACAATGAAGCCGAAGAAGTTGAGAGAGGTCGCCTCCGGGCTCCAATGGTTTCGCCAATTCCGAGATCGATCAATGTACTTCCTGACGTCGGGACTTTTTCCAAGCCCGGCTGCAACCTGGGAGAGCGAGAAGTCATTGACGGAATACTCAACGGCTCGAGTAACAGCGCGACCGTATCTTGGAGTTATGTATCCAAGTTCAAGCCCTGGGTAACGGGGGAGTTAGCATTTCTAGATTAAGATTTTTTCGGGAGAGGACATTGTCTTAGGAGAAACTCATGAAACAGTCCGTAATAGGAAAAGGTTTCTCCCCAAATACCTACAATCTGGGAGTGCTCCTCGCCCCTCTTTAGTCGAAGAAGATAGATCACGAGGGTCGTTATTGTTTGGTGGAGTCACTTCTGCATTCTTTTGCATTGCCTTGTATCCATCATTCCAGTTCACAGCTCCACGAACTCCTTTAATGTAGGCGTCAGCCAAGATGTTATCCGAATTCGAGCCACCCTGACTGGCGCCATTGAAATTGGACGACCGAGCATCGGCGTATAGCCTTCGAATCGGAAGATGTTGATGAGCGATCTGATGTACTCTTCATACATCCTTGGCTGGAAGACCTGCAGTAGTGCAAAAGTGCATCTAAAAAGATCCCAGGACGTATAGACGTCATCATAATAGGGTTCAGTGGAGGTCCAGAGAGGGTTTTCCCCTGTTCTGTTTGAAGGTAGGAGATGCATGTGGTACATCGAACTGTACAGTAATTGCAGGTTGCTCAGATTGGATTCAGCTGTTGTTACTTTGGACAGCACCTCGCCGTTCCAGACTTGCTTTGCGTTCCTGGTCAAAGTTGAGAGTGTTGTTCCAGCTGGTATCTGTGTATTGACATTGTCACATGCCTGGGCAGTGGATATAAAGGAGATTCCAACTCTGGAAGTAACGCTGGTTGCATTGCCAAAATAAAAAACAGCCCCCAGACGAGCAGTGGAGTTGATATTTGAAGCAGTGCTATAATCAGCCAGCTTGCTAGTGTTATCGTTCTGTCCGATAAATGTATTAACAGTCGCAGAGGTATTGGACTCGAAAAATGCGCAGAAAAAAATTCTCCAGTCGGGTGCTCGATTCCATCCATTGTCGTAATCTGCATGTCCTTCGTAGTGGTCACTGGAAGTGGTGATATTTCCTCCAAGATAGTGCTGTGATAGGCCTTGACCACGATATGAAGGAAGAACATGGGAGATGTCCACTACAACGTTTGACTGATTTCCTGCTGGGAAAGTATACTGGTAAAATCCTGCTCGACTTGTCGCACCGAGTTCGACCGTAATCCTAGACCCGAGGGAGGCTTTGTAGTACCCGACAGAGGCAATATCCGGAGAAGCTCTGGTATCATTCAAATTTGCCAGAGGATTGGTGATATTTCCCAGGGCAGGCATTTGACTGACTACTCCATACTTTGGAGCTCCACCAGTGCCACTCTCGTGCATCATGGAGAATCCCGTGAAATTGCCGACATTGACATCTCCAGAGTAGGAATCCGCTCCAAAAAACATGTCAGGACCTAGCTTCACCATACCAAAGGGTAGGGTGACTCCTGCAAAGGTGTTCCCTCCATTTGTCTGCCCAGTCTAGAAGGTGTCAGCTGGCAATCTACATGTTTTGCAGGGTACAATGTACATTGGTCAAGACATATTGAGTAAGGTCTGTTGGTTCTGCTCTGGCAGCAGCCACCAATAAGACTGTCAGGGAAGCGTAAAGACACATTGGGAAAATGTGGCAACTGAAACAGAAGGGAGGTTGTCGTTCTTGGTCGCACTTCCATTATATTATTCCCAAGTTCGTGTTGCGCGCATGTATTCAGGCCAGAACCATTCCCAGGAGTGGACTGATCTGTATGGATATTTCTGAAGGTGAAAAGCTTCGAAGGCCGACTGAGATAATGACGTGGGTCACGTGAAAAGGTATGATGCTCAGGTAGTTTAGGAAGGAGCGATGAACAAAATTAATTATGTTTGGATTAAAAGCAGGAAGAAAGCATCTTATCATCAACGAGCAACAGCCAATATGGCTACGAAATAAATGGCTCGCACACAGCAGATTACCATGCCTGCATAGCACTTTCTGTGTTGGAGTCTCGAGACTTTCCGGAGCAAAGGGGGAACATGGAGAGAAAGCCAACAAACATAAAAAATGGGCGTGGCACTCTACTTCTCTTATATTTTCTTGCGGTGCTCGGTCTCACAAGAGGGGGCACATCCTGAAGCAGACTGCCATGTGCCTGGAACGCTGAAGAAATTCAGGTGTGCCGAATCGTTGGGCTCGCGAGGGCATGACTGACCCGGGAGATCTCGCTCACGCGCAAGTGGCTGTCCTCAATGTGATCTGGTCAATTAGCCGCCAATTAGAGTGAGAGTCTGTTGGTTCAGCACTCGTTTCTGTCGCCATTTGCAGAAGAATACAATAGTGTGCTATGCGCGGAGGGCCCTGCAGCCCTCGGCAGCCCTGTCCTCAAACGGTTGCTGGCCCCTGATCAGATCAGATCCGGAGAAGAGAAGAGGAGAGAAGAGGAGAGGAGAGAAGAGGAGAGGAGAGAAGAGGAGAGGAGAGAAGAGGAGAGGAGAGAAGAGGAGAGGAGAGAAGAGGAGAAGAGGAGAGAAGAGGAGAGGAGAGAAGAGGAGAGGAGAGAAGAGGAGAGGAGAGAAGAGGAGAGGAGAGAAGAGGAGAGGAGAGAAGAGGAGAGGAGAGAACGAGAAGTGCCGATCTACGAATAAGCTTTCTACCCTCAGCACTAAACCGCTTCCGGCGCACGAAGATCGCCAAGTTGGACGGACCCTGAGATGAGGTGAGCCTCCCTCCCTCCTCCCTCGGTTCATCAAGGACTTTCCCTTCTCTGATCCAAAACATTTCCACTTCTACAATCATCCTCTTCTGCCTGAACTGTGCTCGCACGAATCTTGCGGCGCCGAGTCCTCTGACAAAATTTACGGCTTTCCCCGCACAAACTGATGAATTGATTCCGGTGGCTTTCTGCAAGGGAGCCACGGCCGATGCGGGGAAAAGGGGGTGTCGACTGGGGGCCAGGGTGTTGACGACTTGTAATTGGCTACTTAAGCTCTTTAGAGACCTTAAGTTGGTTCTATTAATAAGTAAAAACCGGTATATTATAAGGCTTATAATATAATCACGCGCTTCTTAACTTATAATAAAAAGATTAATTAGAATTTAATTTAATTTAAAAGGAGTTTATATACTAATTAATGAAGTTCTTATTCTTAAGCCCTATAAAGCCCTATAAATTAGGGGCTTATAGGGCTCTTATATCTAGGTTTAGGGACTTGTTTACTAAATTTCTAGGCTTTCTTAAGCTTCTCTTTAGGCTATAAAAATTGCCTTTTTAACTTCTTTAATTTAAAGAACTATTACTAATTAATATTTTATAAAAAGTTCATCTTTTAATAGTCCTTAATTAGTGCTATAAGAAAATAAAGAAAATATTAAATTCTATTAATTCCCCATAAAGTAAATTACATTTAAAGAGGAAGCTAGATTTTTGGTGTTCCTGTCCGAGCGCCTCTACATTGGGTTAGTGGCTAGTCTGGGCGTGTCGTTTAAACTTTTACCCCCGATGCGCGCCTAGATTTCCTCCAGCACGCCACCCCAGTTGAAATATCACCAGGCACACTCAACCGGAAAAACTTCATCCTCGCCCATCCTGAGAGGTCGACTCGGCAAGCTAAGGCCCGCTATTTAGGCTACATATTTTGGGCAAGGCTCATACGTTCATGTTCGTTGTTTGAAGCTTCGCGCAGGGAAGGGGAAAAAGTAAAACGACCCCCTGTGAGGCACTTAATAGCAGGGTGATGTACAAGTAGTCAAGGTAAGTAAGCTGCAGAGTGACGCTTGCAAGTGTAACTGATTCCAAGAATTGATTCCAATAAAAGACTAATTGATGCCCCTTTCCAAAGCTAGGAGCGTCTCCCTATATGTTCCCTAGTGCTTAGCCAAGCCTGCGAAGCACTTTACTTAACTAGGAAACACGATCCCATGCGATCCGTACGATTCCGATCGCCCGTACGATTCCGATCGCAAGCTTTACCCAAAATAGGGAACTAGATCCACGATATCTGACACCTGTCCATGCGCCATCACGTGTGCCCATTACACCCCCTCTCCCCCCGATATCGATTAGGGGTGTTAATTAGAGCAAGGAAGGGTATTAATAACTTGCAATTGGCTACTTAAGCTCTTTGATAATAAAAAATTAAGTTAGATTTTTAATATAAGTATAAGCTAGTATATTATAACCTTTATATTATAATTATATATTTCTTTATTTATAATAAAATAATTTCTTAAAATAATATTTTAATTTAAAGAAGTTTATATATTAATTAATTAAGTTCCAGTTTTTAAGCCTTATTAGGCCTTATAAATTATGGGCTTATAAGGCTCTTATATTTAGTTTCAAGAATTTATTTACTAAATCTGTGGGTTATTTTAAGCTTACTTTTACCTAGCTCCGAGTCTAATTTTATATTGTTCTTTAACTAATAAGAGGTTATAAACCATATGTGTAATTTATAATATAAGGCAAGTTCTCCTGGCATAAGGTATTTCCGAGACAAGCTTTATTGAAAGTGTTTAGAAGAATGTATTAGAGACTATCACGAGCAGTAAATACTTTGATATTTGACTCACTATTCCAGCGAATTAAAATGAATCGACACCGTTCTTGTCTTTCCTTGAGAAATTCCCGAGAGCTCCAAGTACCAAGGGGATAACTAATAATGAAAGAAATGTGTCAGCTCCAAGGATTTACCCGCTCCTCTTCCAGCATAGAAGCTTCCGCCGGATTGATTGACGATTAGAGTAGAGTAGGAAATCCTTTTTTCCTCTTCCATCTTGTCCTTACTCCTGCATTTCTTTCGACCAGAACGTCTCCCAAGCCGTATTCCACTTGCTATGTTTCAACTCGTTTAGCCACGTTTCGAACCTTGTGTTATTCTCTTCCACCTCGAAGCAGATCACCCCATCCTTGACCCCCTTCCAACCCGGTGACGGAGCCTTGATATGCTTGTGGCCAGACGGACATAGCGTGTGCCAATCGGGCGGCAGTTCTCCGCTTTCGCGTTTCTTCTTTACTACGTAGCACTGTGGGAAGATCTAGTTAGCGAATTTTATCTCTATATGGAAAGGAGAGCTTGGGCAGGTACGCGGTCGGTGGAGGGACGAATAGGCTAGAGTTGGTCAAAAGAGCTTGCTGTGTAGTTCATACGTACTTCTTCGCATAGGTCCAGCTCGGTGCAGTAGTAGCAGAGATACACGGCTCCGTTATTCCAGTTCGTCACCGATTTCTTGCAGTTCTTGCAGCTGATGCTCCCATGTATCTCGTCGAGATCTCCATTATCTTCTTTGAGTTTGTCGTCCACGTCATCAGAATTTTCCTGCGAGTTCCTTTCCCCTTCTTTCAGCTTCTCCTCGGTATCGGCTTTTCTAGACTCCTCGTTGGGCTTCTTGTCCATCTCACCCGTCTCTTTATGGTCACTAGTCAACTTCGTCTCACCAACGTTGACGTCAGCTGGCTTGTCAGACCCTTCTTCATTGTGTCCATTGAACCCTCTGTCGACACCATTTATGCTATTAACACTAGCCACATTTTCTGGCTCGTCATTAGTCGTCTTTTTGTCCTCGGCTTCAGCTTTGCCATTTCCAGAATCCTCAATTTGCTTGTCGTCGTCAGTATCACTCTCATGCTCCGAGTCCTCCAACGCCATTTCTTTCTTTTGAACCTCCTTATCCACTATGTACAATTGACAGCTCGCGGCGATCTCTGCATCGCGTTCTAGGCCAGGTACGTATGCTAGGACCTTAGCTAACATCCGTAGACTCTGGCTGTCGTTGCTAATCGTCGCGTCCGTGAGAAGCTCGTAGCAACCGAAAAAAGTTTCCCTCAACTTCTCCTGGAACTCGAATGCCGCTAACTTTCGGGTCATGTACGCAAGCGGGATCGTGGTCTGTGACTGTGTTGCATCGAAATCGATGCTCATGTTTTCACGCACCTTTGAGACAAGCATCTTCATGTCGCCCTGGGCAGCGATCTTGCGATAGGGGTCGCGTGTCGCGCGGAACTCCTCGACAAGGATGTCGGCTATCTGGAAAGAAGCTTTGGAAACGACTTGCGAATCATTTGCTGTATTAAGCACTTTGTTCAGAATGATCTTCGCCTCTGCCAACGCCTCGGGTCCTCCTACCACCGTCCGGTGGAATTCGGCAAGCTGGAGGAAAAACTGGTTCACGATTTCTATAGCTTCCCAGCTCTGAAGCATTCTGATCCCATCCTTGTACGCGCTGACCACAAGTTGAAACTGGTCAGTCATCTTCCCAGCCTTATGTAAAAGGTGATCATCGTCCTCCTCAAACCAGATGAAATAAAGTCGGTCCTCTTTAGGCAGTAGGTTGAACACGTCCATGATGGTAGACCACTGTTCCTTCTTGGCCAGTTGCCTGAAGACTTCCGGGATGTCTAAGAGATAGAGAATTAGATTATCTTTATGCTTTGGCACCTTCATCGCTTCGGTAAGGTGCGAAACCAAATGTTCTGTGTCTCCTTGTATCAACTCCGCCCTAGCAAGCTGAGCATGCACGCTTCTGACGGCATTGTTAAGTTCCCTGTCTAAGTCAGGATCTCCGTCATACTCAAGTTTTGGGATAAGTTCTTGGGCACTGGCTAGACAATCCAACGCCCTTTGAATCCATTCCTTGCTGGAAACCTCTACCTTCGGTGTCTCGTCCTTGTTATTCGGCGAAGCATCGACGCCGGATTCGTGATGAGGTGTGAGACCTGTATTTGAATTAAGGGCTTCTGATTCGCTGCGGTGCTGATCTCCATCTTCCTGTTTTGGGTCGGTTGCGTCTGTCTTGGGACCAAGCACGTTGTTCGTATCCTTCTCTGGCTTCGCTTCCTCCTCTCGCTTGGCTGCAAGGTGTGCCAGGTCTACGAGCACTTCAGCCATCTTGCTATACACAAGGATTTTGTCCCGGCTATCATCCGCGTTTTGAAGGCTGAGATCGAACTGTATTAAACTGGGCTTCTGGAAACCTTTGGCTAGCATGGCCATGCCAATGGCCCTGTAAGATTGTGAGGTCATGATCATTTCCATCTGCCAGGAGGATTTCGAGACGATGCGGATCGATTCGGCCGTGATGTTGTCCCCTCCACTGTCTCCTGCCTTGCTCCTCTCCTCGAAGTAGTTGAGCAAGTCTGGTCTATGTTTTAGCATATCCCTTCCATGTTCAAGAGAGGCATGGGCAAAGAGAAAGGACGCGTAGGCGCCCCAAAAATCTTGGGCGCCAAGGAACCAATTGGCCACATGGGCCTCTGCGAGTCTGATGTAGATAATATCTTGGTTACGGATTAGGGGTCGTATCCAATCCGTGGCGCCGGGGGCAAGAGCGGATGACCTGATTCGAATCGCTCTTGACGCCCATTCGTGGAGCGCATCTAGAGCCTTCTTTTCCTGCTCTTCGGATGTACCAAATATGGTATGCCCTTCCAGCCTCCAGTTTTGTTCGAAGACTCTTAGAGAGTTGTCCCGGTTGGATAATATGGCGTACAGACTGTTGATCACATTTGCGGCTTGGTCATCATTGAGTTCACCGCACTTGATCTCTTGTAGATGTTTCATCCAGTGAGAGCTGCAATAAAACTGAAGTATCTCCTCGGCTTGCGTGCCTTTGTTTATGTTTGATGGAGTTGTCAGGATTGCGGCGATTGCCTCAAACATCATCATATTCCCTATTGAGGGAGCGCTCCGCAAACTGTCCGGATTGGGTTCATTCTCACGAAAGTATTCCCGCAAAGAGCGCTCTTGGAAGCTCAGGTATATATCCATATCTTCAGACATATCCTCGTCGTCGTCGCTTCTAGCATCGTCTTCACCCTTATCCGTGTCGTGGTCGCTCTCATATGTTTCATACGAGTCCGCCCACGTTGCATTTGACAGTCGCAGGATTCTTCGCGCAAAGTTAGTGAGCCCAAATTTTGTAGCCAACACATCAAACAGCGATTGCTTACCTCGCTGATTTGTGTTCAACTTCTTCATCGACGACGATTCTGTTGTCTTTTGCAATATACTCGAGCAGTCTTTTAGCTGACCCCATGTGAAGTCGCTCTCTTGAATACGCAATCCAGGCGAAGAGCCTTCGAAGAAGGTCTCGGTCTGCATCTGTCCGATCGCGCTGACAGTCTTCCAGGAGCATGCCATAAAGCATGATGGTATTATCTGGCAGCTTCTCGAGTTCTTTGAGGATGGGCGCTTCTCGGCCAATTGCGTTGAGCCTCCGTAACATGTGGTCAATATAACGGATACCTGGACTAGATCAACATTCTCTGTTGTGGTGGTAAAGAAATTTGCACTTCGGCGGAGAAGTTTAAGGGAAACCACGAAACATACTTCAACAGCAAGGAATGGGAGACAAAACTTACTATCAGCTTTCTTGCACAGTTTATGGGCAATCTTCTTCTTTGTGGTCGTCCTCAACTTGCTGAGGCGTGATAATCGCTTCATCCTTGCCATCGCAACGAGCTTGATGTCCTCCACGACCATCTTCTTGTCGAGTGTGAACTTGGCGGCGGCGATTTTATCCAATCCTAGCTCATCAGAAACGGCAGCATCAGTACTGAACATGATCTGTATGTTGACCTCGGTTGTTTTGAGCTTTTTGATGATGTCTATAATCCTCTTGATTGAGTCGTCTTCGGCTTCGTCGACTCCATCGAGAAGAAGAATAACCTTGCGGCCAGGCTTCGGGAATTTGGATGTAAACAAACGTCGCCATAAGGCCTTTGCATTTGATGCGTCCTTGATCCACCTGGATTCGTCCCGCTGCAATTCCGCATTCACCTCCTCGCGGTATCTGATGTCATGAGCGGCCACCTGATACGCGCATGATTTTAACATGGACTCAGCAGAGCGTGACTCGTCGTCATCGTCCGCGCGGAAGAAGTAGAAGGCAATCGATGTTTGTGAATCGCCATCGAACTGTTCCTTCAGAGCACTAGCAGTTGCGTATGTGATCATCGACTTTCCCATTCCGGGGGGGGGGGGCAGTAAGATGAACTATTGGTAATACACCGGCCTCAAGGTCCTGGTAAATCTTCGATTTGGCTAGCCACCCGAAAGTTCCTCGAACATAATTGCTCTCAAGGTCCGTCAACTGGCTCTTCGTATCGTCACGCAACTTTTGTTCCAGATTCTTCAACGCACCCGACTTTCTTGCACCAGCATCGATTACCTGATCGCCCCCTAACTTATTCTTCGGTTGCTGGCTCTTCATGGTCCGATCCAGCTTGTTCTCGAATCTCTTCATCATGTCAGTCTGCTCCGACTCGGTAGTTTCATGTCGTGTGACTACTTCGAGTATCTCCTTGCTGCTCATAGCAGCATCCTTGGCAAATCCGCTCCCTGCCACAACCGCCGAAAAGGTGTGCTCCTCCATAGCCAGGATTTGCTGTCCTTGGGCGAGATTTTGTTGGCCGACAGCAACTCCCTGAAGCCCCAAGTCGATAGTCTGACTCACACCAGCTTGGATGACCTTGAATTCCTTGCCATATGAATCCAGTTTTCTTGAGGAGTCGATTGCTGTTCTTAAAGTTGCGATCTGAGTCGAAGATTCAAACCTCTCCAGCTGCGTGTGGAGACCCTGGAAGGCGCCCTGAAGTTTTCCATCACTCCCGTCAACCAGGGCCTTCGCCCACTTTTTGAGCCGGCCTTGAGAAGTTCGGTACTTTCTCGCAATAGCACATAGAAGTAATAAGGATTTGAAAACTTTCATAAGATGTAATTGGAACGGCCTCATATCCGGCATCCGGTCCTCCAACATGGAGACCCTCTCGAGGAAGGAATTCACAATATCAAAGAACTGCACGATCATGTCGTAGTCGTCTGACACTGCCTTGGAGGCATTCATCACGTAGTTGAACGCTGTCAAGATGGCGGAACTTGGCGGGAATGCAGTGCTCGCTGCGCTGGCGATGTTGGAGGCCACGCTCTGGATGATTTGCGAATTCTTCGACACCAAGCTTCTGAGCTTGTCTACGCGACCCTTGTCGTGGCGGAAAACGCTGAATAGTTGCAGCTGCTCCTCTTGCTCGCTAAGAATTCGTCCCATATTCCACTGAGAAGAATCAGTGCCTCGAAGATCCTTTCCACCAGACTCATTAGCATATTCATCGAGCGCCTGTCTCCACATCTCCCCGAGATCGCTGGCTTCGTCGCCCATAGGCGCGCCACTGTAATAGGAGGCCGCAGCCATCACTCAATCGGCAACTGAACCAAATCGATATTTAGGTCAATGGAGATGTCGTGGGAATCGTACGGTCTTTTGCGCTTTCAGGTCTCAACACCTGTGAGCTAGTCTCATCGAGGTTTCCTGCCCCTATATGAAGCAAAGCAGGCGAGGAGGTTTTACTCCTGGCGAGAGTTCTGGGTCGCAGCATAGGAGTCAGCTGACGGCGTAAGCCGGAGAGCTGAAATTTTGGCGGAGCTGAGTTGGCGAAAAATGGCAAATACCGAGCTGATAAGTCCCGCTCGTATTGACAAATGGGAGTGAACAGAACGAGGATTGAGGAGAAAGTGCATTGTCTGGTGACGGGCTATTCGTGACATTGTGAGGCGTTTTGTAAGTGACACCATATGGAGTTGGTGCATCTGCTGGCTCGTCAGAAACAATCAAGATTACTTGGAAATAGCTTCTTACTAGCCACTGCTTGAAAATCTTCTTTTCTTGCTCTTCTTGCACTCTTCTAGATTCGCTCCAGAGTCCATACCCGGCCCCCAAGCAAAAAGACAGTCTCCTTTCTATTTTCGATCTTTCTCTTATCTCCTTTTGCAAGCATCCACTGTGCCATGTCATTCGTTAAGTATTTGCACCACCCCCAATGCTTGAATTTGTCTTTGTATAGCTTGACTCTGAACAGATTGATTCGTTAGCATTGTATTGCTTTGTACGCAAGAAAGGAAGGGGGGTTGGACCCACGGCGCATTAAACGAGTGGTCCTTGGCCATGATCTTCACAACTTCCTCAAGCGGCTTCTCTTCGTCCAAATATAGCTTCTAGATAACTTTTCTATCGTCGTCTCAATTCAGTGCAGCATATTTTGAGCGGCGAGCAGGAGGAGCTTGTACTGCTCTTGGGGGAGGAGGGCTCATCAGCGGCGTTTCGTTGTTTTCAGGTCCATTGCCGTTAGCACCAGGAGGAACTCCTGCGGACTGTGATGGCACGATGTTGGAAGGCGCTGCAAATCGTAAACTGAGCATACTTGGAGACAATGCTGGTTAAAATGGGGTAGGAGCTAGTGGTATAGCATTAGAACCTGGATAGGGAGAGTAAGCGTAAGAGAGCACTTCATTGTTGGCTTGGATGCTCCAGGCAAATCCATCAGACGTCGATGGATATGCAGCATTATACGGCATTGGATGTTGGTAATCAAATACGCCACGGTCCCAAAATTGAGCTTCATTATCGGACTCGTGAATTCGTTCTTCATTCATTGTAGGCAGATGTGGATTTCGACGAGCGTAGGTGAGCGAGAGAAGAGCTGTCCTGATCCTCCAAAGTGCTCGCGAGTCGCAAACAAGATGCGTTTGGCCTAGGGAGCTCAACGGGATTGCACAGTGCAGACAGAACTCCCCGAGTCCCGAACTGCTTCGTTGGCATGCCACGCACGGCTGGGGTGGACACGAGCTGTGGGACTGGGGGAAGCCAGCCTTGAATCCAGTCTTCCTGGCATATCTGTGAGCTGCATGAAGATCCCCGAAAACCCGGGAAAACTAAAACGGTGTCGATTAGGGATGTCGATTGACCTTACCAGGATTAGGGGCGTCGATTGGGAGCAAACTAGCCACTAACCCAAGTAGAGGCGCTCGGACAGGAACACCAAAAACTCTGGCTTTTTCTTTATTTTAATTCAATTTCATAAGGAATTAATATAATTCAATACTTGTTTTATTTCCTTATAGCACTAATTAAGGGCTATTTAAATACGAGCTTTATATAAAATATTAATTAGTAATAGCTCTTCAAATTAAAAAAGTTAAAATTTTCATATTTTATAGCCTAAAGGAAAGCTTGCGAAAGCCTAGAAATTTAGTGAAAAAGTCCCTAAAACCAAATATAAGAGCCCTATAAGCCTATAATTTATAGGGCCTTATAGGGCTTAAAAACTAAAACTTAATTAATTAGTATATAAACTCCCTTAAATTAAAATACTATTTTAAGGAATCTCTTTACTATAAGTTAGGAAGTACGTGATTATGATACAAGGGTTATAATATACTAGCTTATACTTATATTAAAAAGTCTAACTTTAGATTTTAAAGAGCTTAGGTAGCCAATTGCAAGTCGTCGACACCCTTGCCCCAATCGACACCCCTAATCGGCACCTTGGGGGGAGGTCGTTTTAGTTTTCCCCCAATGTTCCTTCCCAGGCGCTTTTATCAATGCGTATACACAAAATCGGACGACCTGCCTCTTCCCCTGTGATCTCATCATAACCTTTCAATATGTCGATCTCCTCGACTTCACTGTTTGGACAATCCGGTCACTCGCAGGTATGGGAAGGAATGCCACAAAGCCTTGATAATGACTCGGGAGACATTCCGTATTGGATATAAGGTACTCCCTATTGGAAATCTTTCAGCGTCTATTAGAGCTGTTTGAGAGCTTATCTACAGCTTATCTACAGATTGACACATTCCTCATGTATCAAACAGTTCCCCCGCTCGCTAGACTCGTATCCAACCATTCAAAAACGGGGGTGAGAAGATAGCTGGTGCAAATCTGACCTGCACAGTCTCTAACACTTCAATCACTCGTGGTGGGCGACAGGAGCCGCACTGCGTGTTCAATGTTTCAAGGCAACTTGGAAATTTAATCGTGCCCGGAGTTGGAAGGAGTCCAGATATTCCAGGTCTCTGAGAGCCATCATACCGAAATCCACACCCAAGCAGACGGGTTGCACCCACATGTCTCCAAATCCCTAGCTGCGAAGAAAGCACCAGTCGGCGACACCTCTCCGCTGTTCGGATCCAAGTCTTCTCCATCAAAAAGCAAGTCGCTGCCTTCAGATGCGAGTCATCACATAACGGTTCCTCTCTGTACAAAAGTTTTCACGCCATCCATATAGTTTCGTGGAGGAAGCAAACTCGGCTCTCAACGATACCGGCGGCTTTGACCACGACAGCGCTACTGTTGGAGTTTGGCCTCTCAAGGTTCTTGTCAAGGACATCAAGAAGAATGAACGAACTTCTCTATCAGAAGAAGATGAGATCGCCACTCGGAAGGATGAATCACCGCAACTGGCCGACAAGGATGAAGAAGTCGAGGATAAGGTCGTCGGACGCAAAGCCCGCTCAAGTGGCAACTGGCAAGTTGAGGAGTCCCGGACTGTGAGTGGAGAGAGACGAAGGGGAGTGAGGAAAGCAGGGAAAGCAGAGATATTTGAAGGGGCCTCGGTGGGTAGATTTTCAATGTGCAATAATGAAATTGATGTTTCGAGAGGCATTTGGAATGTCTAACTTGACGTGGAATATTGGAAATAACTGCCGTTGTGTTGTCCACCTTGAGACTCCTTATCTAAGCAAATTCAATTCTTTCTCAACGATTGTATTGATATTGGTATTAGCATGGCTTACAGCCATGAAAGCATTTGAATTCGCAAACGCAACATTCCTTCATACATGCGCAAACGAACCAAAAGGCAACTGGTATCTACCCCCAAGATCAAAACGCAACACCAACACTATTCCTCCCATGCCCATTCATCGCCCAACCTTCCGTGCTCCCAACCTCAACCTCCTTCTCCCCAAACGTCCTCACCCTCGACAACTCCACGCTCTCCTCCCTCTTACTATCCATACTCAGCGCCCTAATCTCCACTCCGAGCTCCTTCTCACTCCTCTCCCGCCCAGGACTTGAATCCGGCGTCCACCCGGTCTCCATCGTCCGCGGCGCCTCGAGCTCGCTCTCACTTCTCGTTTCCAGGGTACTAACTGTGCTCGCATTATCACTATCCATGGAATCCCTCCCCTTCTGGCTTTGGCGCTGAGGTTGGAGGTCAATGCACTGATAGAACCCTTCCCTTGAAGTAACCGGTTTCGGGCTGTTGGTTATCGAGTCCAAGGAGATGTTCCGGCTGTGTTCGGAGGGGAAGAGCCAGTGTGAGACTTTTCCTGAGAAGGATTTCTTTTTTCGTAAAGGTGGGTGAGGGGATTGGAGGACGAGGGGGAGAGGAGGGGGCGGTGGGAGGGGAGTAACGTGCTCTGGGCGGGAAGGTGGCCGGGAGGAGGCCAAGGAGGAGGACGGGGAGGGTGTGGTGAATGCGGCGGAGGCTTCGGTGAAGGGGGTTAGGCGGGCAGGAATGTGGACTGTTTTTAAGGGGCTTGGGGCGGTTTTGGGGCGTCGGTCGGCGTCTGGGAGGGTGACACGCGTGGCAAACGAGGGCGCGATCGGTGGTGTGGGGACTGCGGGAAGGGCTTGGGGTGGTGGTGGCATTGGTTCTGGGCTTGTTAGAATGTACTGAAGAGAATAGGGGAGGGACACGTGCCTTGAGCTTCTGAGTAGACGCTTGTTGGTCGACTGAGTGCCCGACTCGTGGGTCGAGAGTTGAAGTACACAGATTTCCGCTCCTCGATAATCTCTTCCAGATCCTTCAATCGTTGCTCTAACTCGTACTTCTCGTGCAAAGCCGACTTGACTCGCTCGTAAGCTGGCGGCTCGGTGTAGGACCTCAGACGTGCTGGTGGTGGAACTCTTGGAAGGTCATGTTCCATGACCGCTAACAGCTCATTGGCACTGAGTGACTCTGGCCTTGGTTTGAACTGAGCAGTCCATTCTGAAGAAGCTCTAGAGCTTGAACGAAGAGGCTTCCGTGGTATCCGGAACGATATTTGCGACTCGCTTCTAGAGTGAGGAAGTGCTGCCGGTGGATAGGGGAGCTCCTTCTCGTCTGATGGGAAGGACATCTCGTCGATTTGTCCGAAATGTGGAAGAATAGGAGACAGCTGATTCTCCGGCATGTAGATGGACAATTCTAGAGGTCTGAATACCTCCTTCCGCCGTGGCATGGCATGATCGATATGTCTAAAGTCTGAAGGTGCACCAATTTGCGGCCTGCGCGGTGTATTATTGTTTGAATGAAAGCCATTGTACGCATTCAGCTTCCTCCTCACGGCAAAGCTCGCTCGAGTTGAGGCGCGGGACCCGAAACTTCTCGTCCGAGTACTCCATTCATTGCTGGAGTCTTGGGGCGGTACCAGGGGCGGCACCAGACGAGGTTGATGATGCTCAATTCTCATGGGCTTCTCAGCACCTAAGCTCAGGAGTTAGACAAGCTGCTACATGCAGGAGAGGTTTTGAAGATACTCACCAAGCCTGGGCGCTTCAAATTGGGCTTTCCGGGGCGAACAGCAATTCGCGGACGAGTCCAGCCATGTCCGATATGCTTCATCGAGATACCCGCTCAAGATTTGCATGGCGACCACTTCTCATTCCGAATGCGAACTTGCGCAATCCAGAAGTCAGAAGCTTAAAGTTTTAGCTCAAAGAAAGGAATACAGAAGGAAGAGAAGCTGTGAAATCTTCGCCATTGGAGAGAAAGCAGAGGGCAGGACTGGAGAGCCAGGCAGGTACAAATGGGAGTGCTGATAGGTCCTATACGGATGAGAGGGTTGCAGGTCGTTCGACGCGCCTGATGCCGAATGGAAGCAATTGCGTGCCAATCGGTATCTGGGTGTTGTCTCTTCGCAGCGGGTACGCAAGGCAATGAGAGGCTCATAATTGTCCTGGGCTCCATGGGCTGGCCCTTAATTGCTCAGGTCAGGGCCAGCCGGGAGCGTTGATAGGCTGTGGCCGCCACTAGAGCGGCTGGTGTGGTGACGGCGGTTAGGTTCTGCCCGAATCATCACGCAGTGGCTGACATCCTGTCGGAACCTCACCGATATCACGTTTTGCCGCCGGGGTCCAATTGAATGGGGGTTACTTCTAGAACCGCAAGAATGGGGCGAACGATGAACGATGCACGTTGCACGATGCACGATCAACCATGAGTTCTTTGAACCGGGCGATGGTGTTCATGTCGAGTTTGCGGTGGGAAGCCTAGCAACGTTTTAGTGGAGCCGAGCCGAAGCTATTACGAGGACCACACGTGACGCGCCCCCCTTTCTCGAGGCCAGCATTTTGTCTTGCTGTACAGGTCAACAAGATGATGGGATTACTGTAATAGAACTGTAACTCGGAATGTACCAGAATTGTGTTTGGATAGCATTATATTCTTGTTGTTCCTTTCGACAACTCTCAGTGGATCATCAAGACTGCAGGTGTTTGAGTTCGGCGTGTACCTGGTCAGGAAGAATAGTCAAGGCATGAAGATTGTTTTTGACAACTTTCAGAGAAACATAATTGAACCTCCTAATCTAGTAAATATAAAAGATCAACTTGTAAGACCGATTGACATGCCTCCTTTTGATAACAATGAGATTCATAATACCAGCTAAATAAGTCCTGGTGGGGGGTGAGAGGATTACTGCAAACTCCACGTTCGTCACTTGGACCATTAAGAAGAGCAAAGTGCAGAGGTTCCCGGCCTAGAATTGTCCTAGCCTATTCAAAGAGGCGTGTTCTCAAACACAGAACTTTAACTCACTTAACCTCATACAATCCTTTTTGAAGCGAGGGGAGCACAGTTGCACACCTGACAACAAGTGACAGGCTAGCAACGCAACTCCAAATTCTACCGGATGATAAAGAGGTATGAACCGATGAAAGAAATACATCAATCATCTCAACAAAATCCTGTTTCCGCTCATTATACCGGCACGCCAATGAAAATTGACACCACCCCCCAAGCTGACAGTCAAAAACCTCCCGTCTTTAACACTTGATCATGAAGACCATGACCAATGAATAGGTGACTGCCGGACATCTGTCCTAGAAACGTTCCCAAAAGTTGAGAGTCACAAATCCTTGAAAAAAGAGTTTGATTGGAGGAGAGATAGCAATAGGCGTGGAGGGGGACACGACCTCGGGCCTCGACACGCTTGTCACTGCGGAAACCTGCAACTGTTCTTCAGATTCCAGAGTACCGCTTAGTAGATATAGGTGGAGGAGCTTGGACATTAAGAGATAAAGAATTATAGATATGTAGTGTGCGTAAGAAGCTATTTGGAGGAAGTAGTGCTCACCTTTTTAAATCTCCTTTGATAAGTACTGTACTTGCCTAGCACACAGTGTTGGGTCTCACTGAAGAATATTTAGTGTCGTTCAATGTGTCCAACACTTCCTTTCCTACATACAACAAACACCCTACACACAACACCCCCCTTCTGCTTTCATAATCTCTCTCCGGACACTAGATCTGATTACCACCTCAACTAACCACGGAATTAGCAGCAGTCGCCTGTCTATCCCCTCTCTCACCTCTCTCTCCCTGTTCCCCTCTCTCGCTTTTTGAACGCCTCATCTTCTTAAAGCAAGCAAACTCGCTACGGCTTCCCTCCCTTAATCTCTTCAATACAGCTCTCATCTCCGGCAACTCCGTCTGTAGCTTCGTCCTCGCATCATTATCGGTGCCTTTATCCAACTCCTGGTAAATCTGGCTCTGCATCTCGCTTGCTCGGTCTGTCGTGTACTGACTTAGTGTTTGGGCTACGAACTCGACATCGAGTGTTGCTTGCATGAGCTCGGCTAGATTATAGCGTTGGCGGAGTTTGAAGGCTTCAAGAAGCTCTCGTGAGGTTTGCTCGAGGAGATAGGAGAGGACTTGTGTAGTGAGTGAAGAGGCGGTTGTTGAGACTTGGGTATGCACGAGCACGAGGGAGAGTAAAGCTTCGTAGACGTAAGGACGCACTTCACGGGGTCTGGAGTTTGGCGGAGGTGACCAAGTTGGAGAGGTGATGCCAGCGCGGATTATGGTACGGATCGCATCGACGGCCGGGCGGGTGTAAGATTGGAAGAGACGGGCATCGATTTGACCAAGCACATCTCGGATGGTTTTGGATTCTTCGGTGAGCTTTACAGAGAACGCGTTCTCGAACTGGGTGGTAAGGTTCGGGACGGTCTCGATGCGGAGGACTTGGAGATTGCTTAGGGTCAGGAGCATACGAACGTTCTGGTATTGTTAGCTTATATTTCGGGAATTTCATTCACGAGACTTACTCTATCACTGGCATTGACAGTCCCGGCGCCAATACTAGTTGCGATCACCATTGCCACAGGGCTTGCCAGGCCATCGTTTTCAGTTGTCCAGTCGTCTTCTGCTTTCTTCACGGTCTTCTCAGCGTTCTCCACCATACCACTCAAAGATTTGTAGATGGTGGTGACGAATTGACTCCTGACCATTGTGAGAAGTTTTACTGGAGGTGGGGAAACCACATCCGCAAAACCTGGTTTGACAACAGCTTCAGAGATATAGAGAATCTTCTGCATCCCGGTTAACACGGCGCTTTCAAAAGAACCAAAATAAGCCGGTATCCTGGTGAGATCACGCTTTTCAGGTGACCGTCTCCAATCCTCCAACACCTTGATGTTTTCCGCATCTCTGTTCCACGCTGCACATATAGCGCTGACACATCGTTCTCGAGCCCCACCAACAAGCATCTTCAACCGTTCCACGGCAGCATCATCTCCTTTGTTCACAGCAGATACTGCAGCCATCTCACTCGCTCCAGTTCCAACCAACACAAGAAGCTTTGCCAGGTAGTGGACTGCGCTTAAGGAATTTGACCAAGGTGGCCAGAATGCAAACTTCTCCCACGACTCTCCTCGCTTTGGTGAAGGTGGGGGTAAGTTACTTGGGTCGAAGTTGAACCTCGGATCTCGAAGTGCTGATGGAGTTAATTGTGAAGATCCAGGGGTTCGCGGAGTTGGAGGTAATGGCGAGAACAAGGAAGAAATGTCTTCAATTGGGGGTTCAGCAAAGAACTCGAATACACTTTCTCTGATCATGTCTATGAGCTCGACTGTGCCTTTCTGCAGATCGAGTGTTCCTTGGTCAGAAAGCCTGTGGTGTTCTCGAGCTGATCCGTTGATCCCTACTGGCAGATTCTTCTGGGCTTTGCCTTGAATGAAGCTCTGCACAGTCTGCCAAAACTCGACGACTTCCCCGAGAATACCTTGCGATGACAGCATGTTGCTGAGATATGTGTGCATCTTTTCCCAGAGCTCAACGATTTCAGATGAGTCTACAGAGGTTGGCTTGTCCTCAGCAGTCTGGCGACTAAGTGACCTTAAGTGGGAGGCTATAATCTGAGTCGTAGGTCTCTCGCCATTCGCCAATCGTCGCCTGAAAATCTCAATCTCGATCTTGGAACGGTCGGAGGTTGTCTGAATCTTGCTTTTCAAATGGTCGAAGCGGCTGAGTAGCCAGACCCAGATAGGATTATCTGTGACGCCCAACTCGAGGAGAACCCCTATCAGCTCCATGTGTTGGTCTTGAGCATCGCCAATGGCTCCTTCTGCCTTCGACGGCCCACCTTGCATAGCAACCAACCGCCTCCAAACGTCACGTTTAAAATCCTCGATCTGTATCTCCACATCGCGCCAGACACGGGCGGCCAGTAGCATTTGAGATATTTGAGAGTCTGTTAGAGGTGAACGGGATTCAGTAAGTCTCCTAGCATCATCTGCGAATCGTTTCGCTTTGGCGTACTCTTCAACGATGCTTTCGTAGTCCTTCCGCTTTATGCTATCCGTGATTGCAGAATTGACTTCGTACAATTCTTTGTACCTCTCCACAGTTCCAGTCATAATTTTTAGACTGTCTTCTTTCTCTCGCCCTCCCAAGGCAGGTCCCCAAACCTCCTCGGCCTTCGCAGACACGTCCAACAGGGGTTTTTTGATTCCCATGACTCCGTACTCGCTTTCCTTTGTCAAAGCGTTCTTCCTCTTGGAATCGGGAGAGATCGACATCGAAGCTTGGTTTCCGCTACTTGTACGAAAGCTATTCCGGCTGGCATGCCGCGAATGGGGACGCTGTGGTGTAGCCGGTGGTTCACCTCGGTATTTCATCTCGGTATAGACGTTGTCAATAGTAGCCTTGGCCCTCACGAACCGTTCGAAATTGGATTCTACCAACACCTTCAAGGAGGCTGACTTCTGGTCGATGGATCTGGAGAGGGTATCGAGGCCGTCCAAAAGAGATTCTGTCGAGGCAGTTGAATGTACCTGGGACAGGAAAAGTGCTGGGGAGAAGGTTGTGGAGGAGAGAAGGAATCTATTGCCTGGTATTGTTAGTTGTGGCGGCCATGCGAGAGGGATGTACGCACGTAGTCGCGTATCCTCTTGTACCGGGAGACCCAGTTGTCGAAGAATTCTCACAACACTCTCAGTGCTGCCCAAAGGATCCGGTTCATCTCTTTGCACCAGGTTCTCCACGCCGTCACCAGTTCTTTGAGAACCAGGGAGGATGCTCCTGCGGTCACTGGCTGCTCTTTCTAATGCGGAGTACCGTGATTTAGACCTTCGGACCATGCCATTGCGGTTCGCTTTCTTGTCCTCTTCGTCTGAGGCATCACTCATGTCCTTCTCGGCTGGCCACTCCACGGGATATGCAGTCGAGAGCTGATAATGGTCCAGCACCATCCGCTCGTAATCGGCCATGTTGGATGGAATAGACGGTCCTTGCCTTAAAAACAGCTCTTCAATCACAGGTTAATTTCGGCACCCTTCTAGCCTTAAGTGCAAGACTTCTCAAAATTGCATCGTTGTGTCCCAGACGTGTCGAATCCAAGTTGAAGCTGATCGAGGTTAGGAAGTGTTCCAGAAAGTCGGCAAATACCGATCTGTTTATCCGACCCGACCCGACAACCCTGGTCCGGCGAAAACGCAAGTCTCGAGCCGTAGCTATCGCAAACCCTTTCCTCCACCTCTGGTCGTCGTGCAACCTCTCTCCCATATACTCTTGCTCATTATCTGCAAAAGCACTTGGACTCTGCGTTGCCCAAAATGCTTGCAGTTCGTTCATTCGCGTCTCCGGCCCGGAGACAGTGTCTTCACCCTGCTCGTTCGTGGGCTCCCACCTCAATCCAGGTCAGACCTCTGCTCTGCTGCAAGCCAACATTAGACTTGAAGATCACCGGCTGATTTCTTATAATTTATAGGCTCGACGCCAATACGCGACTGGCTTTTCAGAAAAGGAGAAGGTTGCCCAGTTCCACGGCCAGAAGGGTTCCGACGTAAGGCTCTCCCGGATGTGATAAAGAGAATGAAAGTTATTTACGGTCCAGCAATGGGCTCAATTGAGCTTGTGAAGGTGACTTAGAGGATGAACAATCACTGACATAATGGCAGGGGCTATATACAGTCAGTTTGATTGAGGGTGATGGGATCGGACCTGAAATCTCCCAATCTGTGAAGGACATATTTGCTGCTGCTAAGGTACGGAAATGACTTTCAATGGCTTGGAAATGTCCACTAACAGACTGGAAAGGCACCAATTAAGTGGGAGCCAGTCGATGTGACCCCGCAATTGAGAGATGGCAAGACTACGATCCCGGCCGAGACAATCAAGAGTATCGAGAAAAACAAAGTAGCTCTTAAGGGACCTCTTGCTGTAAGGCATTCCTTCTATCTGAGCATAGCAGTCACTAATTACTTGTAGACCCCCATTGGAAAAGGTCATGTCTCTCTCAACTTGACCCTCAGACGAACATTCAATCTCTTCGCCAATGTCCGACCCTGCCGATCTATTGCTGGATATAAGACCCCCTACGATAATGTCGATACAGTGCTTATCCGAGAGAACACCGAGGGAGAATACTCGGGTATTGAGCATGTTGTCGTAGATGGTGTTGTGCAAAGCATTAAGCTTATCACAAGAGAGGCCAGTGAGCGAGTGCTTCGATTTGCGTTCCAATATGCGGAGGATGTTGGAAGACTGAAGGTTCGGGCTGTCCACAAGGCTACCATCATGAAGATGAGCGATGGTCTTTTCTTGAGCACGGCGGACCGCGTTGCCAAGGACTTCCCAAGTGTCGAATTCGATGCCGAGCTTCTGGACAACACTTGCCTGAAGATCGTTACCGACCCCTCCCCCTACAACGACAAGGTCTTGGTTATGCCCAACCTCTACGGTGATATTCTCTCGGATATGTGCGCTGGTCTCATCGGTGGTCTTGGTCTTACACCTTCAGGTAATATCGGAGACGAATGCTCCATTTTCGAAGCTGTTCACGGATCTGCTCCAGATATTGCTGGTAAAGGTCTCGCTAACCCAACCGCTCTCCTTCTCAGCTCTATTATGATGTTGAGACACATGGAATTGAACGATCATGCGACAAGAATAGAGAAAGCCATTTTCGATACTCTTGCAGAGGGCAAGACATTGACAGGTGACCTGGGTGGAAAGTCGAAGACACACGAGTATGCTGGAGCGATCATCAAGCGCCTGTAGTTTGTAGATATACCCATGGCGGGTTGTAGACTGTACCACAAATCAACTGCATAGTGCGAATCAGGATTTTGCGCGTGAATTCTGTTCTTCCCCATGCGTTTGCTATGTCCAAGTGATGCGCGCTCCGAGCCGTGACAGATTCATGGATTCTGACAGTTGAGACGAATGGCCCAATGTTTTGGTATTTCTATTCTTAATCAATATGCGCTACAGATAAATAGTCCATTAAAGGAATCATCGGATGGGATTTCATCAGGATCTTGTATTTGGTATCACGTGGCTTGTCACAACGTAATCTCCACACACGTGTAGAACACAGTTCGACAGAACAAATTCATATCTTGCATCCTAAAAGAAAGACCACGCAATCGCTCCTTTTCTCTTCGCACTTGGCACGGTCGACTTCCTTTCTCGATGACGCCCGAAATTGAAATTATGCCCGACCCTCCTTTAAACCCATGAGCGACCAACCAGTGCAACCGCGGAAAAAGTCTTCCACTTCAAGCTCCAACTTGCAGAGCTAGAATGATACAGAGTCGTACCCTTGAACCTAACAATTGCCAGGATGTTGCCCTCACGCAAAGCTAATGATGCGCACAAGTACCAGCCTGTGTCTTCTTCGGAGCACGAGACTCAAGATCATCAAGTTCAACGGCATCACAGCATTGAAGATCCAGCTGCTTTAGACCTGGACCGGCACCTGGAATCTTTCAAGAAAAAGAATAGAAAAAGAACAACTTTTATAGTGATGGGCGCTATTGGGTTCTTCCTCTTCTTATACTGGGCTATTGCGTACGTCTTGAGCTTTACCTTACAGTGTGATCTGCTTGCGCTTCAAACCCCCTTTTCTTGTCTAAATTCTGTTGGATCACGGCTAAACTTTGTATAGAGGCTCAAGTCAACGTTTATCTCCATCATGTGACTCCGTTGACCTCGGTTTCCGATGCCAACCACACATCTCACAGTTCTGGGGTCAATACTCCCCCTATTTCAGCATATTATCAGAAATTCCCACCGGTGTGCCTGATCAGTGCCAAATCACCTTTGCTCAGATCCTCTCCCGTCATGGTGCTAGAGATCCTACTTCCTCAAAGACGACCAAGTACGCGCAGCTAGTTGATCGCATCCACTCAAACGCAACAGCTTACGGAGCTGGTTACTCTTTCATCAAGGACTACGATTACGACCTGGGTGCGGACCAGCTCTCCATTTTCGGCCAGCAGCAGATGATCAACTCGGGAATCAAGTACTACGAACGATACCAGGCGCTCGCCAAAGACATTACCCCTTTCGTCCGCTCCTCCGGCCAGGATCGAGTCGTAGAGTCCGCGAGGAACTGGACTCAAGGTTTCCACGACGCTCGTATCAAAGACAAAAGATCTAAATCTGAGAAAGACGACTACCCCTACCCCATACTCGTCATCTCTGAAGACACTGGGTCAAACAACACCCTCGACCACGGCCTCTGCAATGAGTTCGAATCAGGCTTCGACTCCACGATTGGGGACAGCGCCCAAGCAACTTGGGTCTCAATCTTCACCCCCTCAATCACAGACCGCCTAAACGAAAATCTCCCAGGAGCAAATATCACCAACGCGGAAACAATTAATATGATGGATCTCTGCCCCTTCAATACTGTAGCCGATTTACACGGCTTTATCTCTCCATTCTGCGCCCTATTCACAGAAGATGAATGGCATGCCTACGATTACTACCAATCTCTCGGAAAGTACTACAGCTATTCCTGGGGTAATCCGTTGGGAGCAACACAGGGTGTGGGATTTACCAACGAGTTGATTGCTCGATTGACAAATACGCCCGTTGACGACCATACTTCTACCAACTCGACACTAGATGATTCGAGACAGACATTCCCGATAGGAGGGAAGACAGTTCTGTATGCAGATTTCAGTCACGATAACGACATGACTGGGATTTTCAGCGCAATGGGATTGTACAATGAGACGGCGCCACTACTGAACACCACTGTAGAGAGCGTGGAAAGCACGAACGGGTATTCGGCTGCTTGGACCGTGCCGTTTGCTGCGAGGGCGTACTTTGAGAAGATGAGCTGCGTAGGTACTTCTGAGGAGTTTGTGAGGATTGTTGTGAATGATCGGGTTCTTCCTTTGAAAACTTGTGGTGGCGATTACTTGGGGCGCTGTACGCTCAGCAACTTTGTGGACAGTTTGAGCTTCGCGAGGGAAGGGGGAGATTGGGGCAAGTGTTTCGTGTAGAGAGATTGCCGAGCCGTTTAGACAGCAGTGACTCAAAAGTTTGTTGCTGTACAAATAATCCTGAGTTTGTGTGCTCATGTGAACCGTGTGTATGGTGGGATTATTAACAAGACATGAAATCCCTGAACCTGACCCCAAACCTGAACTCCGATGCCGCAAGAACCCGCTTGGTGTCTGCGGTGACATGGTATACGCTTGCCTTTGACATAAGTCGTCTAATCCCCGTTCCTCATCCCAATTGCCCAAATGTACAAAATAATATATATCTTCCCTTCTACTTTCCCCTTCCCGAGATCCCGTACTCATAATAGATACGCAGCTCCACCGAAGATCGTCATTCCTACACCGGCCCACCACAGCATGTTCAGATCGATTCTGTGAACAAGAGATCTTTCAAAGTCTCGCTTGATGTGCGGGGCGTTCGCATTAAGGGGCAGATTCATCTCTTCTCCTGCTCCCGCTGTTCGCTTCGACTTCTTTCCTGATGATGTTGTAGTTGGAGTCGGGTTCATTGTGACCGTTGGGAGCATCTGAGGTGGACTGAAGGCGAGGAACATGGGGTTCATGGGTGTGCCATCGAATTGGTAGAGGTCGAGACGGGTCAACTTCGTGTACGGGTCTGTGTAGACTTGGTATTTCTAGCTACTGTTAGGAAGTCGATTTGGGTAACTGGAGAGGGGGACATACCTTCATTATTTCGGATTGGTGGTACCGTGTGTATGTAGATGTCTTGCTCGAACATGGATCTGATTGTAATTGTCGGCCATCTACTGAGAAGGGCGACAAGCTCAGTGACCCATCTGCGTTCTCAACGAATGTGCCGTGTTGAAACTGCATCATTGCTTGGGGACATGATGGTTTCGTAGCTGAGTGTCCATTAGTTCTTCCCTCCAGCACTATTCAAAGGCCAACGTACGATTGGAAATGGCTCTGTAGTATGCTTCCTCATAGAACCCATCCGCCGTGAACGAATACGAGATTCCCGTATGACTTGGCTCAATGAAGGTGTCGTTAACAGGATTGTAGAAGCCCTAGAGCGCCGAATCAGTCTATATTTCCTTCGAATGCCTTCATTTCCAACTTTCTCTCCCATCGTTCCAAGAATAGAAACATACCGGACCAGTTAACACTTTCGCTGATTTCGTGGACCATGTTCCAACTAGAGCGGCATTTATGGCGGACGTCGTGGTAAACAGGTATGCGCTTGCAACAAGTAACGACTGCAAGGAGAGTGAGGCCATTGTTGTGGTTGTGAACGAGTGTGTTAGACTGTTGTCGAAGGGTGAAGCACGATTTAGGGTGTCAATCGCAAACGAGCCTTAGCGCATCACCAGCCACACCTGAACGCCACCAAGCCACTCCGAAATTTATCCCTGTAGTCGATCCGAGGAGAAGGCAAGACTTGTCTTCACGCGGATATTTGATGGTTTCGAGGGAGTCTCTTTGAGTGAAGACTCTTCGACTCAAATTTTGCAATACAACGATGCTGAGACGCATACTTTGACAGCCGGCCTCTGGAGGGAAGACAATCTCACGTCTGATATGGCTGCAGCAAACGGGTCTGAGGCAGGCTTAAGTTCAGAAAGCATGGCTTCATCTGCTGTGCTTAAGACTGCTAAGAAGGATCTCAGGACTTTGATGAAGCAAAAGCTTTCAAACGTCACTTCTGAGTCTGTAAATGCTCAAAGTAGGTTTTTACACTGCAGACTTAGATTCTTTGTGCTAAATTGAGCCCAGGCAATGCCATCTTCACAAGTGTCACCAGTCTCAGACCATACCAAGAAGCAAAGCGAGTTGGAATATACCTTTCCATGCCTACTGGTGAGGTTCAAACGGATGCCATTGTCCGCCATGCACTTGAGTCTGGGAAGAAAGTGTTCGTACCTTACCTCCACAAGGCGAAATCACCATCACCTGATACACCACGCTCTGTGATGGATATGGTGGATCTTCGCTCTCTGTCTGATTATGATGCATTAAAGAGAGACAGTTGGGGAATACCTACTATTGGTGCAGATACAATTGATCAGCGGGAACACGTACTTGAGAACTCAACAAAGGAAAACGAGGGGTTAAACATAATTTTTATGCCTGGAGTGGCTTTTGATATTGACCCAAAGACTGGATTTGTAAGACGGCTTGGTCATGGAAAGGGGTTTTATGACTTCTTTCTGCATAGGTACAGGCAAAGTCGAGAGTCACACGAGGAGGGGCCATCAACGGGTCCAGGAACTGATGTATTGTTGTATGGTCTGGCTCTTGAGGAGCAATTTCTGGAATCCAATGCGGATTCTTCGGTACCTGTTGGAGAGCATGACAGCCTTCTTCATGGTCTGGTCATTGGCGGTGGAAAACTTCTGGAGGGTCCGATCAAACGAGAATAGAATTTCGACCACGCTGGTCAGGTAACACTCAAAACCACCTCCAGATCCTCTGCGCAATTCCATGGTGCTTTTTGGTATCCGTGAACCCCAACTCGAATGCAATTAACGCCGATTGATCCCCTCTATCCATTCAGACTCTGAATCAACGACACATTATCCCCCTTCAAGAGAATCTGGCCTGGACTTGGATCAGCTTATTTCCACAATATATCGGCTTGTAAATCCTTACCTAGTGACCTCCGGCTCTCCTCAGTTGTCTTTGTAGCTTGCTTCACCTCCACGGCGTCGTCGATGACCAGGTTCATGAATTCGTCAAAGCCCTAAACAGCCGTTAGCACAGCACCACACTCTTCCATGTTCAGGCCACTGACCCTAATTCTGCCCTCAATTCGTATCGCTAGCTGCTCGTAGAGCCATATCTGAACCGTTGAATGTTGCTGGAGGAGTTTGAAGATGAAATTAATCGGTGGCAGAAGGACTTTGCGCCCACCGCCTCCACCTCCTCTGTTCATGATGAATTTGATTGGTTTCCGGGGCGTCCAAGAAGGAAGGCGACAAGTCTGGCTTCAAAAGCTTCTCCTTCCTGTTTCGTATTCTGCCGTTCTGGTCGCGTGTCTTGGATCGTAAAATATTTAGTCGCGGTTTCCCTCTTCTTCACAAGGCTGCAAGATTTCGCGCTAGTGAGACAACAGCCCGCTCTCGGATATCACCTTGATATTGGTCTTTATGCCCCTAAAAACAAACTGATCCCCTTCAACTTGATCTTACCACCCTCTTATCCACAAGCAGACCTGCAATAAAACAGCAGGGGCGCGCCGGCCACAATCTTGCAGATTTGCGTGCCTTTCCCGAGCTCCTGAGGTCATTTCAATCTCGCCTTCTGCCCCTCCATCAGAAATGGTCACCATGGCTACAAATGGCACCGGCGCCACGGCTGCCTTTATGCCCGTACTGGCGGCTATGTCGACTATGCGCGATGGTCAGAGGGAGCAGAAAAAGGCTGCACATCAGTTTCTGGAGGGCTTCCAGAAGTCGGTAGGTCATGAATCAATAAACTTGCGCGAACTGTGCGAGGACCACAGGGCTTACAGATGCCGCAGGCTGAGGCGTGGCAAATCACTATCGGACTGCTGCAATCTCAAGCAGACGCTGAAGCTAAGTTGTTCGCAGCTACAACGTTGAGGGGCAAGGTAGGAGGGGCTCTGTTTTTGCATAATTTCGAGTTGGGCTGACTATCCAGATCACCTACGATGTCAACCAAATACCCACCGAAGCCCTTCCAGCACTCCGAAATCAGATTCTAGAGCTTTTGAAAGTGTTTGCAACGGGCCCGCGACCAATTCGAGTCCAACTATGCGTGTGTTTGGCGATTTTGGCAATACAAATGACAGAATGGAAGGATGTTATGCCGATGGTTATCTCAACGCTAGGCAACGACGCCGAGAGCCACGCCTGCATTCTAGATTTCCTGAAAGTTCTTCCCGAAGAAGTCACCGAAGGACGGAAGATCAATTTGACTGTATGTGGGCCGAAACACACCATCCTCCGAGCATCTACAACGACGTGGGGTGGGCGAGAGAATACCTGTATCAAAGTCTAATGCGTCAAACTAGGAAGATGAGCTGTCACAAAGAACACAGGAACTATTGGGAGACAATGCCTCTCTGGTCGTTCGACTTTTGATCGATTATGCCCAGTCGTCAGGTCTGTTTCCCCTCCCGTACTCGATGCACTTGGCTGACAACTTTCATCAGACTCTGCATCGACGAACCCCCAACTTCTTGAAGTTATCACATCATGGCTGCGGGAAGTACCAGTTGCCGATGTCGTCAACTCCCCACTCTTGCATGTCATAATCAGTGCCTTGGATACTGACCGATCCTTCGAGGCGGCAACGGATTGTCTGTGCGCCATTTTTAAAGAGACCCGCGATGTAGACGAGTACATTTCTACGATCCAGGTTCTATTACCGCGTGTGATCGCCTTGAAGCCCCGGATTGCTCAAGCCGCCGAGCAAGAAGATGCAGAACTGTTCAAGGGAATCACCAGGATATTCGCAGAAGCAGGTGAGGCGTGGGTTGTCCTTATTGCGAGGGAGCCAACCGTTTTTCGGCCACTGGTGGAGGCTGTTTTGGAGTGTGCTGCCAGAGATATGGACCGAGACGCCATTGCCCTAACTTTCGTCTTCTGGTATGAGCTGAAGTTGTATCTCATCCTAGAGAGATACATTGAAGCTCGTATGCAGTATGTCGATGTCTACTCGAAGCTCGTAGACGTTATGTTGAAGCAACTCGAGTTTCCAACCCCAGATGGCAACGAATCAGATCTGTTCGATGGAGATAGAGAGGCGGAGGAAAAGTTTCGCGAGTTCAGACATCATATGGGCGATGTGCTCAAGGACTGTTGCGAGATTATGGGTGTCACCGAATGCTTAACGAAAGTTTTGGAGCGAATCAAGATCTGGACTAGGGACTATGCCAGTCAAGCAACTACGACTTCAGTTCCACACTGGCAGCAGCTCGAGGCTCCACTTTTCAGTATGCGGGCACTGGGAAGAATGGTCGACAAGGATGAAGATATTATACTACCCCAGATTATTCCGCTGATTGTTCAGATCCCCCATCACGAAAAGTTACGCTTCGCCACGATTATGGTCTTGGGTCGTTACACGGAGTGGACCTCGAATCATCCAGAACTTCTGGAGGCACAATTTACATACATTGTGTCGTCTTTCCAGACAGATTCTAAGGAGATTGTTCGTGCTGCCGCAATGGCTATGAAGTTCTTCTGTACTGACTGCAAGCACCTACTTAGTGGTCAGGTGGTGCAGCTTCAACAGTTCTATAACCAGACTCTCGACAAGCTTCCGGGCATCAGCCAGGAAGAATTGACAGAAGGTGTCGCATCAGTTGTTGCGGTACAACCTCCAGCACAGATTTTTGACCTTTTGAAGCTCTACTGTGATCCGTTAATGGCCAGATTGATGGCCCTTGCCAATGAAGCAAAGGACGACGAAGGAAAATTGGCTATTGCAGGTCGGTATAATCCATCCTATGGAACGGACTCTGCTAACCAAGTCTTGCGATCAGATCACATGCAATTAATCACATATTTCGTCCAGATCGTCACTCCATACGTTGAGCCTGGACAGGAGAATCCTGCAGTCAAATACTGTCAAGAAATCTTCCCAATTTTGGCCACAATTCTAGACACCTTCATCGATTTTAACCCGGTTTGCGAGCGTATTTGTCGAAACTGGCGGTATATGGTGATCTCATATCGCACTGCCATGGCACCATTACTACCTCAGATGGCAAATAAACTCGCGAATGGCTTCGCTGCTTCGAAGCAAGGCTGCTTCCTTTGGGTCACAGCTGCCATACTTCGTGAATTCTCGGAGGACCGGGAGCACGTAGACGATCAGACGACGCAGGCAATCTATGCCTTCTTTGAGGCCCAAGCCACCAACATGCTGCGGATGATGAGTGATCTTGCACCCCGAGATTTGCCAGATGTCATTGAGGACTTCTATCGTCTCATGGTGGATGCTCTACTCTACTATCCGCATATGTTGATCGGTTCAGAACTGTTTACTCCTATTTTCCAAGCTGGCATCTCAGCATTGGCATTGGAGCAACGCGATCCCCTAAACGCTGCCTTGCATTACCTCCGGGATGTCATCGGATATGGTGGCGACAATCCACCTAGCTCAAGCGATAGTCCAAATCCGCCAGATATTCAGCAGGCTGTACGGGACCTTATTCTTGCCAACGGCGAGCATCTCGTCAAGCAAATCCTGGCAGGAATGATGATCACCTTCCCGGATGACTGTTTCACCGACGGCAGCGGAGCACTCCTTGGTCTCTTCGAGTTGATGCCTCAACAAACCGCCGGCTGGGTTGACAAGACCGTCCGCATGTTGCCAGCCGGCACAATCCGCGAACCCGAGATCGATCGCTTGATGACTGGTATCAGGGAACGACTGGCTCTCGGCCACGATGGCCTTCGTAAGGTCCGCAGCTTACTCCAGGATTTCACGAACAGCTACCGGAGACGATACGTCGCGCCGAGAGATGGACTGGGCAGGCTTGAGGCCGAGAGATTCCATTTCAGTGCTTGATATCTCGAGCATCCCTCTCTTGTTTCTTTTCGATTTGACTTGGACTTTGATCTTTGAATTTGATGTTGCATGGCATAGCGAGGGTGGGATAGTTCCTTAGACGTTGTTGATGGGATGGAAAGCGATGAACTGATTTGGTTTGAGAGGGTTTGTGGATGGCGGGCTGGAGTTAGGGAATGGGAGACGAGCGATGTATGGACGAAATACACGGGTTGATGGATCTTAGTGGGACACAAACGAACGAGCGGACTGAGATAATAGTGCGGACTGAGAGCGAGAGAGAAATACGATAGAGTTGGCCTGATCTGGACTGGACTCGACTTGAAATGGATATTGATATGATTGATATGATTGATGTGAGATATCGTTGTTGTGAATGGTGAGATGGAAATGAAAATGTTAGGATGAAGGGAGGAAGGGAGGGGATATAGTTCCATGGAAGTGGCAGAAGACAAGTCTTCTATACCAACCTCATACTGTCTCGCTCGAACCTGCCAGTGTCTTTGCGAAGGGTATCCTCCGGACTTGGGGCATCGTGACCAGAGCCTCTGAAATGGAGGAGTAAAGTTGATATATTCATTTATAGTCACATGAAAATTTACAGTGAAGACTGGAACATTCTTTTCAGAGGTTTTGGAATTCACTTTAACGGACAGCACGCATCTCCCTGTCTCTCGGGAACAAAAGCTCAATTACAGCCACTCCATGCTTCACTATGAGTGGAAATAAGAGAACCTTTTTGCAACCTCAGCAGTAAGATGGGTACATTCAATTCACGTTCAAATCACACTAATTTATTTCCTGAAAATCATTGCTTATTCGTGATGTATGCCATCTGACCTATGTACATCGTGCCCCAGTCCCTAAAGGAGTCATCGCAAATTATGTTCAGAAAGCAAACCCTATCGTCTCAAGCAGGTACCGTACCTCTGCCGTGTAAGGATGGGTATGTGCATCATCCAAAAGAACGCAAAATGGAATTTTTAACTCCAACATCCAGTACTGTGATGTGCAGCGTGAGCCAATGTCGTGAGAAAGGAAAGGATAGCCCGTCCAAGAATGAACAATTTCGAGTTAGAGCCCATGATGTGCGGCGTGAGTTGGTGTCGCGAAGAAAGGGAAAGAGTAGTCCGTCCAATACCGAGTGTTTCCCAAGCAGGCACCATGGTGTGCGGCTAGGTATGCGTGTGTGTCGTGCGTCGTGAAGAAAAGCAAACAGGTGCTCAGACATACAACCACCCCATATCATGCAAATCATGGCCATAAACTCCTTAGTAAAAGCAGAACTCCGCCATCCGTTCGTTCCATAACCACAATTGACTGCCGGAATAATGCGCAGAAGAAACCCCGTAAGTTTTGCAATGTCAAATATCAGGTGGGCCACAAACACTATTCGTTTTTGAAAGAAGATGCCGAATTGGACAAGAGCGACACGTGAGAATTATGCTTGAGTCATAGGTGGAGCCAGGAGTCGTGCTGTGAGTCTCAACTCAAAGCAGCGGCAATTGTCTGGCTCAAATACGTCTTTCGGGATGCTAATATCCGTGGCTATCATAATGTTAGTGACATTGCAGCAACTTGGCCTTTTCATGGACTTACAGCTGAGATGCACGCGGTCAAACCATTCCACAGAATCTTGGTCTCCGTCAGAAATACCATTGGACTTGACCTGGCGATTCGGCACCATGTTTCGAACCTGCAACATCATGTAAATCATCTCGGCAAGCTGTTCTCCCTGACCAAGGTATTCCTCTGTTGTCTTCGGCAATGGATATCTGTCTTGGAATTCTGCTTGGCCCCAGGACTTGAAAAGCCACATGGTCTTCTCCACGCAGCTCAAGATGATAATGGCGACCAGAAAGAAATCAAAGCGTGGGGTCTTCGAACGTGCGATCAATCCAATCTCAAAGTCCTTAACGACTTTGTAGAACATTTGTGCAGCCTGCTTCTCTGCTGCAGCATTCAGTTGTCCACAGAGATCCTCATACGTGTGATCTCCTGCATTTTTGTCAATGGCGTTGCCTACTCCGGCAATGCCTTGTTCATCGAGTCTCTCCACGAGGACCCAACCTCTGCTAGAATCAACCAGAATATTGACCATGACCCAGAGATGCAAAGCTTTAGTAAGAGCTTCGTTCTGACCCGAGCGTTGCAGCGCCGTGTCAAGGGTGACGTTCATGAAGTGAGAAGGCTCTCGTGAGACGAAAGTCGTCAGCATGTTCTCGGCATATTTCTCCAACTTGGGTTGAAGGTCATCTTCGAACAAGCGACGAACGCTGCTGGGACTGCCATCGCTAAGGCCAGGGTCAATGATATCTGCAGCCAAGACCTCTTGACCGTGGTTTGCATTGAACGTAGCGAATATCTTCGTGTCCGGGAAGTGCGAGGCATCAATCAAATGCGGAGTGTCGCGAAATCCACATCTATTCCGAGCTTCGAGGACCGCGTGTTGGGAGAGAGTAGCGTGCAAGCCGGCAGAAAACATCTCAAGAACTTCTCCAATGTTGACACGAGTGCAGGGCAAGGTCCACACACGGGCACTCGAGACATTGACGCAAGTTGCACAAGGCGTTCCTTCACCGCACGGCTTTTTGAGCATTCTGCATCGAAGGCAAGCGCCCAATTTTCGTACCCTCTGAACTTCCTTGCGGCGATCATTCTGGAATCGACCACGAACTTTTGGCTTGCTCGCTTTTCGACCATTGCCATACTCTGCAATCATATTCATAGGCTGCTGCATAATGATGGGCTGAGGTCCTCGGGTATGAGTGGACGCCTCCGGGGACTCGTATGCACGTTCAGAGTGTTCGGGTTCAAAAGGATACAAGTGGCTAGCAGGAATGCTGTCCATCATGATCAAGTTAGATTGGTGCTCTGCAGGGTCTTGAAAGTAGCCTGTGTTTGGATTGGCTGCCGCATACGATTCATGCTCGTCCTTTGGAGTCATGCCGTCTTGATGGGTTTCGTTGACATCGTCCCGAAACAGTTGCGGATCGACCATAGGAGGAATGTAACGAGCCGCTGCTGTTGCAACCGCCGCCATGTTGGACGCAGAAATTGCCAAAGAAGGAGAAACATCACGAGATCCGGACGCGTAATGAACGAAGGTTGCTGCTTGCAGAGACGCCTCACTCTCGCGTCTGGTTTCATTGTGAAGAACTGCCAAGGTCAGTATGGAGTGTTGAGAGAAAAGGGTAAAAGACAACTCACCTTTCTTGTCCCTCTGAACACGTTGCTCATAGCTAACGGGTGGATTATCGGAGGTATAAAGTTCCTGGATGTCTAAGCGCGCTGGATCAGACGCACTGCTGCCACGTCCAGCACCGCTATTATTGAGTGCCCGATCATCATGCTTCTGGAGGATATCGAATTGCGTGGCTTCCACTAGGGCGTGCAGGCCACTGAAGTCGGAGTTCGTGTTGTTGGTGTCTTCTGTACGGGACCAATCCATTGCCGCCGGGCCATTCATCTGGGCCGGTCCTCCTCGGGCACGCACATGATCAGCATGATCAGGAATATTGTTTAGCTCGAGAAGCGCCTTTCGACGATCAGGAGTGCTGATTCTTGGGCATTTCTTGACGAGATGCGTAGTGAGACTATCGATTCGACCTTTGGGGAATCGTTCTCCGCAGGACTTGCAGGTGTGCTCGTAGCGGTTGCTGGAGTCGTTGAGTTTTGCGCCACGAGTGAAGTGTTGAAGAATCAACGCTGTAGAAATGTATTAGCATTGGCCTTCAAGAGGAAAACTGACGCGATCCTGTTGACGCGCCGTCTTGTCCTTCGCTGTACTCGAACGCGACACAATTTTGGAGACAATGTGTTTAATACACCTCGTCATCCAATAAGGCAGCAGATGAATACAAGAAGCAACTTGATGCCATAGATCAGGCAGAATGTTGATAACAAAGGCGGGGAGTAGGCGGTGTATAAGACTGACTTCCCAGGAAGTGACGGATTGCCACCCAAAACGGTGCTACTGACAAATCGAGAACATACACAGTGAGAAAACGATCAAAACATACCATTTGGTCTGCGACCCATCTTGACGTGATGTGCTCACGGCAGAGCAGTGAATTTGTCGAGGTTGATGTCGAGGAATTGATCTGGCAGAAGGTGTTCACCGCCGAGGGCGGTGGGAAAGTCAGGAGCAAGGGTAACTTAGCGCGAAGCTAAATTAGCGGGCTCGGAATTTCAAGGAAACGAAGCCTAGAACTTCAGCATCGCTTTCTATTATTTAATGCAAGTTGTAATGCGTTTCTTGAATCACTTTCTACACTGTTATTCTACTCTGATGCCTTTCATCTTATCCAGCTTACGAGTTTAGTACGGAACCTTTTTATGCAATGTCACGTGAATTCGTTGAGTGTTCCAGGGTCAGGGGTAAATTGGCTTCACGGCTTCAGACCAGAGCTCACAACATTCATCTCCTCCTCTTGTTCCAACATTATATCCGCTAGAATATCTTCAACACCGCAGAGTGACGAGTGGTTCTCGTTTGACCTAACAATATGGCAGACCCTGACATTGGTGGTGCGCGCCCATCAAGAAGCAGGCCTAAGAAAAGCGCGTGTGAACGCACCTTACCCTAGTCAAGCCCACTGGTCCAGCAGAAAGCTCGAGGACACTCCACAAGTCCACGAAACTTCCCATTGAGCTTTTTGAGGAATGGCCAGCTCATTCATGTCTATCCATCCTTGATTTAGAAAGCGTTCCAGGGAAGTTGGCGTCGAGATGGAACAAGGCAGGGGTAGCTTGTTCTTCCATTCTTCCATCACTTTTAGCAACTTGTTTTCGGCCTGCAGAAAGCTTGCGACTAAGTCATTCCTAAAGTAATTGAAGTCGATTGGAAGGTGTAGTCTCATATCCACGAGCCGTATTTCCGCCCCATGAGGCTCCCACTCATCCTGAAAGCATTGGCACGGCGAGGACAGATCGGTGTCTGGCAGACAGCCATCCTTGACAAATCCTGCGGTAGGTCATCGTTCCGATCACTACTCACCACACAAGGCATTAAAGAATATATGTTTTTATCTTCTTTGCCTTTCTTTGTGGCAAACCAATTCCTCAATTTGTATGCGGTAGCATAATAGCACAAGGTCATTCGTTCTAGTTCATCGGGGCCTGGCTCACTCCGGAAGTCATGCAAATCCTCGACTCTTCGGCCATGAATATTTTCCATGGCGGATGCGAGACAGATTATCCACTTCTTCAGGATTGTGATCCCTTTCTTAGGGAAATGATTCTCGCCGACTCGTTCCATATAGTGGAGAAGATCCTCTTCCCTAACAGGGAAAAGAAGAATGCGGAATTGGCGCGGTGTAACTGTCGTCTCGTAAGTGCATATGACTTTGATGATATGCTGGTGGCTGAGTTCTCGTAGAATCGCTATCTCCTTTTGAATGAGGGGCAACAGTCGCTTCCACGCCATACTGAGAATTCAAATTACTCTTCGAGCCAGCCAATCGGAGTAGGCTCTTCCTCTTGGAAATCTGCAGCATCATGGTGGGTTTGAATATTCTTCTTTATAGTGATAGCTTCGAAGTATCTTGATTGTGATCATAAATGAGTTATGTTATTCTTGTCGAGTAAGTCGGAAGACACTACATCATTGGCACATGTTGTAGATCAAGGACACATTTTACCATTCTTCTCCGAGTTGGAGACTCAAGATTCACCCCGGTAGACTGTATTTGCACGTCCGACTCCCATCCAGTGGAAGGGACGGGCACGATAACCCCTCGCAGAATTGCAGTCGGTTGCGGCCTTTTATCCGAAGACAGTTTCATCTCCAACCCTCGTAGCTGCAAGTGGCGCAAGTGTACATATATGCCCCCAAGTCCTTGATTTGAAGGGCCAGCTGCTATTGTCAATAAATATCCATTCCAAAAGGTTATGAGCTCCGGTTTGCGCTTACTATTGGCATAGCTGTCTCCGTGTACCCAAGCTGCACGTTAAATTATCACTGTTCTTAGTCCTCACTTCACGAGGCATTCAATGATTATACACCATACTCGACTTCCACGTTTCATGCTTCCACACAGCCACTGGCCGACAAATCGAGAGGCATTTGCATTTGTTCACCATACTCGATTCCCACGTTTCACGCTTCCACAACAGCTACTGGCCAACGAATCAAGAGGGCAATTGCTTTACAATGCTATAAACCCTATAGTATTTACGATACAACGAGATATATCTCTTCCACAGGGCATCTTCTACAAAGACGCCACGGTGTCCACAATACGACGAGACACCTCATCTTACCGGGCCAGAGGGCATCAGTCCCCTCGGTGACGGTAAGCTTACCACGTTGGTCCTACACTTCCGGCAATCCGTACTGGTACCTTCCGGTATACCGTCAAAGCAAGAGGGCGCGCGTTACTTTGCGTCTCTCTTTATAGAGGACCATTGGAGATTGCACTGGGATTTGTATACATGCTCCATTGAGAAATAGAGAGGGCTAATGAAAGTGAGGCCAACGTCAGCTTACCAATTTCTCATTTCTGCACGTCAGCTGATTTGTTATGCGTCACCTGACAAATAACGCTACCATGTACATATATGCCCCCAAGTCCTTGACTTGAAGGGCCAGCTGCTATTGTCAATAAATGTCCATTCCAACAGCAAGCAGGAGGTGGTGTGTTGAAAGGTGCCAAGCTTAAGGTGCCTAAGGTAGCTAAGGGGGTCGGAGACCAGCAGATTTTTTGTAGTTATATTAGGGGGCTTCCCGGCCCTCGGTCAGAGTCGAAGAATCAAGGTTCCCAACCACCCCAATTAATCGTCTCTTTAATAAAGTTTTGGTCCATCCCGACATCATGTTGACGCGCTCCAGCGACCCGTGTGGCGTTTCCCCTCCAATGAGAAGCTCATGGGATGCTGACCAGCCGGAACGTGATAACCACACCTGTGTGGTTGTCAGAGGAAGGTGCTGTGAACCGGTTTGGCGGTTCTTGATGCGCCAAGCCAAGCTGAGTTATTCCAAATTGCGGTGTTTTCCCATGCAGACCCCGGGGGAAGAGCTGGCATGGAACCCGGCCAAGGGTGGGTAGGTTCACCAAGAGGTAGTCCGTCATTTTGGAATTGCAATAGAACGTCTTATGCTCTTCAAAGACGTCTGACAAGTACAGTAATTTACCTAACGTCAGCTGAGCTTGCTTGATTTCTCCAGTTATTTTCTCGTTCCCCAAGCTATATAAACTAAAGTTAGTATTCCAGCCCCAGTGTTTCTTTGATTTAAGTTCTTTAAATCTCAAGCCGAAGAGCGTCTCGAGGATTTGCGTTGTTCCCGAAAATCATGCGTTCGTCCACCACCGATTCTGGGACTATGTTTTCCTTCCTCGCCATTCTTGTAAGCCTTCTTCCCGTCGCTTCAGCCTCGACCTCTTACACCGTTAACGGCAATAAATACAACGTCGACGAAGTTATAACTCGAGATGTTACCATTCTTGGGGGAGGCTCAGGCGGGACCTACTCCGCAATCCGCCTCAATGATCTAGGGAAAAGTGTAGCAGTGGTAGAGGCAGCAGGCCGCCTGGGAGGTAACACCGAAACCTACATCGATCCAGGAACTGGCACTCCAATCGAAGTGGGCGTACAATTCTTCCACAACTTCACCGTTGTAACCGACTACTTTGCTCGCCTCGGCGTAGCTTTGACAACTGTTCAAGCTGGCCCTAACCCCAACACAAGTGTAATAACCTCGTACGTACTTCCCTTCACACCTCCTTATTTCAAACTCACTAACTCTGCTTCCTTTCTAGATATGTCGACTTCCTGACCGGGCTACCAGACCCAAGCTATGTCTTTCCCAACTTCACTGCCGCGCTCGGCGCATACGCTGCACAACTATTCCAATATCCATATCTCGACCTCGGTTTCGACCTCCCCTCTCCCGTGCCCTCCGACCTCCTCCTTCCATTTGGGCAATTCGTCACAAAATACTCTCTCCAACCATTGGTCCCTTTCGCCTGGATCTGGTGCCAAGGTATCGGAGACCTGCTCGCTACACCCACCATCTACATCATGAAATACCTCGGTCTCAGCTCCCTGCAAAGCCTGCAAGAGGGGTTCTTGGCTACCGCTCTGCACGACAATAGTCTTCTCTACCTTTCCGCGGAAAGGGTCCTAGGGTCGAACGTGCTGTACAATAGCACAATCCTAGCCGTAAAGCGAACGAACGACTATGTGCAAACAGTCATCAAGCAAGGCTCCAAAACGACACTGATAAAATCGTCGCAGCTGATCGTCGCTATCCCTCCTACAGTGCAAAATATGAAAGTCTTCGATAGCACGCACCAGGAAAATCGGCTGTTCAGCCAGTTCACATACAGCGAGTACTTCACTGCGTTGCTGAGAGGTACAGGGATCCCGGACACCGTTACCTTGAGTAATGTTTCACCAGGTGCGAATTTCAGTTTGCCGCTTCCGCCGAATGTTTATGCGGTTGACCAGACGGGCGTCAGTGGGTTGGTGGCTGTGACGTATGTTAGTACGACGGCGACGGTGGGGGATGAGATCGCGAATTTGGTTGTGGAGCAGATCAAGAACGTCCAAGTTGAAGGGAAGGGGGTAAGCGAGCCAGTGTAAGTGAACTTCTTTGAGCCCGAACTACCTCTCTAGATGTTTTTGTGGGGCGATTTCAACTCCTCGGGTCATGCCTTTAGAGGAGGAAAGAATTCCCGAAACATAGCTGGGAGAGGAAATGCATTTCTTCCTAATTTGGCGGTACTGACTGAGATCATTAGGTATGCTGTAAAGAGTAATCATCGGCCGTTTGAGCTAAGGGTTGATGCGAAGGCTATTAAGAATGGGTTTTATGCGGATCTTTACTCGCTGCAAGGGGAGAAGAGGACGTGGTGGACAGGTGCGGCGGTAAGTCAGATTGAATTCCCTTGAGTCATCTGTCTGTTCGGATTTGATCATACTTTGGGAACGCGTAGTTTCGACATATTGAGCAGGAGATTGTCGTTCCTCGATTTGCAGAAGAGGTTCCGAGATAGGAAATGCTGACTCTTTGATAGTGGCATGCACATGATTCGAGTTTGATTTGGAGGTTTACGGAGGGCTTTCTGTCTAATATTACTGCGGCTGTGTAGAATGGGTTCGGAAATAAGGATGACTCTCTCACTTGATTGGCTTAGCTTGAAGGTTGATCAAAATGAAACAGATACAGATCAAGATAGGGATAAATACATAATATAATTTAAGCCAGGAGACTTAAAGATCTAAGGCGGGAAATGTGTTTACAATAAGCAAAAGAAGGGAATGTGCGAAGTCGTTGATTTTCGTGTATCATAATGCGAGTTCATCCTCGCTGTCCTCGATCTCCGTCCTTCCAATCCCAGATCTCTCTTTCTGCTCACCATTCCCCCCTCCCTCCACTAATTCATCCTCAAAATTCAACTCCACATCAATTTCCTCAGCCTCGAGCTCGCCGCCCTCACCAGGCGCCAAGTGATCCTCACTCCCCTGCCACTGGGGAGGGGGCGGAGGCACATCCTCTTCATCTTCTTCGGCCCACCCGTAATCCTCGTCGCCTTCTCCTTCGCTGTCTGGGATCTCGAGGTCGGTGGCTGAGAGCTTGCGTTTCAGGGGGAGAGGGAGAGTGGGCGTCGTTGTGGTACTGGGTATGAGCGGTGCTGGAGCATGGGGCGAGGTGAGAGTTGGTAGTGTGGGGAAGGTGAGAAGTGTGAGACCGTCCTGGATGGATATCAGGTATGAATCTTCGGGATTGAGGATTAAGGGGAGGTGAACACGTGACATACATCAGCAATGCTAAACCCAGCCAACCTCGCTCTTCCCTCTGGCACAGCGATGCCCTCTGCTTTTATAATTTGCGCTAATCGGACATCATCTACAAGGCGCCCTTCCTCGTCATCCCAGTCCCAGTCTCTGAACAGAGCAACCCGACAGCCGAGCCCTTGCTCCCATGCCATGGTGTTGATGGCTGGGACGAGGACTGCGCCTGTGCCGGGTCGCATCTTTGTTACGCATTGAGAGAAGACAACGATGGCTATGTTGCGGGTTGCGGCGAGCTTTTGGAGGGTGGTGATTAGATATTGGAGGATTGGGAATTTGCGGGCTGATGGGTTGGGTGCTGCTTTCTGTGAGTGGGAAGGCGAGAGTGAGCGAAGTGGGACTTACCTCCGGGCTTTCTCGGAGTGCCAGTAGCATCGGCTGTCCGAGGGAATGCACTACTGATTAGTGTCGAGAATGAGTCGATTATGATCAGACTTATGTTTTGTGGTGGGAAGTGTTGAGTTGGGTGGGAGAGGAGAGCGATGAGGTGGGCGAGGGTGGGAGTTGAGAAATGAGTGAAAGTCTCGAGCAGATCTGGTAGAGTCCTAGCTTCTTGAGTGGATGATTGAGGCAGGCTGGGTTTGAATGAGGTCAAGATCTGTGATAGACGTGATCCTGATACTGGATGCGATGCATCTTCGATGTGTTAGTATGGACGTGGAACGAAAAGCAAGAGAAAACACATTAGACGACTCTAATCAGAGGGAGAATGGCGGCAAGTAAAGACAATTCATTTCAACCCTCTAAAGGGCTTCAAGGAGAACTTCGGGGGTAAGCAAGGAATGGAGACTCTCCATAGGGGCGGGTTGAGATGACCTTTTCGACAATTGAAGATTAGCAGGAAAGTTGGAGCTAACTGACCTACCCATATGACGCCCTCACCCGCATGTAAAGCACTGGCAGCTAATTGCATCCTGTATCTGCTTAGCAAATTAAATGAAAATCTGTTGACAACACTCACCCAAGAGCGGTCTTGCCAATCCCAGGTGGTCCATAAACTTCCGTAACTTTTCTTCGTGATACGCCCCCATACAGAGGCTCCACATCTGAAGAAACTGACTCTCTATTCTGCAGAAAAGCGTCGAGAAGGTCCAGGCCCGTGGAAATACATCGCGTGTGTGACGATTTGAGATCTTGCAGGGCCTGTGCTGCTGAGACCGTGGGCATGCGATCTGGCGAATGTCAGTTGAGATGTGAACGGCTCTCGGGAGATTACTCACGAGGAGACGAGGATGAGAAGTTAGATATCCCGGGACCATGGATCGAGTTGTAATCCATGATGGATGGACATGGTTGTGGCTGGTCTCAACGCTGGTTGGGAAGCAGGTGAAGTTCAGGCGCGTAGGGGTTCGAGGAGCGTGATCACGTGATGACATCCGCAACACTGAATCTTCGTTTCGTTTCTTTCTTTCCACAACTCTGCTTCTCTATTTCCATCCTTCTTCTAAAGTTTCCGGATTCTTCTCATTCGGAGCTGGCAATGGTCATTGAGATTCAGCCATCGTTCACGATCGTGTTACGGCGACTTTAACATGCTTGTCAATAGCTTTATTGCCGCCTCCTTCTGCGGACACTGCCCTGAAAGGCCAGTCTCATATCAAATTCATGACAATGCAGCAGCATTCTCACAGGAAGGGACTGGCTTGCTGGTCTAGAGCGGTCCCGTATTGAGCTTCTTGACGAGAACACAAGCAGGCTGTTCTTGACAACCCTGTCGAATTATCCTAGTACGTGGTCAATTAGGAAAGCGCCAACGATTTTACGCCAGCAGAGTCGCAGAACACACCTCGCTAATAGTGTCTTGCAAACGGCGAGCATCGGGAAGCACAACAGATAAGCCCATCACGTCGCTCTGTGTTCGTTCGTTCGTTCGTTCGTTCGTCCTTTTCTTCCCTCACTTTAGAATCTTCCCCTTTTCTCCTTTACAGATCGTCAGGAACAAACAACAAGAGCGTTGTTTCATAACCCTGTCTATCAAATCCTCCACCAGGCCTTGAAACATCCGACGAACTGGGATGCGGCGCCTCATCCGCAGTACGAACCTCATTGGAGCGCCCTTGTTCTAGATCTGCTAGCCGATTGCTGCAAACGCATGCTGATTCGCAGCCTGTCGAAACAAGTTTGTGGGTGACGGTATCTCATTGACCCCGGTTTGGAGAGCTCTAGAATTGCTCGTGGGGAAAACACCGGACGAATATTCACTTTAATTACTCCGCATCCCCACAAAACCTCACCATCTCAAAGGACGTTCGTTACCATGAACAAGCTACGATAACATAACGGCAATATGAGGAACTTGATGAAGGCATCTGCCCTGGTGGCATTGGCGGCGCATCTAGCTGCGGGGATTTCCCTCAATGTCAGCGACAAAGGTATGGATTAAGCTCCCAATTGAAGAATCAAAGCTGATAAGAACGTGTAGCTTCTATCAAAAATGCTGCCAGCACGATCGCACACGGATTGATGACTTATTACACTGGCAACATCACAAATACAGAGACCACTATTGGTGTTCTACCTAGCCCATACTACTGGTGGGAAGCTGGAGCTATGTGGGGAGCAATGTTGGATTACTACCACTACACCTCCGATTCTTCGTACAACAATGTAACGACTCAAGCCCTGCTCTCGCAAGTTGGTCCTCTTTACGACTACATGGTTCCATGGCATCAAAAGGACGAAGGAAACGATGATCAGGCATTTTGGGGATTTGCTACCATGTCTGCAGCCGAAAAGGACCTTCCACAACCTACAGTTGGGAATTACTCGTGGGTGCAGTTGACGGAGAACTTGTGGAATACGCAAGTTCGACGCTGGGATACATCTGCTTGCAATGGGGGTTTGAAATGGCAGATATTCCCTTTCAACAACGGTTACAATTACAAGAACTCGGTATCGAACGGGGCCTTCTTCCAATTATCAGCTCGTTTGGCCAGGTTTACGGGAAATCAGACCTACATCGAGTGGGCTAACAGGACCTATGACTGGATGAAAAACGTGGGGCTCATTGACCCGGGATACCATATCTTCGACGGCGCCGATGAACTGAGGAATTGTTCCGACCAGGATCAGATTATATGGACGTACAACGCAGGAATCGCACTCTATGGGGCCGCCGTTCTATACAATTACACGAATGGCTCAGCTTTATGGGCAGAGCGCACAGAGGGTTTCTTGAGCGCAACAGCAAATTTCTTCACGCCCTACGACAACGCTTCAAACATCATGTATGAGCCAGCCTGCGAAACAGTCAACACATGCGACAACGATCAATTCTCCTTCAAAGGCTACCTCTCTCGCTTCATGTGGGACACCACTGTCCTGGCTCCATTCACCAGAAATGTTGTTACCGCCCTCCTCACTCCATCTGCTCGGGCTGCAGCGATTGCATGCTCAGGAGGCGCACAGAATACCACGTGTGGCCAGAAATGGTATGTCGGTGGGTACGATGGCAAGTTTGGTGTGGGACAGCAAATGAGCGCGTTGGAGACTATCCAGGGGCTGCTCATCGGTGGCAGTGTGCCTCCATTGCATAGTAGCCAGGTTCATTTGATGAATGTTGTGACCACGAGTTCGGCACCTGTATCGACGCAGACAAAGACACTTGCGAAGACGCCTGCGAATAGTGCTGGGTCTTCGATGACAGTCGGTAGCTTCACCTGGTCATTGTGTCTGGCAGCCCTTGTGGTTTTTATGAATGTGGGATTGAGCCCCTCCAGGCTTTAGATTCTTTCGGTAATGTCTTAGATGAGGTCACGATCTTAAGTGCATTAGAATGGCGTTTTGGGATCTGGGGCATTGGGATGGGTACACGATACATGATACACGGAATCGCATATGGATGGCATAGATGCCCATAGATCTGCATTAGATCAGTATGGGGGTAGACGAATTGATTTCAAAATCTGGCCCTCTTTCCAGTGTAGCTGCTTTTCGATGTTCGAGTATTTTTGGAGCATTTTCCATGGGAAGTCTCACTAGAATGGGCGTGTTGGATCTCTTTATTTTTCAATGTTCAACTGTTCTCAGGGCTTTTGCGCCAGAATGTTCCCAGTAGAGTGGCTCTCCGCCTACAAAGGACCAGTTGACTAACAAGGGAATGGTTGGACCACTACCCGCAAGTTGCGAACCCTACTCATTCATGTTTGAGACTTTATTTTCCCAGAAGTTATCCCTCCTCATTAACTCTAAGTCCTATAACTTTCCAAAAGCGATAGCGCGAAATGGTTCTCTTGTTACCACAAAAAAGACGCAGAACCAGTCCTATATGGGGGCCTGGTGTGGTATCAGCTGGGCAAGTAGACTTAGACATAGTCCTTTGAGCTGGAGACGAGACTCAATCGTGTCCTTGTATTAGGTGACTTTAATGTTGAGCGGAAGTTGTAATTCAAAGCATGGCCCTTAAGAGATAATTCAGTCAGCTGACATGCCATTGTCAAATTCTTATGTTTAGTCATCTGGTATTGCTGAAAGAAGGACGATTCGCACAGAGAATAGATGAAGTGCACTTTGCAGGCTTCCGCAGATGTTGTTTCCTTGTTCCCAGAACTGTGGTTCACTGAGAGAGTTAGGAATGGAGATCAGAACGAGTTGAAAGGAAGCAGGAGTGCTAATTGCGTGCCTGAAATGTCGTAGGACTTGGCTGAGTTGACTGGAAATGCTGTTAGTGGGGAGTTCGAGCTGAGCGAGGAGGCTTGGAATGCTTTTAAGGTAGGGAAATTGCGATGTTACTAACTCAGGAGTTGGAAAAAAGTCCCGTGACCTAACCCTCGCTTATGTTAAAAGGGGTAACGGGCCTTGAAGCAAGCCTTGGGTAACTCTCGGACTCCGGATTCAATAACTCCCCGACCGTGCTCACTAGTTCTCGTATCTTTCGTATTAGGCTATGGAGGGTCACTTTCCCAGCATTGAGCTGCTTCTCAAACCTCATTCTGGAACATAGGTGGACGGGAATGTGGACGCTTAGCTGGTCGGCAAAGGGACTCGGCACTCCCTAAGGTGCAGCTGCCCGCACCCCGCATCGGTGGCCCCAGATTCCAGAAGATCTCTCCTTGGCCTTCGGCCTTCGGTGTTTGCTTGCCGGGATTTTTGTAGGGCCATTGTCTCAAAGCTGATATCACTATCATTCTTTAGAATATCGAAATCACCAATTTGAGGGCACCTTCAATTCATCGTCAACGAAGTTCGTTAGGTCCTGGTCCTCCAGGTTCACGAGGCAAAGGGTAGCCCAACATGTTCGATATGTTAGCAGAGAAGGGATGGAGAGCTCTGTTGGTAGTGGGCTCGATATTATGCGTGGTATCCTTGGTGAAGTTTATCAGAACCAGAGGACAGCTCCCACTGCCTCCAAAGCCAAAAGGTCTTCCAATCATCGGCAACACAATTGAATTCGTCTCAGCAGCCAATGGTAATGCTATGCATTTACTTCTCCAAAAATGGGCAAAGGAGTATGGAGAAGTTTTCAGAGTCCAAATTGGGCCTGTCACCGAATACTACATTAACTCAGATCGAGCTGTGAAGGCGCTGATGGACAAAGCCTCCGCGCAGACATCACAGAGACCGAGATGGATTGTGAGCAACGAGCTTCTCTGTAATCAGTGGAACGTGTTGCTTCTGAATGCCAGTGATCCCAGATGGAAGGTAAGTGCTCCAGCCCCAGGATCTCCATTCCCGACTGAGAAGGTGTAGCTGCCACGCAAACTCATACATTCAGAAATGGCAAGTCCAACAATGGCTGATGCCGCACTTCCGTGAGTACCCTATAAGCATTGAAGGCTGAAGCAAAGGAAAGCTGAAGAATCGCAGCATGCTCTACTACGAAACTTCGAAATTTTTAGACGAGGTCATCCATGACCCCACTGCAGGCACTGACAAGCAAGATCTCTGGACCCAGATCGGACGCTACACATACAGTAACTTTGCTAAGCAGACTTTTGGTTTCGATGTGAGATTCTATCCTATGTGAGAAAACCAACAAGCTAATTAGACTTAGGTTCCCTCTTTAGAAGATCCAGCTATCGAGTACATCCACAGTGCGTCCTGATGCCCATAGTAGTGCCACGAATCATTAACTGACATTTCAGATTCCGGAAAGCGTCAGATTGAAGGTACACTTCCCGGTACTCATCTAGTTGACATCATGCCATGGATGAACAGTTTGCCACTGTGGCTGAAGCCGTGGGAGCGGCGAGCAAGGGCGTACTTCAAAGACGATGTACAATGGGCGAGGACTCGCATGGTTGTAAGGATCGACTATTCCCAGTTCTCTGTGCTGTTCTTTAACTTCATCTCAGAAAACCCAAATGCTCCCTTTCGATCATCCTGCATTCTTAAGACATATTCTTAATGATGAGAAGAGGTGTGGTATTTCTTGTGATGATGAGGCAGCGTTCTTGAGCTTGCAGCTGATTATCGGAGCTGCTGATACAGTGCGTTACTTCTCCCTCCAAGCCAAAAATAGTTTCTAATCAAATATCTGAAAATAGCCGTATATCGACATGGACATTCCTAGAAGCCATGATGCTGTATCCCGAAGTACAGGTGAAAGCTCAGAAAGAAATAGGTACTCTGCTGCCCTTTCCCCATGAGAAATCATTAGCTAACAAATCTCCTGTTTCTCAGATTTCATTGTTGGCAATCGGATCCCTACCTGGGACGACCTGAAGGATATCCCCATCGTCGGCTGCCTCATGAAAGAGGTGTGGCGATGGCAGCCTCCCGTAGCCCTAGGCCATCCCCACACAACGACAAGAGATCTCGAGTATGAGGGCCTCCGAATCCCCAAAGGTGCGCGGTTGCACCTCAATGGTTGGTAGGTCTATCTCAAATGGCTTCACTCGGGAACAAAAACACTCGACTCACAAATTTTTAGGGCCATTCAACATGACCCAAATCGACATTATGACCCCGATGAATTCCGCCCCGAGCGTTGGGTGAATGATCATTCAACGGTTCGTCAAACCTCTCTCTCTTATGGTTAATGAATCTCTCAACTGAAGTTGAAATTTACAGACCCAGCAAAGCACCAACTCCCCCGACCCTTCGTTGCGAGATCATTTCGCTTTCGGCGCAGGGAGACGAATCTGTACGTTCCAGCCACCTTGAATTTCTTTCCCCAACATTCTCGCCCCTTTCTTCCACTGTGACATCGTCTAAGCGTTGCCCATCAGGTCCTGGGATACATATAGCAGAGCGCTCGCTCGCCGTAGCAATCATGCGGATCCTCTGGGCTTTTGACGTGATCCTCAAACCTAGCGTTCGAGGCAAAGGAACACTTGATCCGAAGACGTATGCGGGGTTTATGCCTGGAAATCTGGGAGAGAATTTGCCTGTTTGTTTGGTGTCTAGGAGTAAGGAGAGAGTTGCGGATGTGGAGAGGGAGTGGGAGAGGGAGAATAAGGAGAGGGATTGAGCTACGAGGCGTGGCATGGTTGGAATTTGTTTTAATAACTCTGCCACCCTCAATACTCAAATGCCACTGGCACTCGTTTACCCTCACCATAATACTTTATGTCCTTGGCGCTTCGATGCATCGTATTCGCCTTCTCGGCGGTAACACGTAACTTGAAGCATCCATATCCTCTATGTCTATGGGTCGACTTATGTCCAACATGGGCTCAGACGCTACTGTAAACCCGACAACAGGACTTGCCCGGACGCGGGACGACCCTACTATTATCATGTTGCGTTCTCGTCCACTCTTTTTCCCCTTGGGACAGCCCTTTATCCCTGCCGCTGTCACTACAAGCGTGCTCCTGAACCATAGGATGAACCATGGAAGTCATATTGCAAGTGTGGCGAAGTTCCTATTTTGGAAGCAGGTACCTTCCCAGAGTAGCAGGAGCCATGCAACGATGAAGAGAGTATGTTTGGATGCACTTGTACTGTACCGAAAAGCCAAGCTTGGTGACAGCGTGAAAGTACTTAAAGAAGGATCAGCATGATATTTAAAAGAGAAGAGCTTGAGTAGCGGTCACTCGTTTGTGGTTTCAAGTAGACTTGGGGAGTCGGGACAGGGCAATCATAGTTCACAAATTAGACTTCTGCGATTCACTATGCTTGATTCACTAACTTTGCCCTTGGCAAATGCTTCGCTGTCCCACATGAAATTGGAATGTTCAGGGCGGGCAAAGTATACATGTTCCGCAGCTTTCCAAAATAATCGTGGCACACATATCAAAGTTCTTAAGATCAACTAAACTAGCTGCTTCACTTGGGGATCTGTGGAGTTCACATTGGTGACGGTGAATTTCAATGCTGGCCAGCTACCAATCCATTAAGATCAAGTTAGAACGGTGAACATCAGTCTAGCCAGGACCAATGCTAGCACACTGCCCTGGACGTTCATTACTACCAACCCCGCTAGCAAGCACCATGCTCCCATAGATGTTGGACCTCCGTTGCTCAACATTGAGGTGAGATAATCAAAGGAGTAGTGACAAGTTAATGACCACTAACTGTGCTGAAGTTCAGCAACAAACTATTATGAAAGATAGCCTTTTGACTGCTGCATAACGGACGCTTGTACTTCCACATCTTGGTGGTAAGTAAAAATCAGCTATGAAACATGGCATTCAGGCTGCTTACAAGGGATACCTATGATTGATTTCCTGAAGGTCGCTGGGTCGGCAAAGAACTTCCATAGAGAATGTTCTTTCGGCTGTTGAACAATGGGCGCTTGACTTTCATATCCTAAAGGTCAGCGAAAACAGATTTTAAATGTTGACCTTTTGGCTGCTGACACCGGATGCCTACATTTCTCCCACCTAAAGGTCGGCAAAAAATAAGTATAAAAGATGACCTTTCGACTTCTAAACAACGGACGGGTACACCTTCTGCACTTCAATTTTGAGGGGTGAGTATAACGGCGGCATGTAGAAAACTCATTCCTGGGGCTAAAACCTACCTCGCGGTCAGCAGCATAAGTACGATCGCATTGTAAATTGTCTTTGAGTTCATGCTGCTGTTAGGATGTCTTGTGCAAGGATTTGCTGATAACAAAATTCGTCTGGAGGATGAGATGAACTGCTGTTACGTGTAGTTGAATGCCAGAGAAAAGAACGATGGTTGACGGTGGTTGCTGAGTACTTCCTGCATAGCCAGAGCAGAAAATTTTGAGGCTGATGCCAATTATAAGGATCAAATCCGCGTGGGAGGGGGTACAAGCCAGGAAGCGAAATCCCTCGAATGTGTGCAAACTGTTTCTGAGGAGTTGCAATCCTGAGATACAAGTGCACATAGCCGTATTTATATCAAAAGACCCAGTGCTTGGGATATGTTAGGGGCAATGTAGAAGACTTGAGGAGTTGATGATGGGTCTAGTCCACATTCAGCAAGGTGCAAAAAGTTCCCCTCCCTTCCTCTTTCAGGTCTCCTACTCAGGTCAAGAGTGAAATACGTTTTAATGAACACAGTTGGAAGATGGAAAGAATAGTGCAAGGATAGGTTCATAATTCGTTAATCGAAGAAGCTAAGTATCTGATATAACAAAGTGAAGAGGGAAATGAAATAAGGCCGTAGAGATAAAAGGAAAACGTAGATGTAAAAGCAAATTGCTTCGAGATGTCGCCACTCGAACGTCCCTTGCTTGGAATCATGCCTAGAAGCACACTTCGGAGTGTTCATAAGTCGTAAAGGTCATTACTCGATCCTTAGTTCGCGGACTCACCTTGGCACACCTTCACTTTCGCCTCGCAACCTAACCAATCATCCCAAAGGCAGTCTTCCGCACCTTTGCCTTCTCCTTTCCCTTCCCCCTTCCTTCAATCTGAGGCGTCCAGAGATTCAACAGTGACTGAACCACATCATCACCTCTTTTCAGCTCCAAGTTGATCTTGATAACATCCCCATCGTTGCTTTCGTCCTCCGAATCGCTAGAATAATCAGACCCTCTCCACCTCGCCTTATCCATCTTCCTGACTTTGTTTTTCCTCAACTTTCTTCTCACATACCCGACGCTGCTGTCATCGCTCGAAATGCTACTTCTAAAGCTGCTATCAGTGCTGTAGAAGTCATCTCTGCGTCGGCGGCTCCTAGACCGGCTTCTTGGGCGCGGCGGAACCTCGAAAATCTGGATTGGCGCCTGGTTTACAACTGGCACTGGTGGGGGAGGAGGCCGCATGAGCGAATTATACAGATCCATCGGCTTGCAATGTGCTTTCGGCATGCGTTTGGCGATCAGATGCATCATTGTGGCCGCTGCGACCTTCGGGAACCCCCCGTTCGAGGTGAAGTCTGTGATTTCGCCTAAGCCATTGTAGAGACTGAGTTCAACCCAGCACCATTCGAATCTTGCATCCCGTTCGCCTGCCTTAAGTTCGTCCATTAGACGAGTGACTTGGCTGCTTTGCTGCTCGGTCAGACGGAGGCTAACCTCGAGAACATTGCCTCCGGCGCGCTGGAACGTCTGCATTCGTTGAATAATGAGCTGGCGCTCTGCGCTTTCCTGAGTAACGGTAACGCGGGACCAAGACCGCGCAAGAGTTGGATTGAGAGAATCAGTCACGCGGAGTGTATATTCAACGTAGGTTGTTAAAGCGAGCGTTGCGTCGTAATCGGTCAAAGGTGTTGTATCGCTGATTCGTATAGATTCAATACCCGTGCCTAGCGGTAGATCATGCTTGCTTAGGGAAGGAGCTGTATTTCCATATGCAGGAATAACCCCACCTACGGGGGGCTGAGGCATCGGTGGTGCGCGAAGATCTGAAGTCTTTGTGCTTCTAACAGGAGGAGACGGAAGCCCCGGAGGTGGCCTGACAGTCGGTACAACAGTCGATGGCGGGAACAAAGAACAAGTCATAGGCGGCGGTGGTGGAGGGGGAGGAGCGAGTGGCAGGGCAGCTAGTCGAGTTGGTTCGTTAGAATAAGTACTTGGAGCCAGGTTGGATGAAATGCAAAAGGGTATCGAATAGCAAGCCTTAAACAAACCAAAGAACTAGAGTTATGCTTACTATAAACAGGCCATGGTTTGCCATCAAACAGTTTCTCCCGTACAATTGCAAGCAGGACGCGGCTATTGTTAGTATGAATAACAGGAATCTTCGAGAGAATATCACGAAGTACCACTGCCCAAGCGTGTTTCCTCTCGTGGACGACCTTGAGCACAACGAGCTCTCTCTCATATCTCTCCCCTTTAACCCAATATGGGCGTAGGAGACTCGAAAGCATTGCATGCTCTACGGAATCCATTTTGGTGAAAGTATCGTACCATTCTTGACTGTTGATCTGAGAAATGATCGTGCGCATATGAGTTGCTTCTAGTGAGTGAAAAGCTGAATGCGGGACTTGTCTCAGATTGCCAGCGTGAATGACAACTGCGAGAAGAGCTGAATCGGCGTCACCGAGGACCTTCTTCATTTCATCGGCCAGAGACTTGTTGCTTCGGAAAAGGCTCTTGAATTTGAATCGAAGGCCATTAGTGTTTGACTTGAAGAGACGAGGCTCGAGAGCAACGGGTCTGAAATGTTAACGATCGCTTGGCGCTAGGTTTTGGGAGGACTTACGCTGTTTCTCCCCGGCCGTAGGCGGTGCCATCGGCAGGCTTGAGATTCACCTTCGTAGTCACCACGTCTTCTTCGTCGTCCTTAGTAGCAGGAGTGTCTTTTGGTTCCTCCTTCTCCGCCGGATAATCGGATGATTGACTGACATTTGACTTCTCAGAGGCAGAAGTGGGGATATTCGATATCTGTGACACTGTTCCTAGGAGCGTAGACGTTATCGAGCTGCTAGCCGGTGCCACAGGTTTGCTTTCCGAGTACGATGGAGGATTTAACTTTCAAGTCAGCAAGACATATTAAATGTTAAATCTCTAACTAACCGAATTGACTGTTATTCCTGCCAGAGTCTCGGTTGGAGGGGAGGGCGGGAGCGGCGGGACTACCGTGCTTGGAACGTTCCATTGTGGTGTAAGACGTGGTATGTTGTAAGGCAATTTTGCAGGAGGCGGAGGCGGAGGTCCGCCTCGCATCTGGCTCGGGAGAGGACGTGTAGCACACGCCTCCTTCGTTTCAGCTTTGTTTGTCCCGTCTGGCCGCTTGAAAGACTGCATGCTAGAGGAGTCGCTATCACTGCTGTCTGAATCGAAGAGGCTATCGCTCTCACTTGATGAAACAGAACGTTTGTATCTGGATCGACCCTTGGGGAGCTCGATGCCGACAAGCTCGGCGGTGCGATAGATGCGATCATGAAAGGCAATAATGCTTTTCACATCCACTTTTCCAGACGATCTTCGTTTATGTAAGTAGGAGCAGCTAATGATCTTGAATGACTTACACATCTGTAGACATGACCCCTACCGTCACAACTTGGAACACAAGAAGTAGGTGTAGCTGGAGATTATAAAGTCTCTCCATACACCCCTCAATCTCCACAGTTGCCTGGCTCCATTTTGCATTTTCAACAATGCCAAGGAAAGCCTTCTGGTCAAGATTCAAAGCGGCAATATCGACTTTAGCTGGGCCATTCTTCGCAAGTTCCCTCCTCTCCCGTCGGCGCTTTACTTTAAGTTCTTTAGCGTTCAGGCAGGCGTCTGCTATAATGGGCTCGACCTTAGCCAGAGTCGTAGCACACTCCGTTGCAAGAAGCTCAACGTATTCGAGGCCCCGGTGACTGAAGTTCCTCTTGTTGATCCCATCCCTAATGCCCTCAGCCTCGGACGCGAGAAGGCTCAAGACCTGATTCAGAGTTACGACTGTGGCATCGAGGACGTTAATTGCGCCCTCGAACCCACGCGGGATTTTCTCTGCAGAGAGCGCATGACTGTGGAAGACCACTGCAAGTTGGCTGGAATAGGCAGAAACTTTCTTCGTTAGAGTAGCGACATTGTCCACACTCGGTTGGTCCATCCTTCCCAAAGTGCCCGGTTTGCCTAAAGGCAATTGATGTTGAAGAAGAAATTCCTTCAGGGTTGCAGAGGAGGACGAAGGGAGGGGAATCAAGATCGGTACTCTAAGGATTTGGTAAGGGTCCACGGCCGCGTTCCTTCCCCGCCACGCCCTTCAAGGATTATGAGTAAGGCAAAAAGTGAGGCTGACGGAAGGACAGTCACCGCATCAATCAAATGGCCGTGAACCACTCATAGGCTGGCGCCGCATTCAAGAGGCGTAATGGTAATTTCTTTTTGATCTCTTAGTGCAAGCCGCTATCCAATAGCTCCTGGGCAAGGGTCGGAAAGAGCGCATGAACAAGCTTGCGGTGAGCAGGAGTGAACTTGAGCAGCATCGCACCTCGATTACACAACATGATTCAGTGATCAGAAACATAATCAAATCGCCAACGCAGAACCTTGTACAACCAGAATACTTGCTGGAGTGGTCTCGTGTTTGTCCAACTAGCCACAGAAATATGAACACTTGGGCAATGTTGTGCTGGCAGACCTCAACTCGACCTAAACTTATGCCTCAAGTGAGCTACTTATGAACACGAGAGGTGGCTCCACTAGATGATCTGAGATGGAATAAAAGATATGCTAACACGTGGTGATGGAATCAGGATAGAGTTCGAGTTGCGGATATTTTTAGTTAGGCGGTCTGCGCCTAACAAGCCGGGCGAGCCTGCCCCCCTGAGGCTTACGCTCACCACCATGATTGTTGAGCTGCTATCTCTTCAATGATGGCGTGATGGACATTTAAATTTCTCGACACCACTTGATCATAACCCCACTCATGGTCTCAACACTTCCTGTTATCTCTTCAAGCCCCACGTCGACCTTCCACATTCGACCTCCTGCTGCCAAGTCCCCTCCACGAGCACCCCCACTTATTCCTGCAGGAACCAGTAGTTCATACTCTGTGAGTCTCTCCCACGCTGCAAGTGAAACGTCTCTCCCCCAAACCTTGGCACTGGCACCAAGAGCTGTTACACCCGTGCTTGAAGTCTGGATTTTGTATCGTGAAGTGAGAGAGCTGTACTCATCGTAGGCCATGGCAAAGTTGCAAGTGTCGGTGTCGAGGATGATGTCAAGGCGTGCAGCGGCTATTAGCAATGCGAGCTCTAACTCGGAAAGTCCCCGCAGAACCTCGAGCTTCGAGTCCGGGGCTGACAACGACAAGCAAGTAGACGTAAAATGCTTGCCCGTAAGCAGAAAGTTCCTCGCAGATAAGTTGGCAATTGGAAGAATGCATGATGTAATGAATTCCGGGACTGATTTGTTTCGGTAAAATTGTGATTCAATGTGATGCTTGAAGGTCTCGTCCTTCCTGTACAAGTCCTACAAAACGTGAGCAAAGCTATGAAGAGAACATTCGGTACAAGCATACCTCAATCATGTTCTGCCAAAAGGAAAAAAACCCATTCCGACCAGCGGCACCAACATCAAAGCCTTCAAAGTCAACTTCTTCCACGGCCACTATGAGGCAGGCTTTGCATATCTCCCAAAATGCGGGTAAGCTTCGGGGGAGTGACAAATGCACATATCGATGGCTGAAGCGGCTCTTGACTCTCTTCTCAAGGCTTTCTACTACATCAATTCGTGTTGTGAGACCAAGTACAACAATTGGGGCTTTCCTTGCTTGAGCAATGTCGAAAAGATTATAGAGTAGAGTCTGGCGTGAATGCGTTGTAAAGAGGTCAAATTCATCCAGGATAAATATCACAGACTTAGCTGTTTGATTAGTTTCGCTCTCAGGCATCTCTGATGGGTGTGAGAGCAAGGCGAGGAGAGATGCCAATGTATCAGCGTAGTTGCTTGTCTATTTATGGTAAATACACACACACAGTCACGGGATAAGAATAATCTCACCTTGCCTGGTGTATCATCCTCAAGTTCCATCTCACGACCAAGCTGTCGCCAGATATCTTTCAAAGCAAGTTTATCGTCGGTATGGATGAACCCATTCAGCCGTACAACGTGAAAGTTCTCTCTTTGATCAGAAAGATCAGAGATTACTGATTCAACGAGCTCAGATTTCGTTAGTATGATCAGAGAGAATTGTATCCAAGGAACTTACAGTGGTCTTTCCACTGCCCCTCGCCCCGATTACCAGCATTGAGTTTCCTTCACCTGCCAAAACAGTTTGTTCAACCACCTGATGTACCTTCTTCATTTCCTCGTCATACCCCCTCAACCTGATTCGCTTTTGGCCAGTCAATCTGTCCAATAGCGTTCGTTGCATGTGCCGGAGATGCTCTTCGAATCTTTCGATGTTTGGCAGATTGTTTGAAGAGCCAACGTGAGCCAAGTCGTCGTTCAATTGCGGAAAAAGAGCGTTGCCCTGGCTTTCCAGATCGCACTCTTCGCAAAACCATTTTCCTCGCGGGACAGTAGAGAGCTGGCAGCACCTGATGTGGACCGAGTAATCGCAATCTTCGCCATCGCAGAGAATGATTGGATTCTTTGCTTTCGAGTCAAGTCCTGAACAGATCGCACATACTACCTCCTCGATATCATCCGACTCTATCTCTTCCTCAATTGCGTCCTCAGCTTCCGGTTTCGAAGTAGATTGACAATCTTTACAAAACCAATCTTCTTCCGGGACAACAGACAGTTTTTCGCAGTTCTTATGGGTTGCATATTCGCAATCCTCGCCATCGCAGAAAATGATGGGATTCTTCTTTGTGCTGTTTAGTCCAGAGCAAATCGCACAGGCAACATCGTCCTCGTCTTCTTCGACCTCTTCTTCTGGTTCCTCCCCAGTTGCTTCTGCAGTTTCATGGTGCGATTCGACTGATGTTTTCGACTTTTTGCCAGGAATGTCCTTGAACCCCAGATCAACTTCGCCTTCTCCAAAGGTCACACTTTTCCGAGGTCTGCCCGGCCTGTTTTTGCTAGGTGTGAGTATGCCTTTGGGGGCCTGTCTCGATGATTCAGTGCCATCGATTGAGGTTCTCCGTGGCCGTCCCTGTTTGCCACTTGAGGCAGCAGATTTCGGTGCCTTATGTTCTTGACTATCGTCCTTTCCTAACCTTTCGGGCTTTTGCCTCTTTGCAGAGATCACAATCTCTACGGACTGTGCTGGGCTATTCTCCTTTGGCCTTGCGGATTTCTGTTTCTTCGGAGTGATCACTACCTCCTCCTCCTCCCCTTGGGACGTAGTAGCCATCAATCTCTCCCTTGCAGCCTTTTTCGAGAGCTTAATATCCTCCTTCAGAATCTGGGACTTCTTCGGACGGCCTGGTGACCGCGTCATGGGTATATCCTCCTTATCTTGCACCACAGGTGCTAGGAGAGCCTTCGCCTTCTCCGCGCTCCTGGCCAGTTTCCTGCTCGAGCGTATCGTAGATGTGTCATCCTCTGGCACCTCCCAAATATCATCTGCTCCGGAAGTGTGGTTCGTTTTCACACTGCCTTTCTCGCTGGCTGGCTTCGTCTTGATTGGGGTGGATGTGGATTTCATGCGCTCAGAACCACGCCTCCGCTTCTGCACACTGTCCTTCTCGAGCTCTGATGGGTCGAAATCATAAATGTCTTTCTGAGAAGCGCCATGCTTCCCGGAGTCGAGAGACTCTCCGCTTGCTAATTCATCCTCCTCATCCTCCTCCCTGAGATTCTCCTTCTCCTTCCTGCCCCAACCAAATATGTCTCCAATTGTGCGCTTCAACGAGCCGGTTATGCCTCCCACAGGTGAAGACCCATTCCCCTTTAGCTTCCTCTTCTTAACACTCGCCAGCGGCGTGCTCGTCATCCCCTTCTCCGGCGATAATTCGTCCTCCTCGTGGAGCTGCGATCTGGTGCGCTTGCGGGTCGACATTGCGAGCTTTCGAGTCCCAGGAGGCTATTGAGATCATGGACTAGAGAATTACTTCTCTGGATATCGTGTCGAGAGGTAGGTGGAAGTTGATGAGTTTGTTGAATGAGGTCGAGGCGACGCGCCGAGAAGCGCGATTCTTCGCGTAAATTGATTTTATGGGCCCCACGTGATACCCCTGAGCCCCTTTGTTTGTTGATCTCGGAAATATTCCACTGACTTCCCGGATTTTGAAGTCAAAGAGTTGCATACCTTCGTACAAACCACAATCTTACTCTCATTTTCAGATGTTGGTCGGCTCATGCGGGCCGTCCAGTTTCCGCCAATATCCCACACTCGGTCAAACTCTCTCTTGGCGCATCTTTGAATTCCATAATTACTGATGACGGGAATTCATGAGCATGTAATGGGTCTAACAAACTAGCATACCCCCTCCACTGGCTTGCAATGGCTTAACAATGGTGACGTATGAGCGGAACACCCTCAAGCAATTTCTTTGCTGCATGCTGTGGGAAGGAACGATCTCTGGATTTCAATCTTTGAAGGCGAAGTTGCCTTGCAAGTCCTTGTCCCTCTTGCTTTCCTCACATCAGACAGAGCACTATATGCCATCCGATACAAGCATCCGGCCATCAACGCAGCAGCGCCGTAGGCCTAGTTTTTTGTTTTATCGAGGACAGAATATTGCGATTTCAAGCAAGTCGAGGCAAAAGTAAACGAACGGACTGGTTCTTAGCTGCACTCGGCTGCGGGTCTTCCGCAACTCTCCAAAATTCTTTCCTCTCTCTCCAGAGCCTTATCTTCCCAACGCACGGATTTCTCCACCACTCGAATTCTGAGAACCTCCACCCTTGCACAATCAATCTACAATCAATCCACTATTCGATAACCAATCATGCCTTTTGCCGACGCTTTTGGAACTACGTCAACAACATTCTCACTGTATGTTCTTCTCGGGTGTGCTGGTCTCTTCGTTCTATATTGGTGTTAGCACTGGGTTGCGTCCTGAGGCCCACGGTTCCCTTTGATGAGCATTTCTTTGGCATAGCCATGCACTAATACAGCTATCTGGAGGCATTGGCGTGTATTTCAAGTATCATGTTACCCTATATTCAGCTGCTCACTTATGATAGTGCCAAATACATGAGGCCAATTTCAACTTTGCCCATGCTCAAAGGCAAACTCTACCTCATCACTTGTCCAACGCTTGCTCAGAGTGTCTTCAACTCTCCCGACCTCTGTCTTGAAACGTTCTTGGTTGATTTTTCCACCCGGGCTTTGTTGTTGTCAGCCGAAACACCGAAGATTCTCGAAAAGTCTGGGCATGGTAGCACACCGAGCTGCAAGGAAAAAATTCCGAAGGCAGTTCATGAAGCATTCCAGCTTGGAGTTGATCTTGTCAAGATGATTTTGGCTTCCCTGATCTCCGTCGCATTTACGATCAACTCCCTCGGCCATGTCACTGAGCCTAAAAGCATGTTCGACTGGCTCCGACAAATGATCGCATTAGACACCAGCAAGGCGCTGTTTGGAGCCCACGGTCCCCTTAAAGAGAATGGCCTTTTGGTTGATGCTTTAAGGTAGGAAGAATTATCCCCTCTCAAAAAGATAGTTTGCTCGTTATACATCAAGTGCTTTGAACGAAGGCTCCAAGCGTATTCCCTGGAGTCTCTCTGACGACACTTGATCCTCAAGTATCCCAAGCTCGTGTTGAGCTCCAAGCCGCCTTTACTCGCTATCATCTCAACAAGTCGAACCAAAAACCAGATGTCTCCACGTGAACGAAACATCGAGGCAAAATGTACAGCAAGTACAACATTAACCTACGAGATATTGGAAAGATTGATATGGGATTGCTCCAGGTTGCTACAGCTGATGTCGTCGCGACAACCTCCTTCATGCTTGTCTTCATTGCCGCTGATCCTCACGTAACCCAAATTCTTCGTCAAGAAATCCAGTCAGCCATTGTTGGCTGGACTGGACAGCACGGAAAGAGAACGATAACGATTGAAGTCTCGGCCCTTGAGATACTCTACCCGCGGCTTGCCTCACGCGATCCATTGTGCCAAGCCCGAATGGGGTCATGAATCTGATCATTTGAGGAGCGGCAATATTGCTTATCACGGACCAGGAGCAAGGCTATTTCCCATTTGGTGGTGGAAAGCACAGTCGTCCCGGACCGAGCTATGCGTTTGTTCAGACCTTAGCCATTGTTGTGGTATTGATTGGAAGGTTCGATATCAGGGGCGAGGATGGAGGGCTAATTAAGGTTCCGTGCATGTTTCGATCGAGACTGGGAGATGCAGTTACTCTCCCATGTGAGCAGAATGGCCGCATCGGCGCGGGGGTGGGCGCCAAATTCATTAGGAGATAGGGCTGGGAGAACATTGAGTGGAGGTTTAGTCACAGTAAAGAGTGCGATTTTGTTTGCTGTAAATAAAAGGCTGCTGATGATAGAATGGCATCGCAAAGGGTGGACAGTAACAATAGTAGTACGGGTTACAAAGAGCACGAATATCTCCCCGGGCGAATGATCACAAACTGTGTAGGTTTAGACAAAAGGAAAGATTCATCTAACATCTCTTGATCTACCCGGTGATCCTGTGTACGTCAAACCTACAACCCTCGCTTTGATGCTTCAAAAGTTCTAGTACATTGAGAATGTTGAAGGACTGGAGAGTAAATCCTGGAGCCATGAAAATGGAGAGGAGGTGTGAGTGAATACTGCGTCGAACGAGTCTCGTTGGACATTGCACTTTTAATGTCGAAAGTGCTTCACGTTGAGAGCGCTATAAGAAAGAAGGTCATCGAGAATTCCTTCAGACCTGATAGTGTAATCATCCAGCACTCGTTTGGCAGATCATGAGAGCTCGCTGAGAGCTCACCAGGAAATCATTGAGCAACAGGTCCGAGACCCGCGAGAGCTGACTGAATCCACGCCACTTGAGAATGAATCGCTTTAAGATCGCTCATTTCTTACGACAATTTTGACGTTCAAAGCGAGATTGGTGAATCGATGGCGAGCACAAAAACGAGAGGATCATGGTGCAGATATTTCAGGGAAAGGATGGGCAGTTTGCTCACTTGAGAGATAGCTTCTTCTCTCCCTCCCTCCCACCAAGGTTGCCCATTGACAGAAGGAAGTGCAACAGACTCCTTCTAAAAAAAAATCTCAAGACCCTCGCAGCTCGGCAGAGGAATCTCATCCGAACCTCATGATGCTCCTCAAGTTCCCTCAAACCCCATTACATAACCGCGGTCATCCCTTCACGTGGTTTAGATTTCGCTTCTCATGTACTCTCCGTTTCCGTTCTCTACACTTCGCTTTCCTGCCTCGCTCTCTCTGTGTCCGAACAAACCGCAACGGACCCGGTCCTTCCCAGAACAGAACTGTCATCTTCGGCCTCACCAAGCCCCCATCGCATCTGAAACCCACGAAAACCCAAACCCAGCCCACTCCCTCCCGTATAGCCTCGGCAGAGCCGAGAGGCGCGGGAGTGGAGACTCTCTGTGGACAGTGTGGAGAAAGTTATGCCGAGAAATGCGAATCCCGAAGAGAAGACGCGTTGTTCGTATCTGTAAGGTACCTCGTAAGGGGGCAGGCAGGATGGGGAAAATAATTAATGCTGGGAAATACTGGGCCCTTGCAGTAGTTGAGGATCAGAAAGGAGAAGGAGGAGGATCAGAAAGGAGAAGGAGGAAGGTCCGAAGGGAGATAAAGTTGCACTACCCTAGCTTAGCTCGTGAAACTGGGGTGGGTTGGGGGGGCTGCAGACTTCCCCTCCGTTTCATGGCTGTCGGCTGTCGGCTGTCGGCTGGATGATTTCCCCACAAAACTCAGCTTGAGCGACAGATGATAAAAACGGAGGAAAGCAAATGGTCAAGGGCGGGATTCAAGGATGCGGTTTGTGGAATTGCAACCAAGTGCACGATAGAAAAGCATAGCGGCACAAAGGACCGAGGAGGCCGAGCTGCGGCCGGCCGTCTAACTTTTATGATTGATACGAGAAGAGAGGGGAGGGAGTTTATGCTGCTGACTTTCACATAGTGTGTCTTTCCTAGTTTGCAAATCGGGGGAAACATTCCTCTAGCGTAAAGATATGGAAAGCCAAGAGGGATTTGGAAAGAGAAGTGTCTGCCTGGGGAAAGGAGATGGGCGTGTGGAGAGGAGAAAGAAGCCGTCAAGTAACCGAACCGAACCGGTGGAAAGGAAGAGCTTTTGAGTTCGTGCTAAGCTGACGTGAGACTAATGACGGTTCATTGGACCTGTCTGACGGTTCGAAGGATCACATCATCTGAAATGACGTGGGCTTCAACCCCGGATTCACATTCATGGTGGTGATGTCAATCTGGGCTGCCTCATTCGTGTGTTGTCGAGAGAGGCGTCTGAAGAGTTGGCCGGATTCCGAGACAGCCACGCTGTTTTCGCGGCATTTCTAATTCTTGGAACGGCAAGAGTTGAGGGGTGTGTGGGGGCACAGAAGGAAAGGGGTACGGCGATGTGGTGATATGAGAGGATGAGATGGAAATTTTTCCGAATCGAAGTCGATTCTTCCATCGCCGCCTCTTCCCCTTTTGGGGACGGAAGAGAACGTGGATTTCGGCCACGATTTGCACGTGGGCCGGGGAAGCCGAAATCAGATAATCCTTGAGTGTGGGGACGGCGTTTGATAAGCTTTGTGGCAGAAGATGGCGTTGTTGAGGTTCCTTTTTTCACATGCGAATAATTTTTTATTTCGAGCCCCCTTCACCTGATCTCGATACCGGGTCTGCGGGGCAGAGGTACATTATTCCTCCGCCGATTTCTGCTCAAAGTATGTGCAATGCATGTATCTTTGACCCGATTCGCATGTCCCGTATCTCGTGCCAGACGAAAAGGCAAGTACTGCGGCGGTGGGGCTCGGGGTGGCTGGGCGATACAGAATACCGTAAGTTTTCGGGAACAGAAATAGCCAGAAACAGGAGTGGGGGACGAGGTTGGCTTGGTCACGTGAACTGGCCCCTGAGTGCGAGAAAGGGAACTCGCGTAGCTTTCGTTCCTACTCGTTACCCCTTTCTTTTACTCCAAAGATATTGCAACTAGACGGCAGCTCAGCCCACGTGCATTACACGATAACGAGATCCCCGCCCTTCCATTGCTTTTGCATACCCCGTCCCGTTTCGCCATTCCCGCAAGGCCCCGTTTACCTTCCTGCAAAAGAACCCACCCCCACGCGGAAATCGATACACTTCATCCCCAAATCGTATCACCACCCACTCTCTGGGGCTTGCAAGTTTCCGGAAGGTCCACTCCGGAGGCAGTTACCGACTCTGCCGTCCGATGTTAACCGCGCAATCTTACCAAAAACTGGAGATCACCAGCTGAGCTGAGCAAATCTTATCTTCTGTTGCGGTGAGAGTGCAGATGCATTATTGGCAATTGGGCTCCTATCTCGCACTGCCATTCTGAGGATTTTCGCTGTGATCTTATCCGGTGTCGCCACCCTGCAAAGGATACCCGCCCCATGTTCACTCCACATTTCAAGGTCTGACCCCTCTGCCCGTCTCCGCATTTTGAGCTCGATTCGTGGAGAGACGTGTTTTCGTGACGCCGTTTGAGGAATCCGAGTCCTCTTCCGCTTTAGCCTTTACTATGGTAGGCATTTCAAACCCTATTTCCTGGAATCATGCTCCGGTCCCCGGCGTTGAGGGCCGTTTAGGCATGTCGATATCGGACGACCTGCTGCAAAGAGCACATCCAAGAGGGCATTCTTGTCCAGGAGCCATGGCGTCGGAGTCGGCGAGACGCGCCTGAGATATGGATGTTTCTCCTTTGCATTGATCGCCGTGCATCGCAAAGCGCCGGTTTCTCCTTTGCATAGGCTGTCTGTTCCGGACGCAAACTAGGGCTGGGGCAAGGTATCCACATCGGGGTGTTAAATTGCTACAGGCGGAGTGGCTTTGACGGCGTCGGTTTCTCCTCCTTCCTCACAAGGCGATCACGGTGCTTTTTGTTGGTGAGCTGTCCTGCCGCTGACTGGATTCGATGTTGATGTGCGCATGATTGATTTGCAACTGCTGAAAAAAAGCAAAATGCAGGTCGGTCTGCGTCAAGGACGCTGACAGGTCCAGACGCCCCGTGTTTCTGACCCCACAAGACATGCCGCTGCCACTGCCACGATTTCCCCAGCCTGAGCAGGTTTCCCAAATTCGAAGGCGTGGGGGTTCGCGTTCTCGCAGGGCATTTCTGCCTTCCAGCCTTCCAGAACCAGATGCAAAAAGGCATCCATCCTCCCCCTGCTGCTCCAGCCTGGCAGATCGTATTTGAGATGACTGCAGTCCGGTTCCGTAACGTACGTCTCCTTGGTCTCCCCAGTTTATCATAAGTAGAATCTGAGGAGTGATACGTGCACTTTGCATATCTGCCTCCGCGCATAGCAAAACGACACATTTCAAATTTTTGCTATTTCCACATGGTGAGGCGTTGCAGGGTGCTCAGCCCCAGGATCCTGTCAGACCCCAAACACTTGGTCCGCGGACGCCGGTTGGCTCGAGGCCGGAATATCTGGGGCAGCTCTGATACGAGTCAGCGGTTCGCAGTCCTCTTAGGAAGCGGCAAACGTCCTTGTGCGACCTTCAAATTTCGAATCTCGGGGACAGGCCTGGAAGCTGCATCTCCAAATCTTCCCCCACAAGCGGGCTGGGCTGTGCCAAGCTATGTGCCACTCAGGGGCAAGCTGATAAAGAGCTTGATCGAGCACAAGGCACAAAGATACGCGGGCCAAAGCCGACAAACCCCGTCTCCGTCTCCGCCTCCACACTTGGCTTCCAAGTTTCGAACTTTCGATGCAGCATCGAAATGTCGGTGCTTTTTTTGCCCTCTTCGCCCAAAGAGGAGAAGGTAGAGGAGGGCTCGAGCCTCAACTTCGGCGAAACTGGAATGCGCCAATCCTACACGGACGTGGTGGGACAGTGAATGCTTCCAGAAGCCGCGTCGAAGCGCTTGCCCCGCTCGTCCCCGTCTCGAGCACTCAGACACGGACCTAGTTAGTAGTCACGACTCACGAAGTCCCAGAACTGTTTTGATACCATTGATACCCTGACACTGGGTGGCGTTCTGGGCGGGCATTGCGACTCGTGTCGTCCTTTTGTGACTCTGTTTCTCCTCCGCCGCAAGTTCCACAACGTGTCAAACCAGAGGGTCTGAGCCTCTGAGCCTCTGAGGTCTCCCCAGGGAGGAAAAATTTGATACTCACCCCACTATCGACTTGACTCCACACTTGGCCGGTCTTTCCTTCTCCCATTGCTTCAGGTACCCAGGTACCCGCTTTCTCACGCACAGTTGTTTTTCGTATCTTTTCGTGCCTGACTCAGCGATGGCACATTCAGACATTCTAGCTTTCTTGGCGTCAGTCAGCTTCGACGTATGTGTCTCTACCACTGTTGAGATGACAGTATCGAGAAACTGGCTCAAGGGGGCTGATGCCATCATTTTATCTCCCTCATTCCAAGTAAGTGCTGATAAAATTTGGGACTGGGGGAGCCACTGCCACGACTCAAGATATTGTTTCGGAAGCCAGGGCATTTCCTATGGAACACCCATCCCGATTCTTTTTCTTGCTCTAAGGGCCTTTCTCCAGAAAACTCCACTAAAAGGTATCGCCCTTACTTCATGCCTCGCTCCATCGCCTCGATCATACGGCCCGAAGAAGGGCCTGCTCTGCGGCCTCAAAGATTTCTAAAATTGTTGAAGGCCGAGAGAGGCCAGATAGGAAGCAAGAATCACCATCTCGATGACATCTCGCTCTCAAAATAAACAAGGCCAAGAAAATATTTTCTTTGGCACAACTTTTTCCCCGGCTTCGGAAGGAGACCATGTTCAAAAACCGATGCCAGACTCCAGATAACGTCATCGGGGTTTGACGTACTAACTGGATACTTCTGGGGTCGAGAATATGTTAGGCGCGCGAGTCAGGACGTGGAAGACAAGACAAGCCTGGAGACGAGATGCCAGCTCAGACCAGATCGGAGCCCACAAAAAATATGGAGCTGGATCGGAGTTGATACCGGGAAGCCTGGTCGAGGATTGGGTGTGTTTTTCGGAGCGGGAATCGTCTTCTCCACTCTCTAGCCACAGTAAAATGTCGTTTGAGGCTGGTGCGATGATGTGCTTCTCTCTTTAGCGGATTCACGGAACATCTTGGCTGAGGGAGATGTTTGAGCTTGCTTGCACTTGTCCTCGTAACATCACCGCAAGCACGGAGCATGAACACGAACATGATGTTTCATGCAGGTTACACACGTTCTGAAAACGAACTCAAACAACCCCACTCCCCTCCTTTTATGCTGTTCTGTCAGCGTGGGGAAAATTCAGGGTGCTTGGGGCCGAAAAGACAGTTCGGTTTCAAAGGAGGATAATTGGGATGAGATAAGCTACGTAAAAGGATTGGCTATCGCCCTGTTGAGGCTGAGGTGATCCATCGACATTCTAAAAGCGGACAGAGTAAGCAAAGCACCCTGAACGGGGACGACTGCAACATATGCGTGCGAGCTCGTTTCACGGCACTTTCCCGACCATACTTGGAGCTCTATGATCATGACACAGCACGACGATATCCACAAACGGTGTTTGAGAGAAGTCGGGCCCAAAAGGGGGATTATTGCTGACCCACACACACGTACGCTCCCCCATGTTTCAATGCACATCTCCCGGATTGAGTCGCTGAGCCAATTCGAGCTCAAGTCGGTCATATCATAGCATAGCATGACTATGCCCGCCACGTAGCACAGTCCTTTGATCACTTCCTTGCATCACGACAATAGGAAAGCAGCTAGCGTTGGGAAGAAGAAAACCCGGATTCCCCAACTAAAACTTCTGAACGAGCAATGAACCTGGTCGGTACCACTAGCTTCTGGCACACAGTTAAGGATCTGATATGATATCAGGTCCAATTGTACCAAACAAAGAACAACCCGGCAATCCGAGATACATCAACATGCAGCGAGCTGACGGCCCAGAGGCAAGTTTCGAAAGATGTGACAGGACTGGAGGATCGCTCTCCACACTGTCATGATCTTGCATTATGCCTCCTTACCAAACCAGCGCACATTCCCCGATTCCAATGAATTGAGGCCCAACCCCTCAACCCCGCAACTCCGGGGAGGAATGACGGCCCCTGACTCGCTCCTCGCTCCCCCTTTCCCCTCCTTGCTGCAGAATAAACTGTACACGACATCCGAAGGGGGCAGGGGGGATGAGTTTACTCCCCATGAAGGGCATCACATCCTAGAACCCCGTCTTCCTGTCTCTGCAGCGCAGCACTCGGAAGCGCAGGCCGGGCGCCACTTCCAATTCCGGGCGATCGAGGGGTTGCGTTGAGCTGGGGAAGGAAGGGGGAAGATTGCCCCAAAGGGGACGAGGGGGAATGCGACGGGGCTTACCCAGTTTGCTGTACCCCACGGCTGCTGCAAGACGAGACAACGAAAGTTCTGCGCCTCCCCTCCAAGAATAAAATTGAACTTTTGCCCGACCTAAACATGACATAATATGATTCAGTTTCTAACATTGTGAGAGGGTTGGTCGGCTGGCAGGAAGGCAGCTCGGCGTTACGCTACGCCAACAGAGACGTGACAACCCGGAATAGCCTTTCAGCTGGATGACACGCATGCAACGGACGGGGCAGGGCAGGGCAGGGCAGAGGGAGGCAAAGGCGTGCGGATAGACAGAAGGGCTCCTCTGAACGGTGAGGACCAGTGGGATGTCTGGGGTTGGCAGCAGCGCACACGACTCGTTGGGGGGAGCTGGTGATGGGTGATGGGCAGCGCGAGGGGAGCATGAGGTGTTGTGTGATGCGTGCCTCTGCTTGGCTGGGTTCCTTCGTCTCGGCCAGCACGCAAAACATTCCCCACGTTTCGCGCGGCAAGGGTCGTTTTCGTTGTGTAACCTTGGCCCTGGCCCCCCGTGTCCTGTCCTGACCCTCGTGCTCTTGTTCGGTGAGGGGGGTGGTTGAGTGAGGCAAGCGAGGAATGGAGAGGCTGCCAGCCAAAATGGGGGGGATATTTGGATGTTGGGTGCCTGCCAGCGAAGAGGGAGGCTAATAGATCGATGATGACTACACACGCAGTAGCTGGGCAACAAGGTTGAAACGTATGCCTTATTCAGCTCGAAGGCGGAGTCAGCACGATGGAAGGGGGAGAAGAGAAGGGGGCGTGACGGAGACGGTGACGAAGTTTCCGGCCAGAGCACGGGGAACACGAGATCTGGGGTCCTCTTGAAGATGCCTTTTCCTTGCCTTGCCTTGCCTTGCCTTGACAGCGGGAGTGGAAGTGGAAGTGTTACGTTACCGCCATTTGCTCCTTACGGAGGATTCAATCACATCAGAGCATCGCTCAGCTTATCCCCGACTGACTTTTCAGCCCATCCGCGTCGCCAATTATGCCATGCACCATCTCGACCCAATCTCAAGTCGCATCTGCAGTACAGAAGTCCGGATCCGCAGCTACTGCCGCCTTTCTCACGATGTTACCGCATGCGGACTAGGCCGGGGCATCCACGATCGCGAATATTCCCCACTTTCCATGTCTCCCCACCAAAAAAAAAAAAATTGTGCGAGACGAGCGAGCGAGCGAGAAAAGGAATGAAAAAAAATAAGCCCTGAGCCTGAACCAGCACGACAAAGCCACCGAGCGACCGAGCAAGATAGATGCTCTCTCCCTTCTGCAAACTCAATAATCTTCTTCTTGTTCTTCTTCCTCCTCGAACAACAGCGCAGAGTTCGCTGGCCGTTTTCCTTGCCCTGCAGCCCACACGTACGCCCACACACTCACCGATCTTTCCCCAGGCCCAGGGCGACCCCATCCGTGGAATCCCACCCTCACTCACCCACACACACCCACACCCACGAACATCGACCCCCAAATACCAGCCAAGCCCCCGAGAGAGGAAGTCCCAGAGGCACGCATTCTTCGTTCGCCCGAGTTCAGCGCAGATTTCAGACAGCAGGAAGAGGAAGAAGAGCATCAGAGCGGAGCCTTGCCCGAGTACATATACAGCAATATTCCTGCCCAGAGCCACAGCCAGAGCCAGACCTACACCTCGATCCAACCTGGTCCATCCAGCATCCAGCACCACATCCCTCCTCATACCCGCGCGGTCCTGGCCCACCAGGCCTGACCTGCCTCTTCAACCGCGAGCCAGCCCAGCGCGCCCTCTCTGCCCTACCGTGGCTCCTTGCCGCCGCTCCCCGATCCCATCCCTCGATTTACTGGGCCCACGCAGCTGAATACTCGCCGGACGGCTGGCTATTGGCACACTGCGGCTATCTTGACACAACCCGAGCAGCAACCAGCAAGTAGCAAGCAGCAAGTAGCACGCTCCCCCAAGGCCTCTCCGTCCAAGCCCACCGCCTCCCCAGCCAGCCCACCCACGCTTTCGCACTCCCTGCGCCCGCCGCCCGCGCGCCCACAATTCGCTCCCATTCCCCATTCTTACGCTACGCCTACGCTGCTCGCCCGTACGCCGTATAAGACGCCCACACCCCCCCCTCGGCACATCTTCTCCTCCGTCGCTGCCCCGTCATCACCACTTCGAAACTCTACCCCAAGCAACCCCATAGTCGCCAACACCCGCCAACACCCACCACCAACACCCAACCCGCGTCACCAACAGCATCAAACTCCAACCTCCAACGCTATACAGTACCGCCTTCAACAGCTCTTATTTTATATTACCGCAACAACCCGCCAGGAGCAGAATTGTGTTGCTAGAGAGGAGCCCGGCCCACGGTCCCGTCGTCCCGGTAGAATTTCAAGCGCGGTTGTCGACTTTCGCTGCGGCGGCGATCACATGCAACGCGCATCTTCAGCAGTAGATTTTTCAAGTCTGCTGAATCCGCAGCCATACCGGTCCGCCCTTGAGAAAGAACACGAGGCCGCGAAACAAAGACTGGCAGAGATTCAACGAGAGCAGGAAGAAGAAGCACAGAGAAATATGGCCGCCGTCTCAATGATGCCTCCAATGATTGGTGGTCAGCACGGAGGGGACGACCGACAGGATCTCCCTCGACCCTACAAGTGCCCGTTGTGCGATAAGGCCTTTCACCGTCTCGAACATCAGACAAGACATATTCGAACACATACAGGAGAGAAACCGCATGCGTGCCAATTTCCGGGCTGCACGAAGCGCTTCTCGCGATCCGATGAACTGACTCGACATTCGAGGATACACAACAACCCCAACTCAAGACGGCAGAACAAGACAACACACCAAGCTGTGCAACAGGCTGTCCAGAGCGGACTTGAGCACGGCTCACCCATGAACATGATGCCGCCGCCAAACAAGAACATGTCGAGATCAGCGCCCGCTTCTGCTACCGGTTCACCCAACGTCTCTCCTCCACATTCATACGCCTCCTACTCGACTCTTCCGTCTGGCCTCAACCCTTACGGTCGAAGTCTGGGAGGAAGCCCCAACAATGGACAAAATCTCGACATCAATCTCCTCGCCACCGCTGCTACCCAGGTCGAGCGAGAAAGCACTCTGGCGCCACATCACCCGCACTACGGCAGCTCGCGCCATCTCCCATACTACTCTCACAGTAACCACAATAGTCGAACTCACCTACCGGGAATTGGTCACTACGCAATGTCAAGATCGCATTCTCATGACGCTGAACAAGAGGACCACTACGCCCATCGACACGCCAAGCGTTCTCGTCCCAACTCACCGAACAGCACTGCTCCCTCCTCGCCCACCTTCTCCCAAGACTCACTTTCCCCAACGCCAGACCACACTCCCCTCGCCACACCTGCACACTCCCCTCGACTGCGGCCGTATGGCGGTGGCTACGACCTACCTGGTATCCGCAACCTGAGCCTCCAACATACTCCCGCCCTTGCACCCATGGAACCTCAACACTTCGACGGCCAATACCACGCCCAGCATGCCACCTCCGCACCCAGAAACGGTCTCTCGATCACCGACATCCTTGGCAAGACCGACGGCACGCAAAGAAAACTCCCTGTCCCTCAAGTGCCCAAGGTCGCCGTGCAAGACTTATTAAGTTCTGGCGAGAATGGATTCAGTACCAGTGGACAGAGCAGTACAACGGGAAGCGTTGCAGGGGGCGACTTGATGGATCGACTATGACCTGATTCGACGAATTGAAATTGGAATGCAAAGATTCGAGAAGGGAATACGAGAATAGAAGGAATTTTTGCCTGACGGCATGGACACATGAGGCGTTACCAACGAACGGACGAAGCCCAAACTCACCTTACTTCGATAATATCACTCGAGCCCTCCTCAAACAATGGATGGATGGGCCTCGAGATCTCCACTTGCCTACTTGTTTACTTATCATACCGGGACTTTCACGGGCTGGGAGGCTTCTTCAGTTTTCTGAGTGTTGGATTGCCATCGCCTTGCGGTGATGCGTTTATGTATGTATAGAACAGCGTGCGTGCAGTATAGACTTTGCTTTACCTTTGCTTTTGTCTCCTTTGTCGCTTTCAAGCAAGTTATTAGCTCCCCTGGAGCATGTTCAGGGGCCGAATGGGTCGACTGGGATAGATGGATGGCGTGCAATGGGCACCTAACTGGGATGGAGTACTGTGTTATCTTGTGCTGTGTGTGTGTGTGTGTGTGTGTGCTCAGCTGCTGCTTCGAGCTCACGTAGCTCGAATCGAATGGGCGGCTATATGAAATTGTCAGAGTTATAACACATGTTCTGTCCCTTCTGCCTATCGTGAGTTCTGTGTAACATTGATGGCTTACAACTGGAGTCACATGCCTGGGAAGAGCAGCACATGACGAGAGCTGATGACAGTCCATAGGGTGGGGGCACACACGACTCCGCACACAGATCCTTGGCTCTACGATAATACAGTAGTGCCTTGCTCCGGGAAGGAAAGGGATCTGAAACCTTATTCAAGATGTGCCATGTTGGCAGGCATCTGAGTCCTTCCTTCTCTCTCTATCTGCACACCTCCCTCTCTGGCAGGCCTTGCTCTCGCATCAAGACACCTATCTCTGCAAGGGAATCACGTATTGAGCATTGCCAATTTCGCATTTTTCTTTCTATGATGAAGGTTTTCTTTCCCTCCCTGGTTCCTAGGGACTGCCGGGAAAATAATGCATGCGCATGCGCATGCCGACAGAGATAGCCGATCGGTCCGGAGAGCAACAGCGGCTTCGTTTAAGAGGCGGGGAAAAAGGTTGTACACGAGGGGATTGAAACTTTGTCCTGTGCCGAGGTTGTACGTACATGTCAAGGTAGAGGGGATACAAAGGGTAATCCGGAGGCGAGATGCAAAGGTGTAGAGTTTACGGCTTGAAGAAGCATCATTACTCCATTCTCTCTCTCTGCAATGAACTGCAAGTCCTTCACCCGTGAGCTTTACAGTACCTTGAGTAATGTGACGGATGTCACTTGATGTACAGTACATGCAGTACAGCGCCTCAATCCAGGCACCATCCCCAGATTCCCTTCTCGAGCGCTTGGCTCCCCGCTTGAAGGCGCAGCCCATCTCCCTTAATTCTCCGCTCCCCACACTTCCCCAACATTGAAGTGTGAAACATACGAGTTGCGATGTCCCTCGGTTTCAACCTCGGCCCCATCTGTCTACCAGCCCAAGCCACTGATGGAATTAAACAATGTGCCGGAATCATCGATGGGCCTCATCCGGTCGGATGTCACACTCTCATTGATCTCCCGTTTGATGTACACCCCCCCTTCCTCGCGGTGCTTTCCTTTCTTCCTTGCTTTGTCGAGCGAACGAGGTACAAGTTAGCGAGCTCCCCCCCCGATCCGCACTTGTACATGATGACATCGTCTGCCACACGGCACCCATCCCCCTTTCCCGCTCTCCCTTCCCGTTCCCAACCATCAAAGTCAAAATCGACCTCCTGACGATGGATGGGGGTCCTGACTGATCCCCCGTTTGATGTACATATCCCCCCTCGCTTCGCTTCCCACGGTCTCCTTCGAAAAGCTTCGGTCCGGATTCGTTCGTCGACATAAAAGCTACATCAGGCAGCGTTTGATCGCCTCGCTACCGCGACCAAACCCCTCGCACGGAGAACTCCACCAGAAACTTCCCCTGAAAAGTCCGGAGGCGAGCCTCGCCAGGAAGCAGCACCCTTGCTCCGCGGCCACGGGGTTCTGGTCCCTGCAGACAGACAGCTCGTATTTTTTTTTTGGCTTCAGTGAGTTCGCAAGGAGGAGGAAGGTTTTTAGCCGTTGCAGAGCCGTTGAGGGAAGAAAGAAAGAAAGACGTATTCTTTTGCTTTCCGAAGACGGGAGCCGTTTGGTAGGGAGGGCTTGAGAGCAGCTACTGTAGACTGAGGGATGAGGAAACTCTCAAGGGGGAAGAGAGGTTGCGCGAGGCGAGGTGGGGAGCGTGGGGGTCAAAGTCAAGGCAAGCAAGGCACAGTCAGCTACTACTGTACGGTGGGGCCGTTGAGGGTAAAGTCCTCGGATCCAAACCGCCTGAAAACCTTCCCTTCTTCAAACGCTCAAGGAACAAGCAAGCTCGCCATATCTCCATCTAGACAACCTCACAGCGAGCCCAGCATCAACCACTTCCCACCCGAACGAGAAGGAGAACTGTTGTCATGGGCCACAGCCTAGGTAGGGCTACAAAACCTAAAACTCTTCGCTGGAGATGGTTTTAGCTTCCGCCTCATTCATAGATGGAGCGATTGAGGCAGCAGCCAGACTTTCCGACCCCTAGAACTATCTGTTTCCGCTGCCCACCACCAGCTGCGCCCTCCGCTTAAATACACAGAAACATCAAAACTACTCCGACTCTTCCAACGCATTTCAATTTATAGATCCTTTGTAAAAGCAAAATAAAAATTTCGCATAAGAGCTAACTGAAAGGTTATCTTTTGGCCGATAAGAGGACCCCAAGTCTTATATTATTATGTGGAGATTTATTTTAAGTTTGAAGTTGAGAGAAAATCGTAAGCGGGGGGCGCACCTGGTGGTGGCAGCGGAACGGATATGAACGGTAAATTGGGCTCAATTCCGGCTTCGGTTGCTGTGCCTGAAGTCAGGATGCTGCTCTTTTATCATTTGTTGACCACGGGGGCGCAAGGCGTTGTTGGGTTGGACTTTCTGCTGTTTTTTATTCCTTTGATCATCTGTCTGTCATGTAGTTTGGGGAAGAAAGTGTGCAGCGAGACTGATATTGGGCCCTGGATTCAGGCACCGCAACCGGCCGGTTTACACACTCAATCAATCTCTACCGGTGTCTTTATTCCATTCGACGGACGATTTCATATCGACGGATCTCCGAGTCGTTATATTGTTTACACTAGGGATGCGCCCTCTTTCTTGGCCGCGAGTGCGGAGTCGGTTCGGCACCTCTCTGCCTGAGTGCAGCCAGTATGGCACTCGGCAGCCTCAATTAGTATTTTACGTACATGAGGTGATTTGATCTACTTTGTTGTTGACACTTGTTGTTTTGTTGGATGTTGTGCGTCTGGGACATTGAAGCGGGAGCGAGAAGCCTAAAGCTAAACCCGATCTCCGGTGCAGGCAGTTTGGCTTGTTGCCGTTGGTGGCATGAAATGGTAAGAACAAACTGTCTGCCAGATCATGAGTTCATCCTCAGACTTCGGAGAACTCCTTCTCCAGATTGTTGTGGTCAAAACAGCCATGACGTATGGTAGATCAGGATGGGCTCTTCTAATTTGACTTTCTCTCTGCCCGGCGATTTCCAACCATCTATCCGTTACGCTGCCACCAGGGACGGGTTGGCCCGTGCACGACGATTTTCGCGTAATTCTAGCCAATTAGAGGGCTGAACCACCCCCTTAAAAGTATCAATTCTCACTTCTCTCTATGGAATACATCAAAACAACCCCGATTCTTACATAAATGAACGTCGCATTGCTCGCACCCATAGATACTCTGATGCCTTGAGCTTTCCCTGCCCTGATTAGCTGCAATTTGAGCTAGTGCAACCCGTTTTTTCGGCCGATCTCCATATCTCATACCCTTACAGCATATACACTTCCCAGCCTTACTAAGCTTTACTTGCTTGTGCGATTGTATAGGCACTTTAGCTTCCTGGCTAATCTGTGATATCCTTCGCTTTGGACAGATCTCACTATCCCTTCCTTTAGCAATTAGAGCACTAATAAGCTGTCTCCTGAAGTCCTGCTGACTCCTGAAGCTCACTTGCCTAGGTTCTGGCACATCACTGCATAAAGCAAGTAAATAGCAATTAATTAGAACCGTACGAAGTAGCCAGTGCTCTAGTACTTGGTGCCCTCCTCGCTCCACGTGCCGCAAACCAGCGTTCTGGGCAGTCAGGTGATCAAACTCATTAACTGCTCCCATATGATAATTATATCCGTCCGCAATTACAGGAATTGAAAGCACCTTTGTAGCCTGATTACCAAAAGGTTTTCGTGCAGTCTTTGCTTTAGAAGAAGTCTCCTTAGGCCTCTTCCTTAGCCGTAAAATACGCTCGTTACCTGACATAAAGGAAGACATCATTAAAACAAAGGCTTAATCTTTCCACCCAACGTGATACACTTCTCCATTAGGCGTATACCTGGAATGGGTTTCACCCCAGGGTATTACGTCCTTTTTATCTGATTTCTGAAGGTCAAGAAGCTCCTTAATAACCCCACTAGTTGTCCTGCAAGTCCCAGTAATTGCAACTCCCTGGGAGCGAGCGTATTGAATAAAGCGAGTAGAAACAAAGAGATTATTAAGGTAAACGTAATAGCCAGAGCCTTTAGGAAGCTTGGGCAACCTTTTAATCAAGTGCAGGACTACTGCTTGTGTCTTATTTCCCCCATTTCCAGCCTTAATCGTCCCACCAAGCTCTCTTGGAGTACGTACTCCCACAGGCCCATTCTTTTGTCCAGGAATATGCCAGTTCCATACAAGTAAGAACCCCCTCTGGGCTGCTCCCCAGACCTTATATCCTGTAGGTGTGGGCTTGTTTGGAACAGTAGTTGTCTCCTTTGATCGACCTTCAAATCGTACGATTATCTCGTCCACTGCCAAGTCCCGTCCAGGCTTCCAAACTCTCAAATTAACCTCTTGAATATGTATACTAAGGGCTTCGACCTGCTCGGTAGTTTATTAGCTAGTTTCAAGTAAAATGAACAAAGAAATAAGGAGTTATTAGCTACCTTCTCATATGGGCCTTGTTCCTGATTTCCATGGAATCGCACACGCATATGGAGCTCCTGAAACCGATTCCTACTTAAATACTTCGTAATTGGGTGCTCAGGTGTCATATCCTTTGTTGTCCAATAGTCTGCGATCTCATTGTCCACATACAAGCTCATATATATTCGAATCGCAAGGTAGATATATATCTCTCTATAGCATGTTGGGTACCAGTCGTTTACTCGTACATAAGGGCAGGATTCGTCTTGAGGTTTTCGCATATAATTATTCGTCTTCTCAACTATTAAATCAATGATTTTGGGGGTATAATACATAGTAAATAAAGTAATAGGATCATCGGGAGAAACGTCTTTAGGTAAGGTAATTTCCCAGCCGAATTCGGGCAATTGTATAGGCTTAAAGGTACTCCCCTGCTTATGCAGTGGATCCTCATTAGGCCGAAGGGTCCCTTTATCGGTAGGATCAAATACAGTATCGTCTGGCATCGTGATTGTGGTGCAATTGATTAATTAGATGGTTTATTTACATGTAAATAATAAAGCGTGTTTTCGGTGTTCCTCCGGAATATCATTTTTTCCGGTTCCGAAAACCCGTCCCTGGTGGCAACGTAACGGATACACCATCTACTGTACCGTCCACTAATCTCTCTCTCTCCTCTTCTCACCTGCTAAACCACCTGTTGCAATCTGGGAATTCAATGAAGCAATATGCGGTGCTCAAAGCTAAGGCTCCTGAAATCACCGCAGAGTCATCCATCCTGACGCATCAAGAGATATCAAAC